TCTTTTCACTCTGTCAATTAAGTTAGTATTGTGAAGCAACTACAATGTTGTTGATCCATCCTCAGTTTTCTCCTATCACAACAAACTCTGTAACTGTTTTAAAGTCACCATTGTTCTCATGATGTAATCCCTAAGCGGTTTCCTTCCTCTCCGGCAACTGAGTTAGGAAGGACACCTGTATCTTTGTAGTGACTGGATGTATTGATACACCATCCAAAAGTGTAATTAATAACTTCACCATGCTCAAAGGGATCTTTAATGTCTGCTTTTACCCATCTACCAATAGGTGCCCTTCTTTGCAAGGCACTCCTCGACTGAGGGACCTTACAGATAATTGTGTGTGGGTTACAGAGATAGTCATTCAAAAATCATGTTTAAACACTATTATTGCACCTTACAACTTATATTATGTGACTTGTTAAGCAAATTTTTACTCCTGAACTTATTTAGGCTTGCCATTATAAAGGAGTTGAATACTTATTGATTCGAGATATTTCAGCTATTCATTTTTTATTAATTATTAAACATTTTAAAAAACATAGTTCCACTTTGACATTATGGCCTATTGTGTGTAGGCCAGTGACCAAAAATCTCAATTTAATCCATTTTAAATTCAGGCTATAACACAACAAAATGTGAAAAAAGTATAGGGTGTGAATACTTTCTGAAGGCACTGTATTAACCAGTTAGCTAGCACATTATCCTGTTAAACTGTTAAATGAGTAGCAAGAAAGCTACAAGTTATGCCAAATAACAGACAGGGTGGAGACCTGCCAACCTTGAATAATTTGCTCAAATCATAGGCAAAGTCCACCTTTATAAGCCTAATAATGATGTTGGCAGAAGACTGCCTCAGTAGGAATGGTAGGGTATAGACTGTTATGGGTACTTGGTAATTGGCTGCTCTTCAGTAGCTAACTAGAAACACGTTTAAATGTACAATCAGGGCTCTCCCTAGGATTTTCGGACAAAATGTAAGTATTAAAGTTAATTTCCTGCAATTCTACACATTTTGCCATGGGGAGTAGAGAAAATGTTGCAGTTTTAAAGCAAGATTTCTGCAGGGTGGTGAGAAAATGTGGCAATATTATAACAAATGTAATGGTATTCTACTCGTTTTGCCATGGGGCAGAGAGAACATTTTTGCAGTTTTACAGCTAATTTCCTGTCATTCTAAAATATTTTTCATGGGGTGGAGAGAAGTCTTTTCAGTAATAAAATAAAAATAAAAAGACTGATCGCTTTGAAAACGGCCTATGAGGCATCGATATGAGGCATCTTTAGATCTCCCCCCTCCTCTAAATTTCGGACAGGTATCTGTCCATGTCACCACTCGCATGTGAGGTGCGCATTTTAGAAAGGTGTTTGGGGTTTTAGGCTGGGTTTCTGTATAGCACTTTGTGACATCTGCTGATGTAAAAAGGGCTTTATAAATACATTTGAATTTCCCTGCACAGTTCTAGGCCTTCTGCCGTGTGCACTTGCTGCACTGAAAAGTACTTTGTTGAAGCACATTTGGCAGCGATTACAGCCTCGAGTCTTCTTGGGTATGACGCTACAAGCTTGGCACACCTGTATTTGGGGAGTTTCTCCCATTCTTCTCTGCAGATCCTCTCAAGCTCTGTCAGGTTGGATGGGGAGCGTCGCTGCACAGCTATTTTCAGGTCTCTCCAGAGATGTTCGATCGGGTTCAAGTCCGTGCTCTTCATACTTCACAATCTTAGCTAGCAAGCTAGACAAGCAGTCATCATGAATCACGTCGACAATCTACTGGCAAATCCTTTTCAATGCTTGTCATATGAAGAGAAATTATACATAAAACGTATCGGTGCTCATCGGCCATAACATTACACAAGAAGTTGGAAATCGCAAATTCAACAATGAGTGGTTTGGAAGGAATCAGTGGCTAACTGCAAGCTATTTTGCTTCCCCTGCCTGCTATTCAGTGGAGAGGGTGTGTGGGTTTAAGGCTATTTTCCAAGCGTAAAGGGTTAAACATTGACACGCAACACCATGGGCCAGAAAAGGTTGAATACATTGCCGCGTTCAAAACAACTGGAAACTCGGAACTGGGATATATCAGACTTCATTGAGTTCAAGACAACTGGGAACTCAGAAGAAAATGAGTTCCGATTGGGAAGATTGGGAAAATACGTTTTGAACAGTCATCCAACTCGGAATTCCAAGTCGGGAACTCAGGCCTCTTTCTATAGCTCCGACCTGAAGATCACTGGCGTCATGATTCAACCAGAGAATGCCAGACTTTGATGACAAAATTTGGCAACATGAAGGACCGCCGCACCACCTTCCTGTTCAAGTGAGCACAGCACAACAACAGTGAGTCCAAAAATGTATTGTATGCTGCTGCAAAAATGATGTAATGTGCCAGGGAGATATGTATACTGTAGCTAAGAAAGTAATACTAAGTGTATGTTGTGTAGTAAGCTGTTAGTAGCCCACGTGCCTCACCCTAATAATTTGGTCACTGTTCTGACTTGGTAGTGCACATGTAGCCTATAGTTTTAGAGAAATGTCATCATCGAATATTGTAAGAGCTTTCATTGTCTGCTTATATACCCCTTTTATTTATCCTACGGTTCTGACTTGGTGTACAGGGAGAATACTGAATAAAGTTATGACTACGTCCGTCTTAATCGAAATTACAGATGGCCACTTATCTGCTCATCGTTCCCTTATGCCATAGTTAATATAGGCCTATTGCTTATATACTGCAGATCTCAGTATCTTATTCATTTTAGGCAATGTTGGAATGATTTGTCTTGCTTACTTTGTGTATTATAATTAGCTCATGTACTTTTCTTCACGGGGAGGGGATACTATATAATGTTGTTGGGTCTGTAACCATGTTTGCCAGTGAGTCTTTTCCCATTCAAATATTTTTTTTCAACAAGTAGTTCAGTAATAGACCCACATAATTCCAGTTGATATTGCGAGGGTTGTTTTGTTTGCGCAACGCGCTGTTTGTCTGTATATGTTATATAAAAGTGGATCCTCATGATTTATATTTTCCTTCCTTTTTAGACTAATAAAATTATTCAAAAGTTAAGCTAAGCGAGTCTTTGTGTGGTAACTTAAGAGTAAAGTTAAGGCCTCAACTTGCTGAATTTATCTGAACAAATTTGTCGGTGTCCATTTTGAAAGTGCTGAATGAATAGGCCTACCTCATCGCAGCTCGTTCGCTTGCTTATACTGAGTTAAGTGTTAATGACATAAGAATAAACATTGAATTTACTTAACATAAATGTATATTTGTGTATGGTTCAAAATTCATTTGAACGAGAATGAGGTTATCAACTTACACAAATCCACAAGGAGTCAGAAGAAACCACATTCTCTAAGCAAGTCAGCCATAGCAGCTGAGTTTTTTTTTTTTTTAAGGAAGTAAATGAGGCTGAATGAACTGTTTCGCTGCCAGACAAGGCTCTGCTGATAGCCAGGTGAAGCAGTGGTAAGGATTCACTCCATGGTGCTGAAAAGAAAGCTCTGCTGTTGGGACAGCTTTATGTAGGCCCTAACAGTTTGTGGGCACCGTTTGTCACCATTATAGTGCAATGAATGTATTGTTTAGTGGCTTTGCAGGCATGCATAAAAAAAAAGTGGTTTGAGTTTGCCCCACCCATATTTACACACCAAAATCACCACTGCTCATTACACAGGTGCACCTTGTGCTGGGGACAATAAAAGGCCACTCAAATGTGCAGTTGTCACAATACAATTCCAGATGTCTCAAGGTGAGAGAGTGTGCAATTTGCATGCAGTAATGTCCACCAGAGCTGTTGCCAGAGAATTGAATGTTCATTTCTCTACCATAAACTGCCTCCAATGTCATCAAACGTTACCATGCTCCTGAGTGGCGCAGTGGTTAAGGACTGCATCGCAGTGCTAACTGTGCACTAGAGATCCTGGTTCGGATCCAGCTCTGTCGCAGCCGCCGCGACCGGGAGACTCATGGGCGGCGCACAATTGGCCCAACGTCGTCCAGGTAGGGAGGGAATGGCCGGCAGGGATGTAGCTCAGTTGATAGAGCATGGCGTTTCAACGCCAGGGTTGTGGGTTCGATTCCAGTATAAAAAATATGTAATCACTAACTGTAAGTCGCTCTGGATAAGAGCGTCTGCTAAATGACTAAAATGTAAAAAAATGTAAATGTAAATTTTAGAAGTGTAAAAATGTAGACAAGACAGAAAATATATATTTTCCAGTTTTACTTTATTTTTTTTAAAAAGATGATAAATAAAAAAAGGTGTGATGGCATAAACCAGCAAGGACAAAAAAAAGCATAACATGAAACAGTCCAGTCTGACCAATCTCCACCCTGCATAGCCCACACTGGTGATAACCAATCTCAGAGGTCGACATCTGCCCCTTCTGGCTGGCGGTTTGGCCAAACATTTGTTTCAGATATAAGTGCTGCACTTTGCGCTAGTGGGCAAACCAGACAGATAATCCAGCAAACACAAGGGGCCCTAGGATTGGCTAAACCAATGTTACTGAATCCAGGCAGTGACAACAGGGTAGAGGGATCTCGTTTGGTCCAGCACTGGGAAGAGTGGACGATTTGATGTGGTCCCAATAAACCATTCATCTAAAAAATACTTGATTGCTTTTCTTAGTAGGGGGCTCTTATGAATTCTGATTGCTAGAACAGGTTCAGCAAAGACCGATCTGAATGGGGGAAAATGATAACTGATCCATGGTTAGACTACATCACCCCCACCTGCTGGATGCGAACAAACTGCTTACAGTCAGTCTCGCGCAAGGGGAGGTCATCAGTACAGAGATATCCAATCAGACATGACGATCCATGGGACCATTCAGCTCGTCTTGAGGCAGGCTCCACATAATGATACTCAGATTTCATCACAGCTACAACTGCTTTTTACAGCCTGGAGAACATTTCCTCCAAGTACTCTCATTCAGAATTTGTAAATACACCAATGGCTGACTTGCATCCCCCCCAACAGACAATCTAATTGGCTGGCGGGGGGAGGGGACAGAAACCAGTCACAGGAGGCGCTTCTTATGAAAACAGGGGGAGGGGGGGTTCTGACATGTCAACAAGATCCGTGAATGTACAACAGAGGCCAAAGTGACTGAACAATAACACTATGTACAGGCAGGTGAGGGGGTCAGTGTGTGTGCGCACGCATTGAGTTTAAGCACAGGCTAAGATCACGAGCTGAACATAAGCACATGTAAAAACAAACACCATTTCAGTGACACTTGCACAATGAGTTGCCATGTCTTTCCACTGGTACTTTAGTTGTTTTAAACATCAGATCAAACGTTACAAGAAAGAAATACAATATTTCAGACATTGCTTAGGAGTACTAGTCAAGTTCTGGAGGATGAGAAGTGATCATACAGACACACACACTGACCCCTGATCTTCCTTCAGCACTCCCTTTCACAAACACACAATGGGGTGTAGGAGAAGGGGGCACCTAACGCATTCTGTACTCTGAGGTCTTGGACACCTCACAGAGCTGACCCTTGAAGTCTATGTCAACGGTGAAGTCCAGGTCTCTCTGCAAGCGAAACAGACACATAAACAGGTTAAAAGAGGACACTGGAAACACACTCAGCTTTAAACCACAGAACACCATGGGACAGAACAGATCGGAGTAATCATTTCTAGTTTGGGAAAATTATACCCAGGCAAAATAGGAAGGGTAAACTTGGACTTAAAGGTATTCCTACAAACTTAGACAGAGGTTTTTACTCTTTCTTACGTTGTTTTTGACATTGGGCTTCATGTTGATGTTCCCGAAAATCTCCTCTCCAGTCTTCACAGTCAGATAGTCGTCCAGGTAGAATACCGTCTGCTTCCAGTGGGTGTAGGGGGACTCTGGACCTGGGGAGAGGAGAAACGGGACAGGTTTAATATGACTTCACATAACAGAAGAAAAATTGCCCTTAAAAAGTCATAGAAAATATATTCTCTCAATTATTGAAGAATACGTGTGTGCTGTCATTTACCATAGACTTCATTTATGAGGATTCAGTGAACATATCTATTATGGTTTACTGGGGGGGGACTGAGCATAAAGACTCACTGGTGGAGAAGCCCGTCCTCTTGTGACAGCGCGTGAACTCAATGTTGAAGTAGGTGACGAGGGCGTGGATGTAGTCATTCCTCTTCACCTGCAGGCAGAAGGGCGAGGTGAAGGACAGGTCGTCGATCTTCACCGTGTAGATGTCCACCTCCTGGGGACAATGTAGAGAGGGGGGGACAACGTGAGACTCAGATGACAAATGCAAAATCCTCTGTTCGAACGGGAGATGTGGTGCCGACACAAAAAGTCACAATAGGGTCAGTCAAGTAACCATAACCAGATTCCAAGGGGGGGGGGGGGGGGGGGGGGGGGGGTCACAGAACTGTGTGCATTGGGGGAGGCTGCTGAGTGTGATTGACTCACCTTGATGAGACAGGCGCTGCTGACCAGCTGTTTGGGGTCCACCACGTCCACTAGGGGCTCCTTGATGGCCACCTCCTTGATGCAGGACATATCAAAGCCGTAGACGTTCTCCCACCCTGTTAGAGAAGATATAGGGGGTTACCACCACACCTGGGCAGACGGCAAGTTTAAAAAGTAACTATATTAAATTGTTGGCCAGTCATTAGTATTTCCTTTTACTTCAACATCCAGACTAGTTAGCCATATCAACTCTGCTCTAGCTAACTATTACAGAGGGGGCAAGTAGCTTAACTGTTAGAGGCAAGCCAGCAATTGGGTCGCTGGTATCAAATCCTAGATGCAATTGCACTCTTGAGCAAGGCACTTAACTCCCCGGGCACCTAGAGTGGCATTCCCCCGCACCTCTCCAAAACCTGTGCATGTATTTTTCGGAGGGGTTCGGTTAAACGCAAAAGTCAAATTTTAGTTGGACTTTGTGTGCAATTGACCAATAAAGTGATCTTAATACAAGAACAGTACAAGTAAATGTTATTTCCCAAATTGTTGCTGATGACAGTCGGTAAAACCGATGCTTTTGGCTCCTTTGACTGGCTCAACCGTGAGAGTTAACTGAATCTGTTAGATAAGGGCTGTGACAGTCTGATCACAGAATCCAACCTGAAACAAAGTCCCCTGACTAACTCCTCTCCAACCAAAAACATGGGTACAACGCTGGCCAAATCACACCAACTACATTACCCCAAAATTTAGAGGAATTCTCACAGTGGATTTTATAGTCCTTGTACTGCCTGTCCTCAATGGCTGTGACGTACAGGGTAGCCCTGTCTGGGAAAATCAGGCCCTCTGGTTTCTGGGAGACAGAAAGGGAGAGAGGGGAAAAGAGCATGGCGGGTTAATACTCTTGGGAATGACAGATTAGCAGGCTATTCAGAGGCCTGACGTATAGTAGCAGCTGTGTGGAATCATGGCACAATGACTGCTGGTGGTGTGCACGCCAGTCTGCGTGGGGTGTTGCGCCTCCAAAGAGGGAAGCCAACTGCAGACAGAAAGTCTAACACTAATCCAATACACTTCACAGATACATCATTTGATCGGACTGAATAGTTACGGCACACAGTTAACCATGGTGGTATGAAAAATGTATGCACTCACTAACTGTAAGTCGCTCTGGATAAGAGCGTCTGCTAAATGACTCAAATGTAAGGACAACAGGTGAGGCAAAACATAATCTTATAGAGTTCACACCAGTGCTATAGCTGAAATGTTCCCAATAAGTCACCCCAGCATGGTGCTGGCGAGACCCACTGGAATGATGTTTACTTTATGGCCAATTCCACAGCAAGTCAGGAACTGAATCTCCTAAAAGCCTTGGTATATGGCCAAACAGAGTTTCTAACACCTCTCACTTGTCCCTGAAGATTTCAGAATAGACATTCAAACAAGCATATTCCATAACATACTAATTAAATATACAGGCAGGAACATACCAGCCACTTGTCCCTGGCGTAGATGACAGTGTTTAGCATGGACTCGTAGAAGAGGCAGTAGCCCATCCACTCTGAGATGATGATGTCCACTCCCTCTACAGGGAGGTCCACCTCCTCCACCTTCCCCTTGATGATGGTCACAACTGAATGGGGAGAAAAGAGGGATGAGTTACAACTAAATAGCCACAACATTCCTTCAAGCCAGGTTGAACCATTGTACGGGTGACTGAAAACATGGCAGGGGGGAAAGTACTGACTTACTGTGGTCCATTTTGTTGGCCTTGACGATCTTCACGGCATAGTCAGAGATACTGCTGCACTCAATCTGAAAACACAAAAGCGGAAGTTAGAGAGCAGGCCTTTGGGGGTCTCAAGTAATGACAACTAACCAGAACCTTTTGCGCTCCCATCAAGGCAACTGAAGTCTACTGGGAACTCATGGGCTTTCTATGTGTTCTGTTCATTATGATAAAGCAAGTAAAACAGGTCTTGATGCAAAGCATTCACATCTGTGCCAGATTAAGATGTATGCCTTACACAATATGGTATGACAATGGGAACATGTCACACGTAGCGTAGAGAATGGTGAAGCTGCATCACAAGTTCTAAAAGTACTACAGACTATTGACAGTGCATGGCAGTAAATGAGGTGTGTATGTATGAGTCTCTTCCCTGTTTGCAAACAAGGTGGGGGTACTTACTCCTATGACTTTCTTGGCCCCAGCTTTGGCTGCGAACATGCAGAGGATGCCAGTTCCACTGCCCACGTCCAACACCACCTTGTCCTTGAACAGGTGCTTGTTGTGGAACATTGAGTTCCGGTAGGTCAGGGTGCGCACCTCATCTTTCAGCATCTCCTACAGAGCAGGACACGAGGGGGAGCATTTGACACTGTACCACTCAGCCTCTATTATTAGCCCCATTGTATTTTGGCACATATGTGCTGACCAAAATTCTGTTTATATCAGTGTGGCATGGGTCTTTACACATTTTGGTTGTGGTATAAATTTTCTCACCAAATAAACATTTAAATGTATGACAAATCAATCCCCTTTTCCCCAAAGATACCTACCTCGTGGATACCGAAGTGGGCGTATGAGTCAAAGTAATAGTCCTTAGAAGTCATGTCTTCTGCTGCAGGCTTGGCCGAGTTCTCCCCCTGAGAAATCTCACCAAAAGAGATACCAGTCACAATCAGCCCCAGACTGGCAACAATGACCATTTGACATGTATGAAAGTTCCCTATCCAAATCAGTTGCAGCCAGGCAGAACGTGCTGATAAAAAAATTCTTGAATAGATGTGAATAGTGTGTTAAGTAATTACTTTAAGTTGTTCAAAAACGTATAAACTTATGTTCATAGGACAATACTTCCAACGACTTATTTACATTTCCGAGTACGGGTGTGTGGTGTTAAGTTCACGTAGTTGTAGCTAAACACAAGTTCAGTGTAGTGCATGAAGCCTTCTTTTCTCCGAGCACAAAGGGCGAGAGAGAAAGCACATGGTGATTTAGGCCTTCACTTACTTACATGTAACGTTGGGACAGCAAATAAACGTAAAAACCACTAGTTACTCGAATGGCGCGCAATGAACATAACGTTACTAGCGAGCTCCCCTAATTAAATGAGCCATGCTTTATTCAAGCAATTGGCTGGCCATAAACTACCTAAGTTGTGTAGTTAAGAAAGTGGTGAATAGCTCCTGCCGGGCTGCCGAATGGGTAACGTTAGCAGCACAGATTATAGCTAACACCAATGGCTAACAATTATTAATTGTATTTAGTTATCGGAACGAATTTGATGGATTAAAAACGGACCTTGGGCTACTTAAATCAAATGCTGGCAAAGTGTGCCAGATGTGACTTGTGAAATGCTAGTTAGCATTGCTAACCTAGCACCCATGCGGTCTCTCCCCGAAGCGCGAGCTAGCGATGGCTTTCATAAAGATTATATCACACCACATATACTTGCCATTACTAAACAATTTCCCAAATCCATTCATAATTCAGTAACTACAATTACATGACAACCGCATATACACAGTAAGAGTTTGCTGTGCTAGCAAACACGTGACGAGAAATGAATGAGCCTTACAGTGTACGTTAGATGGTGCCTGGCTAAAATGGATGCTTTACTAGTAAAGTGCGTGTGTTCTCTGAACTAGCCAACTAGCAGGCTCTGCGGCCTACAATGATATTGGAAATATAGTTAATTTAGCTTAGTGAAAATACTTACATTTTAAGCTACAGAAACAAATTATATTTCGTTTAAATGTCTTAAACCACGACTCGACCACACCACTGCGCTTACCTCCATTCTGTCCGTAGCCTCCGCCATTTCAATTCCGTGTGGGCATGGACGCAGACGCACAGTGGTATTAAAACGCACACATTTGAGCCCCCACCCTTTGACGCAAAATACGCTTCGTGATTGGATCCGTGTTGCAGGCACCTCCCAAACGACAGCTCCCAGTTTTGCATAAAGATTCCCCATTTTTATTGATTTTTTACATTTACATCATTTAGCAGACGCTCTTTATTTAACCTTTATTTAACCAGGTAAGCCAGTTGAGAACAAGTTCTCATTTACAACTGCGACCTGGCCAAGATAAAGCAAAGCAGTGCGATAAAAACTACAACACAGAGTTACATATGGGGTAAAACAAAACATAAAGTCAAAAATACAACAGAAAATATATATAAAGTGTGTTCAAATGTAGCAAGTTATGCAAGTAAGGCAATAAATAGGCCATAGTGCAACATAATTACAATTAGTATTAACACTGGAATGATAGATGTGCAAAAGATGATGTGCAAATAGAGATACTGGGGTGCAAATTAGCAAAATAAATAACAATATGGGGATGAGGTAGTTGGGTGGAATAATTTCAGAATGGCTGTGTACAGGTGCAGTGATCGGTAAGCTGCTCTGACAACTGATGCTTAAATTTAGTGAGGGAGATAAGAGTCTCCAGCTTCAGAGATTTTTGCAGTTCGTTCCAGTCTTTGGCAGCAGAGAACTGGAAGGAATGGCGGCCAAAGGAGTTGTTGGCGTTGGGGATGACCAGTGAGATATACCTGCTGGAGCGCAGACTACGTGTGGGTGTTGCTATGGTGACCAGTGAGCTAAGGTAAGACAGGGATTTGCCTAGCAGTGATTTATAGATGACCTGGAGCCAGTGGGTTTGGCGACGAATATGTAGTGAGGACCAGCCAACAAGAGCGTACAGGTCACAATGGTGGGTAGTATATGGGGCTTTGGTGACAAAACGAATGGCACTGTGATAGACTACATCCAATTTGCTGAGTAGAGTGTTGGAGGCTATTTTGTAAATGACATCGCCGAAGTCAAGGATCGGTAGGATAGTCAGTTCAGTGAAGGAGGCTTTGTTTGCGAAATAGGAAGCCGATTCTAGATTTAACTTTGGATTGGAGATGCTTAATGTGAGTCTGGAAGGAGAGTTTGCAGTCTAACCAGACACCTAGGTATTTGTAGTTGTCCAGATACTCTAGGTCAGACCCGCCGAGAGTAGTGATTCTAGTCGGGTGGGCGGGTGCCAGCAGCGTACGATTGAAGAGCATGCATTTAGTTCTACTAGTGTTTAAGAGCAGTTGGAGGCTACTGAAGGAGTGTTGTATGGCATTGAAGCTCGTTTGGAGGTTTGTTAACACAGTGTCCAATGAATGGCCAGATGTATACAAAATGGTGTCGTCTGCGTAGAGGTGGATCTGAGAGTCACCAGCAGCAAGAGCGACATCATTGATATACACAGAGAAAAGAGTCGGCCCAAGAATTGAACCCTGTGGTACCCCCATAGAGACTGCCATAGGTCCAGACAACATTTGAGAAATCAAGGCTATTTAGTCTGCCAATAAGAATGCGGTGGTTGGCAGAGTCAAAAGCCTTGGCCAGGTTGATGAAGACAGCTGCACAGTACTGTCTATTATCGATCGCGGTTATAATATTGTTTAGGACCTTGAGCGTGGCTGAGGTGCACCCATGACCAGCTCGGAAACCGGATTGCATAGCGGAGAAGGTACAGTGGGATTCGAAATGGTCGGTGAGCTGTTTGTTAACTTGGCTTTCAAAAAACTTTTGAAAGGCAGGGCAGGATGGATATAGGTCTGTAACAGTTTGGATCTAGAGTGTCACCCCCTTTGAAGAGGGGGATGACCGCGGCAGCTTTCAATCTCTGGGGATCTCAGACGTTACGAAAGAGAGGTTGAACAGGCTAGTAATAGGGGTTGCGACAATTTCCGCGGCTAGTTTTAGAAAGAAAGGGTCCAGATTGTCTAGCCCGATGATTTGTAGGGGTCCAGATTTTGCAGCTCTTTCAGAACATCAGCTGTCTGAATTTGTGTGAAGGAGAAGCGGGAGGGCATGGGAAAGTTGCAGCGGAGGGTGCAGAGCTGGTGGCCGGGGTAGTGGTAGCCAGGTGGAAAGCATGGCCAGCCGTAGCAAAATGCTTGTTGAAATTCTCGATTATTGTAGATTTATCGGTGGTGATAGTGTTTCCTAGCCTCAGTGCAGTGGGCAGCTGGGAGGAGGTGCTCTTATTCTCCATGGACTTTACAGTGTCCCAAAACTTTTTGGAGTTAGTGCTACAGGATGCAAATTTCTGTTTGAAAAAGCTAGCCTTTGCTTTCCTAACTGCTTGTGTAGTTAGGAAAGCTAACATTGGTTCATACTTACACCTAAAATCCAGCTATGATTGTGGTTGGCTAAAACTGCTGCACTTCTGACTAAAGAAAGGTTATTGGATTAAGATCTTTGCGCTATCTATCAAACAAACAACATTTAAGTAGTGCTCATCTATATCTAAGTATATGACCAATTGTCATTGTAATATTCACTGCTGGGATAAAGCCGACAGCGTTGGTATATCCCACAAGCTCTTGCTGTTTTTGATTTCCAATTGTGTTTTTCTACACAGTACAAAATATTTATTACAATTTGCAGGCTATATCTTAAACATTTGGGCCCATGTCAGTCCTGTTTTTCAGTGAGTTTCCTGTCCTGCAGAAGGAAAAGCTAAATACAAAGGTTGTAGCATTACAGTCCTGCAATTAGAGAACGTGCAATTGCAGATGTTCTTATGCACATGTATTTGAACAGGGAAGCGTTGCGGTGGAGCCAACAAGCTAGGGACACTGAAGCAAATATGGTATCAGGGGTGTCAAGGGCTTTTAAGTCCAGCAATGCTCTGGAAAACTGTCCATAAAAGAGTCAGAACAGAACTTCAGTTGGAGGTCTCATCTGAAAGACCACCTTTCCCAGAGGATGATACCACTCACAAAAAGAGATAATTAACCTAACCATGATGCATCATCAAATCAATGTCTTTCACCTTACAATTGGTCATAAATACGTTTTAGAAAACAGGGTTTCCTTGGTATGCTCAATATTAGGCTTTAGTTTCAATTTGGTTAAGCGCTTCATTTGTTTAGTATTTGCAGAAAGTGCAGAGCAGACATTATTGACGAGGCTTGGCAGTAGTACTAGCTAGTAACATTGAGCTTACTGCTATGACTAGAGAAAAGGTGAAAGGCAAAGGATGGCCACATTTGTTTGGAGGGAGGGGGGTGGCAAGAAACCAACTTACTTGAGTTACAAAGCCAGACTCCTTTTATAAAACAATTGTATTATCTCTCTCAAATCTTTGTAATAAAAATAATATGCCATGTAATAAATGCACTTCAACTGATTTAAATACGGCAGATTTTGTGCACCCAGCGTCCAACTTTGAGACGAGCAAATACTCAACATTTCACCAGTTATTGTATTTTGAGCTGAGGCCGAGATGTGTGTGTCGTGAACAACATTCATGTGAGAAACAATAGTGAAATCGGCGGTTCGCATCAAAATAAAAGTCCCCCATTGAAACTGATTCAAACGGATAAAAATATTATAATCATGGCACAATTGGACTAGATAATGCACAAAAAAAGTTGAAATGTTGTTATATAAATAATATAAATAACTGCAATTCAGAATTGCATTGGGGGCATACTTATATACACTGTACAGCCTAACCTATGGATTGTGCACCTATGAAATGGGGTTTCAGCCTACTCAGTGACACTCACAGAACACAACTATGTAGAGTTTACACAAATATTAGCATCTTAGTTCTTATTGCAGGATTTTGATTGTGGAAAATCATATTTCCAGTCAGTCTATTGTGTGTATTGGACATTCATTGGACATTCATATTGAACTGAAATATCATAATTGGATAAGTCTCCACTCCCCTGAGGGAATACTTGGTGGCAGCCATTACAGCTGTGAATCGTTTTCATTAAGATTCTATCAACTTTGCAAGACTCTTTGAGCAACATATAGCCATCATTTCTGTCAAAATTGCTCAATATCAGTACATTTGGTTAAGGGATCATTGATGGACAGCGATATTTAAACTTTGTCTCTGATTTTTTAAAAGCAGATTTAAGTCAGGACAGGCTACACCACTCAGGAACACTCGACATCTCTTGGAAAGCCATTTTGGTGTGTCATTTACATAAAAATGTGTGTAATTGTCCCTCAGAAAAATAGAACCTTATCCCAGGGTTAGGTTTTCAGAAGACTGAGGTATTTCCTTTGATCATAACAAACTCTCCAGACACATAACATGATGCTGCCACCACAATACTTTAAAACACAAAGGGATAACAACATATGACTGTAAGTCGCTTTGGATAAAAGCGTCTGCTAAATGGCATATTATTATTATTATTTATTTAACTGTACAGCCAAACCTATGGATTGTGCACCCATTAAATGGGGTGTCAGCTTACTCAGTGACACTTACAGAACACAACTGTGAAGAGTTTACACAAATATTAGCGTCTTAGCTTTTGTTGCAGGACTCTGAAACCACTAAAATTAGCAACATAAGCTCACCAGTCAACCTATGTCTATTGAACATTCATATTGCACTATACAGCCTAACCTATGGATTGCGCACCCATGAAATGGGGTATCAGTCTACTCGGTGACACCCATAGAACACAACTATGTAGAGTTTACACAAATATTGGCGTCTTAGATGACCGTTTAAAGCCATTTTTCCCAGTTGTCTTGATCGCTCGGAAGTCGGATATTTCCGAGTTCCCAGTTGTTTTGAACACGGCTGGTAACTAGGAACTGGGAAATATCAGACTTCCGAGTGTTCAAGACAACTGGGGAACTCGGGAAAAAATGATCTCCGATCATCATCCAACTCGGAATTCCAAGTCGGGAACTCTGGCCTTTTTCTAGAGCTCCGATTTTCCGACCTGAAGATCACTGACATCATGAATCGACCTTGTTTGTTTCCGAGTTCCCAGTTGAACCATAAATCTCAGCGGAGGGAGAGAGACATGGTCCCTGCTCTCTCCTTCCTTTCCTCATATGAGACTGACCAGAGAGAGGGGACACCGTTTTTCACCTGATGGCGAAACTCGAGTCGCTCTGGCTCTGCATCTGCCTCATGCATAAATTCATGTTGTTCCTACAACCAAAGAAAGTGAAATATTCTTCAATATTAAAATGGACATGACGAGCTGCTAATGATAATACAAATGCAGGGCTATCGATACACTTGGCTACTCATTCAATGCAGCTCCAGTGTGAGTGGAAGTAGGGAGATGCACGTTTTATGTTTTGTAATAGTGTTGAATAAAAACTTAAACATGAACTCACTCATAAAAACAGCAGCTTTTTGCTGTATTCTTTGACAGTCTACCTCTGGTCATTGTTATAAAAGGTATGAAATCTCATGTAGGCTAGTATCAAACTTTGCTGTGGCCGTGGGGTCGTGGAAGCTGTAGGCACTGTGATTAGCCACAGATCTCCCGGTCCTCCAGGCAGGCCGAGTTTGTCTTTTCAGACAAATGACATGGTTAAATAATGGGAACACTTAGCCTGCGCAGGGCTTCTGAATCACGATCGACCGGTTGGTGACCACTGGGTTAGGCTGTACAGTGCAATATGAATATCCAATACACACAATAGACTGACTGGAAAGGTGACTTCCCACATTCAAAGTCCTGCAATAAGAGCTAAGATGCTAATATTTGTATGAACTCTACACAGTTGTGTTCTGTGAGTGTCACTGAATAGGCTGATAGATTAGATTACATGAGTTTATTAGTCAGATGCACAGGGTCGCAGAGCTAGGAAGTCTGGGGGGCAGGAGGGGGAAAGGGGGAGCAGGTAGCTGCCTAGGGGTGACTATTCAGCAGCCTGATGGTCTGGGGGTAGAAGTTATTGGCCAGTCTCACAGTTTTTGCCATGATGCTCCTATACTGCCCACGTCTGAGTGATGGATCAGGCCGTGGCTCGGGTGTCTGAGGTCTTTGATGATCTTCTTTGCCTTCCTGCGACACCTGGTGTTGTAGGTGTCTTGGAGGGCAGGCAATGTGCACCCAATGGTGCATTCGGCTGAGCGTACCACACTCTGTACAGCCTTGCGGTCAGCAGCGGTGGAGTTGCCGTACCAGGCTGTGATGCAGCCCGACAATATGCTCTAGATGGTGCTCCTGTAGAACAGGGCCCTCTGGGACAGGCCGAACTTCTTCAGCCTCTTGAGGTTGAAGAGTCGCTGTCGCGCCTTCTTAACCATGGTGTCCGTTTGGTTTGACCATTTCAGCTCCTCTGAGATTTGTACGTCGAGGAACTTGACATTCTTTATCATCTCCAGGCGGCCTCATCGATGAGGATGGAGGTGTGCCCAGCCTGGTTCCTTCTGAAGACCACAATCAGCTCCTTTGTTTTGGTGACGTTGAGGGAGAGGTTGTTTGCCTGGCACCACGCCGTCAGAGCGCCTACCTCCTCTCTGTAGGCCACCTTGTTGCTGGTAGTATTCAGGCCTACTACTGTCGTGTCATCAGCGAACTTAATGATGGAGTTGGAACTGTGTGAGGCTACGCAGTCGTGGGTATACAGGGAGGACTGGAGGGGACTGAGGACGCACCCTTGTGGGGTCCCCGTGTTAAGGATCAGTGTGGTGGAGGTAATGTTGCCTACCTTCACCACCTGGGGACAGCCCGTCAGGAGGTCCAGGACCCAGTTGCATTGGGAGGAGTTCAGTCCCAGGGCCGTGAGCTTTGTGGTGAGCTTAGAGGGCACTATGGTGATACCCCATTTCATGGGTGTACAATCCATAGGTTAGGCTGCACATTTTACATTTACATTTTAGTCATTTAGCAGACGCTCTTATCCAGAGCGACTTACAGTTAGTGCATACATTATTTTTTATTTTTTTCATACCCCTGTGCACAGAGCAATATGAATTTTCAATATACAGGCTGATTGGTGAGCTTTATGTTGCTCATTTCAGTGGTTTCAGTCCCGCAATATGAGCTAAGACTCTCATAAATTATTTGTGTAAACATTTTTGGGTCAAATTAACTAATAATTGTCTTTTGTTTCATTTATATAACAACACTCCAACCTTGTTTAGCATTATCTAGTTCAATTGTGGCATGATTTCACAATTTGTATCTGTTTGCGTCAGTTTCAATGGTGGACTTTTACTTTGAAGGCGAACCGCTGATTCCACTATTGTTGCTCACGCTAATGTTGTTCACAACACACTGGTGAAGACGAGGCTTGGGGAAAAAGAAGCGCCAGAGTCTGCGCAAAACGAACGCGTCTAGTGGTCGCGCTGCTTGTGCTGTCACGAGCCTTGTCCAAGGCTACTGAGTAGCGAATTTACATAAATTATTGATGACATCGAATTGTCTTCGTTTAGCCATCGGACATACATTATTAGATAAGATACATTGTGGAAATACGATTGTATGCTAACAACTGGTGATGTTTCCAAACATTTGAAATAGCTAGCTAGCCAGCTAGCTGTTTAGCTAGCTTGCCGTGCGTGACTCACTGACAGAGTCAGATATCAGACCGAGTGGCTATTTTTTTGGCATTCTGCTTTTTCTCTGATATCTGGATATATAATATATTTATCGGGTAGATATAGTTAGTTACAACTGCGTGTACTTTCACCGTCATTTGGTCGTGGGCGAAGGGAAGGTTTGAATGAATTTGCTAGCCAGCGGAAACGTCGGCTAGTTAACGTGGATACACTTTAGGAACCATACCGCTAGCTTGCTGAATTGATCCACGGCACGGCCATCCAAACTAGCTAATGTGCTAGCAAGCTATTATAAACGTACTATTTTTGGTAAAACGCCAAGGAACAGAAACTGTTAAAGGTTCGCTAATTAGCTAGGAAACAAGCTAACACAACCTGTACTGTAACACCTAAACGCCAGCTGACGTTTGATAGCTGACCGTCGACGATTCATTTTTTACGGGAAAGGCCGGAGTGAGGAAAGAAACCAGCAAAAATGCCGGCTGTGTCGAAGGGAGATGGGATGCGGGGATTAGCGGTGTTCATTTCGGACATACGGAATTGTGAGTGTCTTTTTCCATCATTGATTAGCTTTTCAACGTGCCATGTTATTATAAACATTTGCATGGTGGACGACATTTGAGCAACAGACATTTGTTTGCAAGTGTGCCCTGAAATGTAGTGGTGTAAAGTGAAACAGATAGCTAACTAGCTAGATGTCAGATGGTAAGGAGAGAGTAGGGGGGTTATAGCTATGGAGAGGTAATCGCGGGCACAGTTGCTGTTGCACCGCATCCCTTTTCCATTTGCGCAGCCTACTGTGCTTGTGATGATACCCGGTCGACCGTGATGATGTGTTGTGTGACAGACTCGTAGTATACTACTAGGCCGCAACCCATTAGATGTTGTCACTGCTGTTCACGTCACCTGCACCAGAACAGAAGCAGGGAAGCTGACGGTTGATATCGCGACGGGCCACCAGGGTCAATTTTGCTCTGTTTTTTTGTGATAATACATTTATCAGGTAGTCGCCTAGGGCGAAATTAAGCAGGGCTGGATAGACAGTTACGTTGTATCGCTGTTCAAATATACAGTAGCTAAACCAGCCAGTTGAAGGACTGGGTCGATTGGAATTGGTCACCACTAGCAGCATAGTAGTCGATCATGTGTTTGCCTACCTAGTTTAGTGACATTTAATGTATTGTTAATAGTTGGAATAATATACAAATGTTGCTAATCCAGTTTTTCTATTTATAGTCCTGGCCTATAGTGCATTGTCTGTCGTAAGGCACACATACACACACACGATCCATACATTATACAGATATTGTTGTTAGTCTATAAGAGTATCCAAATGCATGACACTGCCATTTTTCATAACCACTGTCATGACAGAGCAGAAGACTCTTTCTCACTCACTCAAAATACACAAACACAGCACACACACACCTTGTGCACATAAACCCTTACGAAAAAATATTGCAGTCAGAGTGCAGTACACTGCAGTATAACTGTAGTTAGTGCAGTATAACTGCAGTTATTCTGCAATTACAGCGTTAAAAATACCACAGTCAAGTGCAGTTACTGAACTTTTACTGCAGTTTGAAAACTGCAATCTTTTTTTTGTAAGGGAAAATGCATGTGTTTAGAATACTAGAGTGTCTCGCTTTCAGCCTCCAACTGTTTCATGTAAAGCTGGCCATTACAAAAAAAGTGCAGGAACAGCAGTCGACTGTGGTATTGTGGACGCAGAATAATTGCAGTGTACAGCAGTTATACTGCACTCTCACTGCAGTTACACTGCAAAATTATTGCAGTAATAAAAATGGTTATTTTGAATGCAGCATACTGCACTCTAACTGCAGTTATACTGTATTGTACTTCAGTTATACTGTGCTCTGACTGCAATCTTTTTTCGTAAGGAGGCACCGCATGGCATTTAGGGTACCATGCCCCTCCTCTTTCAAACATTTATCTATTCTTCATAAATACATAGCCTAATTCTCCCTCATTCACCCTATCTAAGCACTTTACACAGGCTAGGCCCTACCTCTTTCAAGTTTCCCCATTATGCTACTCTTTCACCCCTTCTCTCTTTCCCCCACATGGCCCTATTCCCACTACGAAAATATTTCTACTTTTCAATTCACATTCCTTCCTTGCCTTACCTTTCGTTGTGGCTGGCAACGTGACATTCTTGGTCCGCAGCTCAAATTGACCGTAAATATCACAGTAAGCCAGTAAAGCACTAACTATTCAACAATGACAAACTTTTCTTTTACATTTTTACATTTTAGTCATTTAGCAGACGCTCTTATCCAGAGCGTTAAGTGCCTTGCTCAAGGGCACATCGACAGATTTTTCACCTAGTCGGCTCGGGGATTAGAACCATTGACCTTTCGGTTACGGGCACAACGCTCTTAACCACTAAGCTACCTGCCGCCCCATATTACACTATTGAATAATGCAACCAAACCATATTACACTCTTGAATAATGCAACAATTCACAAGCATGTGCAGACAATTAAAATGTTTATTTTATCACCTGTAGTCTACTCACTACATTTTAGCTTCAAGACAAAAGCACAGTTGCTAACAGCATGTCTTCATCAAGTAAAGTTAGCCTTTAAAAAATTAACAATTAACCCTCTCATACGAATATAAAAGTACTGTAGGCCTACCTAACAACATTACAACAAACCTGGCATAATTTTTTATCAATAGCATGCAAATCATTACATGTGGTAAAAGCAAATTGTAACTGAAAACAGGGGTATAAGTGAATTCATTGTGGAGTTGCGATGAGCTGTTTTATATGGATGCCCATACCCGCCATCCCCAAAAATAAATTCTTAATGATTTGTGAAGATGCAAAATTAGTCTGTGCTTCATTCTGATAAACTGTAGCCTACTGATGACAACCACAGCTACATGTAGCCTAGAGAAGCCTATGCGCTCTGATCCCATCTGGGCCTGGCCAGGGGAAACGTAACATCATATTTTTATAGTCAAAGCTATGTATTTATAGCCTAAAATAGGCCCATTTTATTTGTGTTCTTAGACAATGTGATTGTGATCAAATTTGGTTTATATTCAAACTTCGGGTGGCTAGGCTACTTGGGCCTTTTGAATAAAAAATGGACTGGAATTAATCTACACAATAGTGATGACATACTGTATGAGTATCTTTTTAATTACAGATGCAAAGGCCTACACGATGCAACCCTGCATAAAGCTAGCTCGGCCCTGTTAGTTTTATTGTCCAATCGCAGTTGTTGTCTGTGTAAAGGGTTTTAATGTTTTCATCCTCCTAGGGCCAGGAGTTTGTCTAGTTTTAATTTTTCTATAAACCATATGACCTAATTAGAACAAATCTGGTGCCATCATAGCTCATACAAAACCACTTTTTACAGCTGATTTATTACTATGACATACGCTACAACTAGTGTCCGGAGTTGGTTAGGTTAGCCTACTACCACATCCGTAAAAACTGGGCCCCAGGAAAACAAATTCCCCCCAGCACTCTGGGACTAGTGGTACCACCTCTGAAATCATCACACTATGTTACAAATGAAAAAACACATCCTATTTGTATGTTTTTGGTGGTGGGGATTGGCTTCCATAGTTTTATGTGGCTCAATGCAGCTGTCGGCTGCTGCAACTATTTCAAAATGTAACAGGCTGTTACTGCAATTTCAGGTAAAACTCAATAAAACATGTCTCATATTAGGAAAATGTCTATACATTTCAGCTGTTTCAAAAATATTGCTCTCCATTTATACTGTTTACAGTGCCCTGCTTCAAGGGGGCAACTGTCGGGTCGAGTGTTGTGCGCTACCTCTGGAGGTAGCGGTTGAGACGTAGCAAGAATGCAAGTTTACATTTGAGTAATATGTGTAGCCGATGGTATTTTCACAAACATTGTAGTCAGATTGAAGAGGCTCCAAGAGCCCCCCCCCCCACACACACTCCTCACTCTTGAAAACCGTCTCCTCTTGACCACACCCTTCACACAACTTTTCTCTTGTTATAACCATTCCTTAAATGTATGTCTCAAATTATGAAAAGTGTCATTTCCTCAAAACCTCATGGGTCATGCATCGAACCTGCATACTTGTGTCCGCTTGCTTATGTTCTATGCAGCATATTATTATTTCCAGACATTTTGTGCAAACTGAACAGATTATCTGAAATAAGTAAGTGTAAAGCTATTCTATTGAGGGCAGGTTTCAGACTCAGATTAGACCAATCCAGACAGTAGGCTTTTTTTTCTCTCCAGTTTTAGTCAAAGAATGTAGGCTAAACCTTTAGATTAACCTTGGATTATATAGGCCTACTTCTTAAACTGCAGATTCTGTGACTTGGATCTGTTAGCCAAAATGTAGCCACAGTTCAGTAGAATATTCAAATGCATCCATGAAACCATAGGGTAAATCCATTTGAATTCAATAATTTTTTGACAGCATCGCTTGTGATTTAAACAAAACTTTCCATACAAAACTTTCCATACACTTTCCAATTTTATTCCCATTTTAGTACATTTATCAGCCAAAACATGACACTCACCCTGTATTCAAGAGCATGTTGTCTCAACCGATGGCGGTCACAACACAATAACCTTAGATTATAGGGCTGCACGATTAATCAAATTCAGATTGTAATTGCGATATTGACGTGCAACAACCATATCGCAAGAGTCTGCGATTTTCTCTTTTATTTGTCACGCAGTTAATACAACAAAAACTAGACTACAGTACCTCCTCCAATGAGATCCGCTAGACTCCGTTCATTCACACTCTACATGCACAGAGGATGCTGACCAATCACAAGCGGACTCTCTGCATGGCATGCACATGCTGGCCAATCACAAGCGTCCCCACTTAAAGCACATGCTGGTGAGGAGAGAAAGGGCTTTACCAAAAAAGGGTGCATCTTCAGTGGTATGGCAGTATTTCGGCTACAGCAAAAAGTGCCTCAGAGTTGTGATGACAACAAGACGCGACAACAAGAGGCAACACAACAAATGTATTAAATCATTTGAAGAATAACCATCCCCTACTTTACGACGATTGCATGGTAAGAAAACTCGCCCGACAGCAGCAAAGCCCTTCAGCCACAACCAGCCAGCTACGTTAAAGGGCAATTCCGCCACTTTTCAACCTCATATTCATCACCTCCAGCACCAAACAAGTGTCTACATACTGTATGTGAATACGTTTCTATGATCTGGGGTTAAAAATATAAGTAGAAAGGCCCTAAAAAAATGCTTCTGAGACATCACAGGGTAGGATTTTCAAAACTTGCAATGAGTTTCTAGACCAAGGGGGTATTTTCCTGCTCCCCAAGTCACCGCGTCTCATAATTTTTGAAAATCACTGTTTTTAAAATGTTGTAATGTTATTTTTATGTTTGATTTTTTTATCCTTTATTTATTTTAGTCATTTTTTTTTATTACCCCCTTTTTCTCCTTAATTTTGTAGTATCCAATTGGTAGTAGTTACAGTCTTGTCCCATCGCTGCAACTCCCGTACAGACTCTGGAGAGGCAAAGGTCGAGAGCCTCTCCCGAGTCCTCCGAAACACAACCCAGCCGAGCCGCGCTGCTTCTTGACATAATGCCCGCTTAACCCAGAAGCACCAATGTGTCGGAGGAAACACCGTACACCTGGTGACTGTGTCAGCGTGCACTGCGCCCGGCCCGCCACAGGAGTCGCTAGTGCGCGATGGGACAAGAATACCCCTGCCGGCCAAACCCTCACCTAACCTGGACGACGCTAGGCCAATTGTGCGCCGCCCCATGGGTCTCCCGGTCGCGGCCGGCTGCGACAGAGCCTGGACTCGAACCAGGATCCTAGACCACTGCGCCACTCGGGAGTACCTGTTTTAACTTTTGATGATGTCATCGGGTAGAACTTTTAAACTTTATATATACATATTTTTCTACAAAACTTAGAAATGCACCATTTTCACATATGTTGGCACTGGTATTGTGCTGGAGATAATGAAAATGAGGTTGAAAAGTGGTTGAGTTGCCCTTTTCTTGAACAGGCATTGATTGCTCGTGCGTTTTCAAGTGTAACGCCCTACGAAAAACATCCTGCAGACACATGGAAATCACAGAGGCTATCACATGGTTCCTATTTACACAGTCGGCAAAGACTGCTTCAAGAAGATGATAAACAAGCTGGCCAGGAGATACAAGATTCCATCTCGCACATATTTCTCCCAAGTCGCCATCCCAACGCTATAACAAAATTAAGGGAGAAGGTGAATCATGTTGCGTTGGATGACTGGACCAGACTCCAATGTTTTGAACAGGCTGCACCTTGCAATCGATAGGCTACGTGTCACATGATTTTAAGTTACTTTGACTTATAATTTCAATTATAATAATGATTGAGCCTACTTATAATTGCACAATCATAAGCTTCCCATTCCATCTTCAGCCAATGGCTGCCTGAATAAATAATTAACTTAGGTTATTTAAGAACTCATAATGGTAAAATAGGAAGTTGTGTAATTCATTAATTCATTAATAAGTGCTGTGCTTATAGCGCACTATATTTTGATGATCATGTTAAAAATGTATGTTTGTTAGTATGTAGGTGTAATAATCCTATCTATTGTCATATGTAGCCTATAAAAATGTTGGAAAATATTTATTTAATTTGGTTTTGTATTCAGTTAGCACAGTATGTATTCATTCATATGATCTCATTTTAGAAGTGATGTCTACCCTGACATTTGTTTTAACCATGTCTGATGGAATTCACATTTCGTTATCACAATTAGATATTTTGTCCAAATCGTGCAGCCCTATTAGATTATGTAAAATAGGGTATAAAATACAACATATGCAAATGAATTTTTAGATCATTTACGTTAAAGGTTAAACACAGAAATTATAAAATAGTTGTAAGCTTTTAAATTATATCAGTCTCAACCCTTTATCTTTTTCCAATGATGAAGACATGGATGTCTCATCGTATGGTGTGGAATGCAAAATGGGTCAGCTTTGAGCACCTTTATCTCTTGAATGTTTTGGCATTCCGGTCCCAAAAGTCACTTTCTTAGCACTTCTACAATGGGCAAATATATATGGAAGGTTTTGTTCAAATCAAAAGGGGGGATGCCAAAAAGTGAATCAATTCAAATGGATTTACTCCATTATTATCTAGAGAGTAGGCTAGCCTGATCTAGACCTTTTTGAAAATACCACAATATAGATTGTATATTGAGTAGTCTAGATGTTACCACGCAGGACCATATTTATATTGCAGATGATGAACTTTCCTAACATATGTAATGTCTTGATTGTATGTAAAAGCTATGCAAATTAATGTATTCAGGGCTCGACATACAGGGCTGCCTGCTGGCCCGGGGATGTTTTGGAAACCCACCGGGCCAGTCGATCATCTCCGTCAGTGACCCGCTTGGGCCAGTGAAAAAAATATTGTAATAATGCTATTTTTAATCTAGGCTATATAATTGATTGTATTATATATGTTGATTTATTTATCACACGCGCTGCACACATACAGTACCTTCGGAAAGTATTCAGACCCATTTACCTTTTCCACATTTTGTTAAGTTACAGCCTTATTCTAAAATAGATTAAATAAATAAAAATCCTTAGCAATCTACACACAATACCCCAAAATGACAAAGTGAAAACAGGTTTTTAGAAATTTTTGCAAATTTATTAAAAATTAAAAACACAAATACCTTATTTACATAAGTATTCAGACCCTTTGCTATGAGACTCGAAATTGAGCTCTGGTGCATCCTGTTTCCATTGATCATCCTTGAGATGTTTCTACAACTTGATTGGAGTCCACCTGTGGTAAATTCAATTGATTGGACATGATTTGGAAAGGCACACACCTGTCTATATAAGGTCCCACAGTTGACAGTGCATGTCAGAGCAAAAAAAAACAAGCAACGAGGTCGAAGAATTTGTCTGTAGAGCTCCGAGACAGGATTGTGTCGAGGCACAGATCTGGGGAAGGGTACCAAAACATTTCTGCAGCATTGAAGGTCCACAAGAACACAGTGGCCTCCATCATTCTTAAATGGAAGAAGTTTGGAACCACCAAGACTCTTCCTAGAACTGGCCGCCCGGCCAAACTGAGCAATCGGGGGAGAAGGGCCTTGGTCAGGGAGGTGACCAAGAATCCGATAGTCACTCTGAAAGAGCTCCAGAGTTCCTCTGTGGAGATGGGAGAACCTTCCAGAAGGACAGCCTTTATGGTAGAGTGGACAGATGGAAGCCACTCCTCAGTAAAAGGCACATGGCAGCCTGCTTGGAGTTTGCCAAAAGGCACCTAAAGGACCCTCAAACCATGAGAAACAAGATTCTCTGGTCTGATGAAACCAAGATTGAACTCTTTGGCCTGAATGCCAAGCGTCACGTCTGGAGGAAACCTGGCACCATCCCTACGGTGAAGCATGGTGGTGGCAGCATTATGCTGTGGGGATGTTTTTCAGCGGCAGGGACTGTGAGACTAGTCAGGATCGAGGCAAAGATGAACGGAGCAAAGTACAGAGAGATCCTTGATGAAAACCTGCTCCAGAGCGCTCAGGATTTCAGACTGGGGCGAAGGTTCACCTTCCAACAGGACAACGACCCTAAGCACACAGCCAAAACAACGCAGGAGTGGCTTGGGGAAAAGTCTCTGAATGTTCTTGAGTGGCCCAGCCAGAGCCTGGAATTGAACCCGATCAAACATCTCTGGAGAGACCTGAAAATAGCTGTGCAGCGACGCTCCCCATCCAACCTGACAGAACTTGAGAGGATCTGCAGAGAAGAATGGGAGAAACTCCCCAAATACAGGTGTGCCAAGTTTACAGCGTCATACCCAAGAAGACTCGAGGCTGTAATCACTTCCAAAGGTGCTTCGGCAAAGTACTGAGTAAAGGGTCTGAATACTTATGTAAATGTGATATTTCAGTTCTTTATTTTTAACAAAGTAGCACACATTTCTAAAAACCAGTTTTTGCTTTGTCATTATTGGGTATTGTGTTTAGATTGATGAGGAATAAAAAAAAGTAATACAAAAAATTAGAATAAGGCTGTAACGTAACAAAATGTGGAAAAAGTCAAGGGGTCTGAATACTTTCCAAAGGCACGTGTAACTTTTTGTCAATTTTTTTAATGAGCTGCATTAAATATAATTCCTTACAACAGGGCTGCCCAACACTCTTCCTGGAGATCTACCGTCCTGTGGGTTTTCAGTCCAACCCTAATTTAACACACCTGATTCTACTTATTAGCTGCTCAACAAGACCTTAACTAGCTGAATCAGATATGCTAAATTAGGGTTGGACTGAAAACCTACAGGACAGTAAATCTCCAGGAAGAGGGTTGGGCAGCCCTGCTTTACAACTTTGGTTGGTATGGCAATAAAGTATTAAAACTTGAATCCAAACTAAAATGGCTGCCCCACTTCCTCCCCAGGTAAGAGCAAGGAGGCGGAGATCAAGCGGATCAATAAGGAGCTGGCCAACATCCGCTCCAAGTTCAAGGGGGACAAGGCCCTGGATGGCTATAGTAAGAAGAAGTATGTCTGCAAGCTGCTGTTCATCTTCCTGCTGGGACATGACATCGACTTTGGACACATGGAGGCTGTCAACCTGCTCAGCTCCAACAAGTACACAGAGAAACAGATCGTAAGTGAAATGTGCGCGTGTTTGCGTGTGTGAGAGCACCCAACTTGTATGAATGGGTGTGTGCTGTGTCCTTGCGGCTATGTTTGTCTGTCTGTGTGGGTTGTCTGTATATTTTCAGTTTGTGGCAATCCATTTCTCATTGTCTATGTCTGTCTGGATCTTGATATCCCAGTCTCTGTTTTGTCAGTTGGTTGTACTTGTTGCCTGTATTTTTTGTATTTTTTGGGTATTTATTAGGGATCCCAATTAGCTGTTTCCAAGGCAGCAGCTACTCTTCCTGGGGTCCAAACATATTAAAGCACTTACATTACATATAAAACAAAAGATAAAACAGTACATCATATAACATTACACCACTACATATCTACAATACAAAATGTTTAATACCACCATACAACAATATCACAATGTGTGCGTATGCATGTGTTTGTACCTTTGTGTGTGTATCTTCACAGTCCCCGTTGTTCCATAAGGTGTATTTTTATCTGTTTTTTAAATCTGATTCTAATGCTTGCATGATAATGCTTGCTTGTTACCTGATGTGGAATAGAGTTCCATGTAGTCATGGCTCTATGTAGTACTGTGCACCTCCCATGGTCTGTTCTGGACTTGGGGACTGTGAAGAGACCTCTGGTGGCATGTCTTGTGGTGTATGCATGGGTGTCCAAGCTGTGTGCTAGTATTTTAAACAGACAGCTCGGTACATTCAGCTTGTCAACACCTCTTACAAAAACAATGAGTGATGAATTCAATCTGTGGTCCTCTGTAGCTCAGCTGGTAGAGCACGGCGCTTGTAACGCCAAGGTAGTGGGTTCGATCCCCGGGACCACCCATACACAAAAAATGTATGCACGCATGACTGTAAGTCGCTTTGGATAAAAGCGTCTGCTAAATGGCATATTATTATATTATTAATCTCTCTTCCACTTTGAGCCATGAGAGATTGACATGCATGTCATTAATGTTAGCTCTCCGTGTACTTTTAAGGGACAGCCGTGCTGCCCTGTTCTGAGCCAACTGCAATATTCCCAAGTCCCTCTTTGTGGCACCTGACCACACTACTGAACTGTAGTCTAGGTGCGACAAAACTAGGGCCTGTAGGACCTGCCTTGTTCATAGTGTTGTTAAGAAGGCAGAGCAGCGCTTTATTATGGACAGACTTCTCCCCATTTTAGCGACTGTTGTATCAATATGTTTTGACCATGAGTTTACAATCCAGGGTTACTCCAAGCAGTTTAGTCACCTCAACTTGCTCAATTTCCACATTATTCATTACGAGATGTAGTTGAGGTTTAGGGTTTAGTGAATGATTTGTCCCAAATACAATGCTTTTAGTTTTGGAAATATTTAGGACTAACTTATTCCTTGCTACCCATTCCGAAACTATCTGCAACTCTTTAAGTGTTGCAGTTATTTCAGTTGCTGTAGTAGTTGACATGTATAGTGTTGAGTCATCCGCATACATAGACACACTAGCTTTACTCAAAGCCAGTGGCATGTTGTTAGTAAAGATGGAAAGAAAAGTAAGGGGCCTAAACAGTTACCCTGGGGAATTCCTGATTCTACCTGGATTATGTTTGAGAGGCTTTCATTAAAGAACACCCTCTGTGTTCTGTTAGACAAGTAACTCTTTATCCACATTATAGCAGGGGGTGTAAAGCCATAACACATACGTTTATCCAGCAGCAGGCTAAGATCGATAATGTCAAAAGCTGCACTAAAGTCTAACAAGACAACCCCCACAATCATTTTATCATCAATTTCTCTGTCAATCATCAGTCATTTGTGTAAGTTCTGTGCCTGTTGAGTGTCCTTCCCTAAAAGTGTGCTGAAAGTCTGTTATCAGTTTGTTTACTGTGAAATACAGTGGGGAGAACAAGTATTTGATACACTGCCGATTTTACAGGTTTTCCTACTTACAAAGCATGTAGAGGTCTGTAATTGTTATCATAGGTACACTTCAACTGTGAGAGACGGAATCTAAAACAAAAATCCAGAAAATCACATTGTATGATTTTTAAGTAATTAATTTGCATTTTTATTGCATGACATAAGTATTTGATCACCTACCAACCAGTAAGAATTCCGGCTCTCACAGACCTGTTAGTTTTTCTTTAAGAAGCCCTCCTATTCTCTACTCATTACGTGTATTAACTGCACCTGTTTGAACTCGTTACATGTATAAAAGACACCTGTCCACACACTGAATCAAACAGACTCCAACCTCTCCACAATGGCCAAGACCAGAGAGCTGTGTAAGGACATCAAGGATAAAATTGTAGACCTACACAAGGCTGGGATGGGCTACAGGACAATAGGCAAGCAGCTTGGTGAGAAGGCAACAACTGTTGGCGCAATTATTAGAAAATGGAAGAAGTTCAAGATGATGGTCAATCACCCTCGGTCTGGGGCTCCATGCAAGATCTCACCTCGTGGGGCATCAATGATCATGAGGAAGGTGAGGGATCAGCCCAGAACTACACGGCAGGACCTGGTCAATGACCTGAAGAGAGCTGGGACCACAGTCTCAGTAGCTCAGCTGGTAGAGCATGGCGCTTGTAACGCCAAGGTAGTGGGTTCGATCCCCGGGACCACCCATACACAAAAATGTATGCACGCACGACTGTAAGTCGCTTTGGATAAAAGCGTCTGCTAAATGGCTTATTATTATTATTATTATTATTATTATTAAAACAATTAGTAACACACTACGCCGTCATGGATTAAAATCCTGCAGCGCACGCAAGGTCCCCGTGCTCAAGCCAGCGCATGTCCAGGCCCGTCTGAAGTTTGCCAATGACCATCTGGATGATCCAGAGGAGGAATGGGAGAAGGTCATGTGGTCTGATGAGACAAAAATAGAGATTTTTGGTCTAAACTCCACTCGCCGTGTTTGGAGGAAGAAGAAGGATGGGTACAATCCCAAGAACACCATCCCAACCGTGAAGCATGGAGGTGGAAACATCATTCTTTGGGGATGCTTTTCTGCAAAGGGGACAGGACGACTGCACCGTATTGAGGGGAGGATGGATGGGGCCATGTATCGCGAGATCTTGGCCAACAACCTCCTTCCCTCAGTAAGAGCATTGAAGATGGGTCATGGCTGGGTCTTCCAGCATGACAACGACCCGAAACACACAGCCAGGGAAACTAAGGAGTGGCTCAGTAAGAAGCATCTCAAGGTCCTGGAGTGGCCTAGCCAGTCTCCAGACTTGAAATAAAAGAAAATCTTTGGATGGAGCTGGAAGTCCATATTGCCCAGCGACAGCCCCGAAACCTGAAGGATCTGGAGAAGGTCTGTATGGAGGAGTGGGCCAAAATCCCTGCTGCAGTGTGTGCAAACCTGGTCAAGACCTACAGGAAACGTATGATCTCTGTAATTGCAAACAAAGGTTTCTGTACCAAATATTAAGTTCTGCTTTTCTGATGTATCAAATACTTATGTCATGCAATAAAATGCAAATTAATTACTTAAAAATCATACAATGTGATTTTCTGGATTTTTGTTTTAGATTCCGTCTCTCACAGTTGAAGTGTACCTATGATACAAATTACAGACCTCTACATGCTTTGTAAGTAGGAAAACCTGCAAAATCGGCAGTGTATCAAATACTTGTTCTCCCCACTGTAGCATTGTATCTGGTCAAACACCATTTTTCCCAGAAGTTTACCAAGGGTTGGTAACAGGCTGATTGGTCGTCTATTTGAGCCAGCAAAGGGGGCTTTACTATTCTTGGGTAGCGGAATGACTTTAGCTTCCCTCCAGGCCTGAGGGCACACACTTTCTAGTAGGCTTAAATTGAAGATGTGGCAAATAGGAGTGGCAATATCGTCCGCTATTATCCTCAGTAATTTTCCATGCAGATTGTCAGACCCCGGTGGCTTGTCATTGTTGATAGACAACAATAATTTTATCACATCTTCCAAACGGTCTTTACGGAATTCAATTTGGTCAGATATACTTGGATGTGTAGCGTCAGCATTTGTTGCTGGCATGTCATACCTACATTTGCTTATCTTGCCAATGAAGAAGTCATTAAAGTAGTTGGCAATATCAGTGGGTTTTGTGATGAATGAGCCATCTGATTCAATGAATGATGGAGCCGAGTTTGCTTTTTTTCCCAAAAGGTCATTTAAGGTGCTCCAAAGCTTTTTACTATCATTCTTTATATCATTTATTTTTGTTTCATAGTGTAGTTTATTTTGATTTAGTTTAGTCACATGATTTCTTAATTTGCTGTACGTTTGCCAATCAGTTGGGCTGCCAGACAATTTCCTCATCAATCCCAGGGGATTTAACAGTCTTTACAGTCATTTTCGTAATGGGTGCATGCTTATTAGTAACTGGAATAAGCAATTTCATAAATGTGTCAAGTGCAGCGTCTGGTTGCTCCTCATTACACACCACAGACCAGCAAATATTCTTTACATCATCAACATATGAATCACAACAAAACGTATTGTATGACCTCTGATACACTGTATTAGGCCCAGCCTTTGGAACTTTGGTTTTCCTAGATATGGCTACTGTATTGTGATCACTACATCTGATGGATTTGGATACTGCTTTAAAGCAAATTTCTGCAGCATTAGTAAAGATGTGATCAATACATGTTGATGATTTAATTCCTGTGCTGTTTGTAAATACCCTCTGCCACTGTATTTCTTTTTCTCTTAAACTGTTCTTTCAATACACTGGTACATTTACTTAACCCATTCTGGGGTCCTAGTCTTGTCTGTCTATATTTGCAGTACAACAGATCATTGAACTTAGTGTCATTCATTCAAATGTCAAGCTCTGCTTTGGTGTTCAGATATTCTGACCGGAACATTCAATTGCCAGAGCAAAGACTTTAAAACTTTTATAAGTAGTCTTATATATGTCACGGTATGTGTGACTGTATGACTATTGGGTTATACGATGTGTATATACAAATATTTAGGTCGAAGGTTGACCTGACAGGGCGTGTTTCAGTACAAATTCTTTCACAATGGTCGTTTTATTGCTTCTTTAATCAGCACAACAGTTTTCAGCTGTGCTAACATAATTGCAAAAGGGTTTTCTAATGATCAGTTAGCCTTTTAAAATGATAAACTTGGATTAGCAAACACAACGTAGCATTGAAACACAGGACTGATGGTTGCTGATAATGGGCCTCTGTACGCCTATGTAGATATTCCATTAAAAATCAGCCATTCCAGCTACAATAGCCATTTACAACATTAACAATGTCTACACTGTATTTCTGATCAATTTGATGTTATTTTAATTGACCAAAAAATTGCTTTTCTTTCGAAAACAAGGACATTTCTAAGTGACCCCAAACTTTTGAACGGTAGTGTTTATCACCAGTAGTAGCCTACATTTACTGTTAATTCCTATGATTTCTAATCTACAATGTTTGTTTGGTTACAGTCATTTCTGTTAATGCATTCAATGTATTATTATTCCAGTCTTTTACTGTTCTCATTGTCAGAGTGGACACGTTGTTTGCAGAGCACCCAACCTATGCTACATCTTGTGAGAAACAACTTCTGGTTCATTTCATTCCATTTACGAGTTTTGTCAATTTAATCATAATCTTTTGTTTGGAGCGCTACTGTCAATGTTAAGTAAGGACGTGCATTGATTATGCATAGATGTAGGCCTATAGGACCTGGATATTTCCTACCTGCAGGCTGCAATGTTTTTATTTGTTGGCTTTATTTAAGCTATTTCTACATAGTTGGCAATGACAATAGAAGTTGCTTTTTAGTTTTGTATCATTTAAATTTATATTTGGATAGAATTTTGATTAACCACATGACAATGATTATGAGATACGAAGACGTTATTATAAATTAAATTAAAATGTTCCACGATATGAAACCATAACTGGCACGCAGATCGGTAGAAATTGTAAGATAAGTTGGCATTCCACATGAGAAAGGTTGCCGACTTCTCGTGTAGCCTATTACCGGCAACTTCAGGAGAGTAATGGCCGAATCTGTAAAAGCCAGCAGGAGGAGGATGGTCAGGTTAAGGTTGTTCTCTTCTTGATCTCTGGCTCCCTCTTGAGTCATTTGTGTCTTATTTGATCAAACAGTGTGCTAAAGCATCAGACAAGCTCAATTCATATGTAATTGATTTTATTAAAACACATATATGGAAAACACTATATGTTACAAATTTAGACCAATCGATTGGTCGAAAGAACAGACAACTTTCAGTCGAGCAAGATTTTTTTTAGTCGGGGACAGCCCTAGGACGTTTACATGTTAAAACGTTTAAACAAAATGTAGATCCTGAATATTAAGAAAAATCCCTAACCGAAAAACAATGTTTTTTTCTTTCTTTAAAATCACAGTGCAGTTATCACAAAACTACCACTAACAGGTTCCGATCATCATCATTAAGGGAAAAATAAACAAATACCTAATGCAACAATGCTGTAACGTTAGTAGGAGGGAAAAAATGATATTTTATTAACCAGAGCTGTAATGCATGAGGGAGAGCAAGAGACTCAAAGCAGAGCAGCAGCTCAAATGTGCGTGACGAGGGGAGCAGGGAGGGGGAGAGCGACAGCAACCAAGTTGACTGGTACTGGTAAACTAACTTATTGCTAGTTTTTTAAAATCAATTTTACATTTGTTATTTAGCAGACGCTCTTATCCAGAGCGACTTACAGTAGTGCAGGGGGTTCTCAAACTTTTTTGGCCCACGACTCCATTTTGATATCTGAAAAATTTCAAAGCACTTCATGGCTACCGACGTGAGTGCTACGGGGCGGTAGTCATTTAGGCAGGTTACCTTCGCATTCTTGGGCACAGGGACTATGGTGGTCTGCTTGAAACGTGGGTATTACAGACTCGGTCAGGGAGAGGTTGAAAATGACAGTGAAGATACTTGCCAGTTGGTCCGGGCATGCTCTGAGTAGGTCCGCGCATGCTCTGAGTACACGCCCTGGTAATCCGCCTGGCCCTGCGCCCTTGTGAATATTGATCTGTTTAAAGGTCTTGCTCACATTGGCAACGGAGAGCGTGATCACACAGTCGTCCGGAACAGCTGGTGCTCTGATGCATGCTTCAGTGTTGCTTGCCTCGAAGCGAGCATAAAAGGCATTTAGCTTGTCTGGTAGGCTCGCGTCACTGGGCAGCTCCCGGCTGGGTTTCCGTTTGTAGTCCGTAATAGTTTGCAAGCCCTGCCACATCCGCAGAGCGTCAGAGCCGGTGTAGTAGGATTCAATCTTAGTCCTGTATTGACGCTTTGCTTGTTTGATGGTTCGTCTGAGGGCATAGCGGGATTTCTTAAGCGTCCGGATTAGTTTCCCGCTCCCTGAAAGCGGCAGCTCTTTAGCTCGGTGCTGATGTTGCCTGTAATCCATGGCTTCTGGTTGGGATATGTACGTATGGTCACTGTGGGGACTACGTCGTCAATGCACTTATTGATGAAGCCCGTGACTGAGGTGGTATACTCCTCAATGCCATTGGATGAATCACAGAATCCCCGGCCACTAGGAGCGCCGCTTCTGGATGAGTATTTTCTTGTTTGCTTATGGCCTTTTACAGCTCGTTAAGTACGGTCTTAGTGCCAACATCGGTTTGTGGTGGTAAATAGACGGCTACGAATAATATAGATGAGAACTCTTGGTAGATGGTGTGGTTTACAGCTTATGAGGTACTCTACCTCAGGCGAGCAATACCTCAAGACTTCTTTAATATTAGACATCGCGCAGCAGCAGTTATTGACAAATAGACACACACCACCGCCCCTCGTCTTACCAGACGTAGCTACTCTGTCCTGCAGATGCAGAGAAAACCCAGCCAGCTCTATATTATCCATGTCGTCGTTCAGCCACGACTCAGTGAAATATAAGATATTACAGTTTTTAATGTCCCGTTGGTAGGATAGTCTCGATCGTAGATCATCAAGTTTGTTTTCCAGTGATTGCACATTAGCCAATAGGACCGATGTTAATGGCGATTTACTCACTTGCCTTCGAACCCTAACAAGGCACCCCGACCTTCTCCCTCTGTATCTTCGCCTTTTCTTCACGCGAATGACGGGGATTTTGGCCTGTTCTCCTGAAAGCAGTATATCCTTCGTCGGACTCATTAAATAAAAAATCTTCGTCCAGTTCGAGATGAGTAATCGCTTTTCTGATGTCCAGAAGCTCTTTTCGGTCATAAGAGACGGTAGCAGCAACTTTATGTACAAAATAAGTGACCAACAAAAAACAAACAAAATAGCACTGTTGGTTAGGAGCCCGTAAAACGGCAGCCATTCCCTCCGGCGCCATTATTAACAATCTAAGTGAATAGCCTTGATAATGACGATTTGTGGTTGCAGACTCATAAAGCATATCTTATGAGGCATAATGAAGCATTGTAATGCCTTCAGATGCATCACATGTTGGGTCTATATCAATCCAGTGACGATATACGTAGGCCCCTAACACACTGTCATTCCAATGACCGTATTATGTAAGCCTGTGATGGCAATCACTACAAATAAAGTGTTATTGATCTTTCTCTCCCTCATCACAGTAGAACATACATTAAGTGGCAGCCAGTGGGAGGCTACTAGCCGACAGAGCCATGGAGAGTTCTGCCTACTTTAATAACGGACGCCATGTTTGCGCCTTTGAACATTTAAATGGATCAATTCATGACAAGTATTTCGGATTCTAATTCTCTAACTGTGTAAATATATGGCTCTGCTAGCCGTTATGGCGCTGGGATCGCCCAGCTTGACATCATTAGAAACATGAGCTAAGTCCCAATTCTCTTTCTCACATGGATTTGACAACGGTGGAAACTCCCTCCAGCCATTACTTACACCAATTCCATGCTTTTAAATCAATGACGGGGAGTGTGCAAGTGCACATTTCTGGAAAAGAGTGGAGAATCGGGACGTAGCCATAGTGACACAGGAGCGTTAGGCCGCTAACAGCATAGCAATGCACTCAGTCAGGACCATATTTAGCATTAGAGTACATTAGCCCATAGTCACAATACACTCAAACATTCTGGGTCCCGTCTTTCTATGCTGCTGCTCAACCAAATGAAACGCCTCTCCTCTCCTCGTCTCTGCTCTCCTCTCTGCAGCTTATTCTGCAGTGTAATGGCTGAGAGTGTTTTCTGTCTGAGGAGAGGGTGTCTGGCTAATGAAGGGAGGGATGGGTGAATGGATAGATGGGTTAATAGATAGGTAGAAATACTTGATTCTATTACTAGTAACACATTTGGGAACAAATGATCTTTTATAAAACTGGTTAGTTTAAGTTTAAGGCTGTTTCCCTTGCCTTCGGAAAGTATTCAGACCCCTTGACTTTTTCCACATTTTGTTACGTTACAGCTTTATTCTAAAATGTATTACATTGTTTTTTCCCCTCATCAATCTACACACAATACCACATAATGTCAAAGCAAAAGACAGGTTTTTAGAAATTCTTGCTAATTTATAAAAAATAAACTGATATATAACATTTACATAAATATTCAGACCCTTTACTCAGTACTTTGTTGAAGCGCCTTTGGCAGCGATTACAGCATCGAGTCTTCTTGGGTATGACGCTACAAGCTTGGCACACCTGTATTTGGGGAGTGTCTCCCATTCTTCTCTGCAGATCCTCTCAAGCTCTGTCAGGTTGGATAGGGAGCGTCACTGCACAGCTATTTTCAGCTCTCTCTAGAGATGTTTGATCCGGTTCATGCCGGGCTCTGGCTGGGCCACTCGAGGACATTCAGAGACTTGTCCCGAAGCCACTCCTGCGTTGTCTTGGCTGTGTGATTAGGGTTGTTGTCCTGTTGGAAGGTGAACCTTTGCCCCAGTCTGAGGTCCTGAGTGCTCTGGAGCAGGTTTTCATCTTTCCCTCGATCCTGACTAGTCTCCCTGCAGCTGAAAAACATCCCCACAGCATGATGCTGCCACCACCATGCTTCACCTTAGGGATGGTGCCAGGTTCCTCTCCCATTCAGGCTAAAGAGTTCAATCTGCCTTTTACTGAGTGGCTTCCGTCTGGCCACTCTACCATAAAGGCCTGATTGGTGGAGTGCTGCAGAGATGGTTGTGCTTTTGGAAGGTTCTCCCATCTCCACAGAGGAACTCTAGAGCTCTGTCAGAGTGACCATCGGGTTCTTGGTCACCACCCTGACCAAGGCCCTTCTTCCCCGATTGCTCAGCCATTTCTAGGAAGAGTCTTGGTGGTTCAAAACTTCTTCCATTTAAGAATTAATGGAGGCCACTGTGTTCTTGGGGACTTTCAATGCTACAGACAGTTTGTGGTACCCTTACCCAGATCTGTGCCTCGAAACAATCCTGTCTCGGAGTTCTACGGACCATTCCTTTGACCTCATGGCTTGGGTTTTGCTCTGACATGCACTGTCAACCTTATATAGACAGGTGTGTGCCTTTCCAAATCATGTCCAATCAATTGAATTGATCACAGGTGTACTCCAATCAAGTTGTAGAAACATCTCAAGGATGATCAATGGAAACAGGATGCACCTGAGCTCAATTTCGAGTCTCATAGCAAAGGGTCTGAATACTTATGCAAATATGGTATTTCTGTTTTTCATGTTTAATACATTTGCCAAAATGTATAAAAACTTGTTTTTGCTTTGTCATTATGGTGTATTGTGTGTAGATTGCTGGAAAAAAAAAGAGGCTGTAACGTAACAAAATGTGGAAAAAGTCAAGGGATCTGAATACTTTCCAACGGCACTGTATAAGGGAATGTGTTATGGAAGGAATATGATGTGAGGGTTAGTGGAAGGCAGCCACGGTTCAGGCTCTGGAGGTGATGATGGCCCACTCTGTCTCTCTGAGTCTCAGCCACATGAAAGTGTGTCTCAAATGCGTCCCTATATAGTGTACTACTTTTGACCAGGGCCCATAGGGTGCCATTTGGGAAGCAGACGAGGAAGCAACAGCAGGGAGGGATGAACCCTCCATAAGGCGTCTTGCCATCACTCCCTACAGCTCACTTTCTCTCTTCTTCTTTTTCTCCACCCTTCCCCTCCTTCCCTTCTTTCAGTCTCTGCTTCGCTCTTTCACTCCTCCGCCCGCCCCCCACTTTTCATCATATTTACCTCTCTTCCGATGACGCAACTCCCTCCTCTCCCCCCATCCTGCATCCTCTGTCCCCTACACTCCCTCCCTCCAATGTATCGCCTCACCCCCTCTCTCCCCCCTCCCTCCCCCCATCTGAGGCTGGTTCCTCTCAAGGTTTCTTCCTTTTAGGAATTAACAAATGTTTCCTTGCCACTGTGCTGCTGCTTGTCGGGTTACTGTGAACCACTTTGTGTCAAATGTTGTAAAAAGGGCTATACAAATAAAAAATGATTGACTGATCTCTCCCTCCCTCTTCCCTCCCTCCCTCTCTCCCCTCCCAGGGCTACCTGTTCATCTCGGTGCTGGTGAACAGCAACAGCGAGCTGATCCGCCTCATCAACAACGCCATCAAGAACGACCTGTCTAGCCGCAACCCCACCTTCATGTGCCTGTCTCTGCACTGCATCGCCAACGTAGGCAGCCGCGAGATGGCCGAGGCCTTCGCTGGAGAGATCCCACGCATTCTGGTGGCCGGGTAAGAATGGAGGGGATGGAGAGAGCAGGAGGAGAGGGAGGAGTAATGAGGGAGAGTCGGGGTAGAGGGAGAGAGCAGTCAGTCAGTCAAATTGTATTCTTAAATGCCTTTTTACAACAACATTTGTCAGAGGGAGGGGTTGGGAAGAGAGGGATGGAGGAAGGGAAGGGAGGGTGAGGAGACCGGAGAGGCAAATGGAGGAAGGGGGAGGGGGACTGAGGACACGGAGAGGACTTGATTTTCTTTGTATTAATATGCTATAACAGCATGGTTAGACAAAATCTCCGGTACAGCCAATATCTTTCCAGGACCAGAGTTGTTGGAGACTGGTAGTCCTTTATAGCATTGTATTTGGGACAAATCATTCACTAAACCTTAACTAAATCTTGTAATAAATAATGTGGAAATTGAGCAAGTTGAGGTGACTAAACTGCTTGGAGTAACCCTGGATTGTAAACTGTCATGGTCAAAACATTGATACAACAGTAGCTAAGACGGGGAGAAGTCTGTCCATAATAAAGCGCTGCTCTTGGCTCAGAACAGGGCAGTACGGCTGGCCGTTGGATGTACACAGAGAGCAAACATTAATAATATGCATGTCAATCTCTCCTGGCTCAAAGTAGAGGAGAGATTGACTTAATCACCACTTTGTGAGAGGTATTGACATGTTGAAAGCACCGAGCTGTCTATTTTTAAACTACTAGCACACAGCTCAGACACCCATGCATACCCCACAAGACATGCAACCAGAGGTCTCTTCACAGTCCCCAAGTCCAGAACAGACTATGGGAGGCGCACAGTACTACATAGAGCCATGACTACATGGAACTCTATTCCTCATCAGGTAACCGATGCAAGCATTAGAATCAGATTTAAAAAACTGATAAAAATACTGTGAAGCAACACAACCATATGCACAGACACATGCATACACACACATCATAACATACGCACTATACACACACGTACACATGGATTTTGTGTTGTAGGTATGTGGTAGTGGAGTATGGGCCCGAGGGCACACACTTAGTGTGTTGTGAATTCTGTAAGGAATGTGTTGTAATGTTTTTAAAATGGTATAACTGCCTTGGCAGCAGCTAATGGGGATCCATAATAAATATAAATACAAATAGTGAGCATTGTGTTGTTTGTGATGTGATTGCCAGGGACACCATGGACAGTGTGAAGCAGTCTGCTGCCCTGTGTCTTCTGCGTCTGTACAAGGCCTCCCCAGACCTGGTTCTGATGGGGGAGTGGACCTCCCGGGTGGTGCACCTCCTCAACGACCAGCACATGGTGAGAGACAGGCCATACATTTCTGCTCCAGCCCAACACTAGCACACCTGGGGTTTATTCACTAGGAATCAAACAGTAAAACCGGGGAGTGACTAAACTGAATTTGTCTAATTAAAAACATTTGCTTTCGTTGCAAAACATTTTCCATTGCAAAGCGGTTTGCTGCACTAAGGAATACGCCCCTGATTTAACAGGTTGAATCAGGTGTGCTAGTGCATTTATCTTCCAGGCCAATAGGTGGCGCTAGCTGGCTCTGTTACAATGTCTACACTAGTCTAGAATGCTACTCTTAGGCTGTGTTTACACAGGCAGCCCAATTCAGATGTTTTCCCCCACTAATTAGTATTTTTACCAATCACATCAGATCTTTTTCAGAGCTGATCTGATTGGTCAAAAGACCAATTAGTGAAAAAAAGGACAGAATTGAGCTGCCACTCTAAACGCAGCCAGAGTAACCTAACGTAGCAGACATAAAATAAATGCCTTTAAATAGATGCCTCAGATACTGGCAAAAAACTGTCATGGGAGGTTATCTTCTGCACTGTTCTAACAATGCAGTAAATGTGGAGGAGGAGTTAAGATGGAGTGTCGCCTTGTTAATGTCCAAAAGCGTAAGTCGCGTCACAGGCTCTCTCTTCCATTTCCACTGAAAATCGTATGCATCCGGTTGCTTACAACCCCGCCGAGGGTGGTATCTTAGTATGAAGCAATGCATTGGATACAGTGGCTTGCGAAAGTATTCACCCCCCTTGGCATTTTTCCTATTTTGTTGCCTTACAACCTGGAATTAAAATGGTTTGTATCCTTTGATTTACACAACATGCCTACCACTTTGAAGATGCAAAATATGTTTTATTGTGAAATAAATAAGAAATAAACTTGAGCGTGCATAACTATTTGCCCCCCCCAAAGTCAATACTTTGTAGAGCCACCTTTTGCAGCAATTACAACTGCAAGTCTCTTGGGGTATGTCTCTATAAGCTTGGCACATCTAGCCACTGGGATTGTTGCTCATTCTTAAAGGCAAAACTGCTCCAGCTCCTTCAAGTTGGATGGGTTCCGCCGGTGTACAGCAATCTTTAAGTCAGACCACAGATTCTCAATTGAATTGAGGTCTGGGCTTTGACTAGGCCATTCCAAGACATTTAAATGTTTCCCTTTGAACAACTTGAGTGTTGCTTTAGCAGTATGCTTAGGGTCATTGTCCTGCTGGAAGGTGAACCTCCGTCCCTGTCTCAAATCTCTGGAAGGCTGAAACAGGTTTCCGTCAAGATATTCCCTGTATTTAGTGCCATCCATCATTCCTTCAATTCTGACCAGTTTCCCAGTCCCTGCCGATGGAAAAACATCCCCAAAGCATGATGCTGCCACCACCATGCTTCACTGTGGGGATGGTGTTCTCGGGGTGATGAGAGGTGTTGGGTTTGCGCCAGACATAGCGTTTTCCTTGATGGCTAAAAAGCTCAATTTCTGTCTCATCTGACCAGAGTACCTTCTTCCATATGTTTGGGGAGTCTCCCACATGCTTTTTGGCTTATTTTTTTCTTTAAGCAATGGCTTTTTTCTGGCCACTCTTCCATAAAGCCCAGCTCTGTGGATTGTACGGCTTAAAGTGGTCCTATGGACAGATACTCCAATCTCCGCTGTGGAGCTATGCAGCTCCTTCAGGGTTATCTTTGGTCTCTTTGTTGCCTCTCTGATTAATGCCCTTGTTGCCTGGTCCGTGAGTTTTGGTGGGCGGCCCTCTCTTGGCAGGTTTGTTGTGGTGCCATATTCTTTCCATTTTTTAATAATGGATTTAATGGTGCTCCGTGGGATGTTCAAAGTTTCTGATCTTTTTTTATAACCCAACCCTGATCTGTACTTCTCCACAACTTTGTCCCTGAACTGTTTGAAGAGCTCCTTGGTCTTCCTGGTGCTGCTTGCTTGGTGGTGCCCCTTGCTTAGTGGTGTTGCAGACTCTGGGGCTTTTCAGAACAGGTGTATACAGTGGGGAAAAAGGATTTAGTCAGCCACCAATTGTGCAAGTTCTCCCACTTAAAAAGATGAGAGAGGCCTGTAATTTCCATCATAGGTACACGTCAACAATGTCAGACAAATTGAGGGGAAAAAAATCAGAAAATCACATTGTAGGATTTTTAATGAATTTATTTGCAAATTATGGTGGAAAATAAGTATTTGGTCACCTACAAACAAGCAAGATTTCTGGCTCTCACAGACCTGTAACTTCTTCTTTAAGAGGCTCCTCTGTCCTCCACTCGTTACCTGTATTAATGGCACCTGTTTGAACTTGTTATCAGTATAAAAGACACCTGTCCACAACCTGAAACAGTCACACTCCAAACTCCACTATGGCCAAGACCAAAGAGCTTTCAAAGGACACCAGAAACAAAACTGTAGACCTGCACCAGGCTGGGAAGACTGAATCTGCAATAGGTAAGCAGCTTGGTTTGAAGAAATCAACTGTGGGAGCAATTATTAGGAAATGGAAGACATACAAGACCACTGATAATCTCCCTCGATCTGGGGCTCCACGCAAGATCTCACCCCGTGGGGTCAAAATGATCACAAGAACGGTGAGCAAAAATCCCAGAACCACACGGGGGGACCTAGTGAATGATCTGCAGAGAGCTGGGACCAAAGTAACAAAGCCTACCATCAGTAACACACTACGCCGCCAGGGACTCAAATCCTGCAGTGCAAGACGTGTCCCCCTGCTTAAGCCAGTACATGTCCAGGCCCGTCTGAAGTTTGCTAGAGTGCATTTGGATGATCCAGAAGAGGATTGGGAGAATGTCATATGGTCAGATGAAACCAAAATAGAACTTTTTGGTAAAAACTCAACTCGTCGTGTTTGGAGGAAAAAGAATGCTGAGTTGCATCCAAAGAACACCATACCTACTGTGAAGCATGGGGGTGGAAACATCATGCTTTGGGGCTGTTTTTCTGCAAAGGGACCAGGACGACTGATCCATGTAAAGGAAAGAATGAATGGGGCCATGTATCGTGAGATTTTGAGTGAAAACCTCCTTCCATCAGCAAGGGCATTGAAGATGAAACGTGGCTGGGTCTTTCAGCATGACAATGATCCCAAACACACCGCCCGGGCAACGAAGGAGTGGCTTCGTAAGAAGCATTTCAAGGTCCTGGAGTGGCCTAGCCAGTCTCCAGATCTCAACCCCATAGAAAATCTTTGGAGGGAGTTGAAAGTCTGTGTTGCCCAGCGACAGCCCCAAAACATCACTGCTCTAGAGGAGATCTGCATGGAGGAATGGGCCAAAATACCAGCAACAGTGTGTGAAAACCTTGTGAAGACTTACAGAAAACGTTTGACCTGTGTCATTGCCAACAAAGGGTATATAACAAAGTATTGAGAAACTTTTGTTATTGACCAAATACTTATTTTCCACCATCATTTGCAAATAAATTCATTAAAAATCCTATAATGTGATTTTCTGGATTTTTTTTCTTCTCATTTTGTCTGTCATAGTTGACGTGTACCTATGAAAATTACAGTTCTCTCATCTTTTTAAGTGGGAGAACTTGCACAATTGGTGGCTGACTAAATACTTTTTTCCCCCCCACTGTATATACTGAGATCATGTGACACTTAGATTGCACACAGGTGGACTTTATTTAACTAATTATGTGACTTCTGAAGGTAATTGGTTACACCAGATCTTATTTAGTGGCTTCATAGCAAAAAGGGTGAATACATATGCAGGCACCACTTTTCCGTTATTTACTTTTTCATAGGTGAATACATATGCAGGCACCACTTTTCCGTTATTTACTTTTTCATAATTTTTTGAAACAAGTTATTTTTTTCATTTCACTTCACCAATTTGGACTATTTTGTGTATGTCCATTACATGAAATCCAAATAAAAATCAGGTTGTAATGCAACAAAATAGGAAAAACGCCAAGGGGGATGAATACTTTTGCAAGGCACTGTATGTATTATAAGTGGTACGCTGGTTTGGATGTTGCAACATAACTACTGACTTCATTGAGACTGTAAGGTTGAAGTTTATGCCGTTTAGGTGTTACTGTTGTTTCTGATGATGAGCGTGTTTCTCTCTCTCGCAGGGTGTTGTCACGGCAGCCATCTCCCTCATCACCTGTCTCAGCTCGAAGAACCCAGATGAGTTCAAAACCTGTGTGTCCCTGGCCGTGTCTCGTCTGAGCAGGGTGTGTGTGTGTGTGCATGCATGTGTGCATGTATACCTATAAAATCATGTATGTCAGTCCAGTGATCCATCCTCCCTTTGCCTCTGTCTCAATCACCAAGATTTCAACCAATCTCGCTTTCTCCTCCTTCCTTTCTTCTTCTCCAGATTGTGTCGTCAGCCTCCACTGACCTGCAGGACTACACCTACTACTTTGTCCCGGCCCCGTGGCTGTCCTGTAAACTGTTGCGCCTGCTGCAGTGCTACCCCCCGCCGGAGGATGGTGCCGTGAAGGGCCGCCTGGTGGAGTGTCTGGAGACCATCCTGAACAAGGCCCAGGAACCACCCAAGTCCAAAAAGGTGCAGCACTCCAACGCCAAGAATGCCATCTTGTTCGAGGCCATCTCGCTCATCATCCACTACGACAGGTGAGGGGGCTGTCTATTTCTTCTTCTTCTCGCTCTGTCTTTTTCTCTCCCTCTTTCAGTATCTCTTTCTCTGTATATTTCTCTTTATTTTTCTCTCTCTGTTTCTCTCTCTCTTTCTCACATATACACTGAACAAAAATATTAACGCAACGTGCAACAATTTCAACGATTTTACTGAGTTACAGTTCATTAGGCCCTAATCTATGGATTTCACATGACTGGGAATACAGATATGCATCTGTTGATCATAGATACCTTGAAAAAAAAGGTAAGGGCGTGGATCAGAAAACCAGTCCATATCTGGTGTGACCACCATTTGCCTCATGCAGCGCAACACATCTCCTTCGCATAGAGTTGATCAAGGCTGTTGATTGTGGCCTGTGGAATGTTGTCCCACTCCTCTTCAATGACTGTGCAAAGTTGTTGGAAACTGGCGGGAACTGGAACACGCTGTCATACAAGTCGGTGACATGTCTGAGTATGCAGGCCATGGAAGAACTGGGACATTTTCAGCTTCCAGGAATTGTGTACAGATCCTTGCGACATGGGGCCGTGCATTATCATGCTGAAACATGAGGTGATGGCAGTGGATGAATGGCACGACAATGGGCCTCAGATTCTTGTCATGGTATCTCTGTGTATTCAAATTGCCATCGATAAAATGCAATTGTGTTCATTGTCCGTAGCTTATGCCTGCCCATACCACAACCCCACCGCCACCATGGGGCACTCTGTTCACAATGTTGACATCAGCAAACCGCTCGCCCATACGACGCCATACACGCTGTCTGCCATCTGCCCGGTACAGTTGAAACCGGGATTCGCCTGCGTGCTAGTGGCCATCAAAGGGGAGCATTTGCCCACTGATGTCGGTTACGACGCCAAACTGCAGTCAGGTCAAGACCCTGGTGAGGACGACGAGCGATGGGATACTGTTGAGCGTGAAAAACCCAGCAGCATTGCAGTTCTTGACACAAACCGGTGCTCCTGGCACCTACTACCATACCCAGTTCAAAGGCACTTAAATATTTTGTCTTGCCCGTTCACCCTCTGAATGGCACACATACACAATCCATGTCTCAATTGTCTCAAGTCTTAACCTGTCTCCTCCCCTTCATTTACACTGATTTGAAGTGGATTAAACAAGTGACATCAATAAGGGATCATTGCTTTCACCTGGATTCACCTGATCAGTCTATGTCATGGAAAGAGCAGGTGTTGCTAATGTTTTGTGTACTCAGTGTACACCTTGTAGAATCCATGCCCCGACGAATTGAGGCTGTTCTGAGGGCAAAGGGGGGTGCAACTCCATATTAGGAAGGTGTTCCTAATGTTTGTACACTCAGTGTATACACAGTTGAAGTCGGAAGTTTACATACACCTTAGCCAAATACATTTAAACTCAGTTTTTCACAATTCCTGACATTTAATCCTAGTAAACATTCCCTGTCTTAGGTCAGTTAGGATCACCACTTTATTTTAAGAATGTCAAATGTCAGAATAATAGTAGAGAGAATTATTTATTTCAGCTTTTATTTCTTTCATCACATTCCCAGTGGGTCAGAAGTTTACATACACTCAATTAGTATTTGGTAGCATTGCCTATAAATTGTTTAACTTGGGTCAAACGTTTCGGGTAGCCTTCCACAAGCTTACCACAGTAAGTTGGGTGAATTTTGGCTCATTGCCCCTGACAGAGCTGGTGTAACTGAGTCAGGTTTGTAGGCCTCCTTGCTCGCACACGCCTTTTCAATTCTGCCCACAAATGTTCTGTAGGATTGAGGTCAGGGCTTTGTGATGGCAACACCAATACCTTGACTTTGTTGTCCATAAGCCATTTTGCCACAACTTTGGAAGTTTGCTTGAGGTCATTGTCCATTTGGAAGACCCATTTGCGACCAAGCTTTAACTTCCTGACTGATGTCTTGAGATGTTGCTTCAATATATCCACATAATTTTCCTTCCTCATGATGCCATCTATTTTGTGAAGTGCACCAGTCCCTCCTGCAGCAAAGCACCCCCACAGCATGATGCTGCCAACCCTGTGCTTCACGGTTGGGATGGTGTTCTTCGGCTTGCAAGCCGCCCCCTTTTTCCTCCAAATATAACGATGGTCATTATGGCCAAACAGTTCTATTTTTGTTTCATCAGACCAGAGGCCATTTCTCCAAAAAGTATGATGTTTGTCCCCATGTGCAGTTGCAAACCGTAGTCTGTTTTTTTATGGCTGTTTTGGAGCAGTGGCTTCTTCCTTGCTGAACCTTTCAGGTTATGTCGGTATAGGACTCGTTTTACTGTGGATATAGATACTTTTGTACCTGTTTCCTCCAGCATCTTCACAAGGTCCTTTGCTGCTCTTCTGGGATTGATTTGCACTTTTCGCACCAAAGTACGTTAATCTCTAGGAGACAGAACGCGTCTCCTTCCTGAGCGGTATGACAGCTGCGTGGTCCCATGGTGTTTATACTTGCGTACTATTGTTTGTACAGATGAACGTGGTACCTTCAGGTGTTTTGGAAATTGCTCCCAAGGATGAACCAGACTTGTGGAGGTCTACACATTTTTTCTGAGGTCTTGGCTGATTTCTTTAGATTTTCCCATGATGTCAAGCAAAGAGACACTGAGAAATAAATCCACAGGTCCACCTCCAATTGACTCAAATGATGTCAATTAGCCTATCAGTAGCTTCTAAAGTCATGACATAATTTTCTGGAATTTTCCAAGCTGTTTAAAGGCACAGTCAACTTAGTGTATGTAAACTTCTGACCCACTGGAATTGTGATACAGTGAATTATAGTTACATAATCTGTCTGTAAACAATTGTTGGAAAAATTACTTGTCATTCACAAAGTAGATGTCCTAACAGACTTGCCAAAACTATAGTTTGTTAACAAGAAATTTGTGGAGTGGTTGAAAAACGAGTTTTAATGACTCCAACCTAAGTGTATGTAAACTTCCGACTTCAACTGTATACAGTGCTTTCAGAAAGGATTCGCACCCCTTGACTTTTTCCACATTTTGTTGTTACAGCCTGAATTTAAAATGTATTGAATGTAGATATTGTATCACTGGTCTACACACAATACTCCATAATGTCAAAGTGGAATTATGTTTTTACACATTTCTACAAATTTAATAAAAAATGAAAAGCTGGAATGTCTTGAGTCAATAAGTATTCAACCCCAAGCCTAAACAAGTTCAGGAGTAAACATTTGCTTAACAAGTCACATAATAAGTTGCATGGACTCACTCTGTATGCAATAATAGTGTTTAACATGATATATATTTTTTAACCCCTTTTTCTCCTCAATTTCGTGATATCCAATTGGTAGTTATGGTCTTGTCCCATCGCTGCAACTCCCGTACGGACTCGGGAGAGGCGAAGGTAGAGAGCCCTGCGTCCTCTGAAACACGACCCTGGAATCGAACCTGGATCTGTAGTGACGCCTCGAGCAATGCAATGCAGTGCCTTAGACCGCTGCGCCACTCGGGAGGCCCTTAACATGATTTTTTAATGACTACCTTCTCTCTGTACCCCACACATACAATTATCTGTAAGATCCCTCAGTCGAGCTGTGAATTTCAAACACAGATTCAACCACAAAGACCAGGGAGGTTTTCCAATGCCTCGCAAAAAAAGGGCACCTATTGGTAGATGGGTAATCATTTAAAAAAAGCAGACATTGAATATCCTTTTGAGCATGGTGAAGTTATTGATTACACTTTGGACTCACAGCTGCAATCGATGCCAAAGGTGATTCTAACATGTATTGAATACTTTATTGAATACTGTATTTCATTTCAATAAATTTGCTAACATTTCTAAAAACATGTTTTCACTTTGTCATTATGGGGTATTGTGTGTAGATGGGTGAGAGAAAAATCTATTTGATCCATTTTGAATTCAGCCTGTAACAGAACAAAGTGGAATAAGTCAAGGGGTATGTATTAAATTTTTTACACACACACACACACACACACACAGTATATGCCCCTTTATACACTCTCCCTCTCTCTGTGTATCTCTCTCTCTGTCTCTCTTTGTCATCCTAAACCTAAAGAATGGCAATGATGGTGTGGTGGTGGCTCACTCTATTATTTTCCCCATCTCCCTCCACCTACCTCCCCCTCTCCAGTGAGCCCAACCTGCTGGTGCGTGCCTGTAACCAGCTGGGTCAGTTCCTGCAGCACAGAGAGACCAACCTGCGCTACCTGGCTCTGGAGAGCATGTGTACCCTGGCCAGCTCTGAGTTCTCCCATGAGGCCGTCAAGACCCACATCGAGACGGTCATCAACGCACTCAAGGTCTGTCTCGGTCAAACGCACGCTACACACACACACACCCTGCTCAGACGAGACACTGCTTTTTTGATGAACACTTTGTTTTAAGCACGTTGATGGTTTTTGTAACATTTTATACCTTCTCTTTTTCTCTCCAGACTGAGAGGGATGTGAGTGTTCGTCAGAGGGCTGCTGACCTGCTCTACGCCATGTGTGACCGTAGCAACGCCAAGCAGATCGTTGCCGAGATGCTCAGCTACCTGGAGACAGCCGACTACTCAATCAGAGAGGAGATGGTACGCGTCTTCGTGTGTGTGTGTGTGTGTGTATGTTGTATGTTTTCCCCCTCTGAGTGCCTCTGGGTGTATGCCTGCATGTGTGTCTTTGTGTTTTTTTATTTATGTGTCTGTGTAACCCAGCGGTTCCCAAACTAGGGGTCGCCTGATATGAAAATGGTGGTGTCGCGGGAGAGTTTCCAAAATCCTGAAAGAAAATCGAACCGAATTACATTTAAAAAACATATATATATATCGTATCGTCTTTGTATCTCCAAATCATTGTAATGTGGTTAACCTTAAAAATCCAAATAAAAATTATTTGAATCTAAAAGATAATCTCACACTTCCGACTTCTGTGCGTTCAAGATAACTGGGAACTCTGAAAGAAAATCAGCACCGACTAGGGAAAAATAGTTTTGAAAGGTCATCCAACTCGGAATTCCAACTCGGGAATTCGGGCCTCTATCTAGAGCTCCGACTTTCTGACCTAAAGATCACTGATGTCATAATCCGATTTCCCAGTTGTCTTGAAAGCACCATAAAACTCATGGTAGGCTACCCTTCGCCAGCTCATATCTGTGTGAAGCTGGATTCCGTGCTCTCGTCTGCATTAAAACCAAATATCGATCCAGGTTGGATGTGACAGCAAAGATGAGATGCGCACTGTCGACTTTGAAAAGCTCCGGCGTGACATGCAACAAGCACATCCATCTCATTAGTGGTGGTGAGATAAGATACATTTTGTAAGACTAATTTGCAATTGACTGCTCCACATTAAAAGTATGTGATGGTGAGTTGAGAAGACAATCAGAAATACTGTTAGAATGTTTTTCAATTGACTGCCATAGCCCCAAATAAAAAAGGAAACATGGCTGTTAATTATTATTTTTTAATCACATGGGTGGGGTCGCAAGAATTTTCAGATGTCAAAATGGGGTTGTGGGCCAAACAAGTTTGGGAACCCCTGGTATAACCTCTGCTACCTCTCTCCCAGGTGTTGAAGGTGGCCATCCTGGCAGAGAAGTATGCGGTGGACTACTCATGGTATGTGGACACCATCCTTAACCTCATCCGCATTGCCGGGGACTACGTCAGCGAGGAGGTGTGGTACCGCGTCATCCAGATTGTCATCAACCGCGACGACGTGCAGGGCTACGCCGCCAAGACCGTCTTTGAGGTAGGGGTTCCCCAAGCCGGATACTTCTGGATCCAACCTGCTCTTTTTGTCTCAGCTTGGAAATTCCTCAATCATATTCCCTGGTTGAGTACATTAGGGTGAAAACGTTTTTAAAACTATTGCAAGGGAATCAAAAACCTGTGTGTTTTTTTTATTAAGTCCTCCCTGTTTGAGTAATTTGTTTCTGTTTGGTGCCTAATGAACACTGCCCTGAAGACCCATAGCATTTGGCTATCATAAAATCTGTTCAAATTACTTACGTTTTTAACTGTCCCCCTCCGCCCCCTCTTCAGGCGCTACAGGCCCCAGCCTGTCATGAGAACATGGTGAAGGTGGGGGGGTACATCCTGGGAGAGTTTGGAAACCTCATCGCCGGGGATCCCCGCTCCAGGTGAGTGGTGGCCTCTCCCACACCAGTGACATCATCAACCTGAGACGCACACAAATATGCGGCTCCTCTTGTTTTCTGATGTATTAATCAGGTTTTTCTTCCCCCTCTTTCTCTCTTTTCTTTTTATGGTTCTACCTTTTTGTCATCCTCTCTCTCCATCTTCTTCTCCATTCACATCCTCTCTTCTCTCTCTTCCTGCTATAATTTTATCTCCGTACCGCTCCTCTTTCTCTCTCTCTCTCCTCTCTCACTCTCCTCTTTCTCATCCCTGTCTCCAGCCCTCTGGTCCAGTTCAACCTGCTCCACTCTAAGTTCCACCTGTGTTCGGTGCCCACACGCGCCCTGCTGCTCTCCGCCTACATCAAGTTCATCAACCTGTTCCCAGAGACCAAGGCCACCATCCAGGAGGTGCTTCGCTCCGACAGCCAGATCAGGAACTCTGACGTGGAGCTGCAGCAGAGGGCCGTGGAGTACCTCAAGCTCTCCTCCATCGCCAGCACCGATGTCCTGGTGAGGATTTTGATCTGTAAAAAAAAGATATATATTTGTAGGTGTTCTGACACTTTGAGACTGGTTGGAAGGGTGGGCACAGGGATCGAACCCTGGTCTCCAGTGGTGAGTGGTATATGTGACTGTGCCAGGGAGTGTTACCACTACACACGCAGCTTTTACCTGGCTACCCTTCCACATCGCTCTGACCAACTGATGTTTCTTTTCCGCCATGAATCTGGATTTGCCCCTCTCCCCGACGATTTCACGAATGTGAACACATTTTTACAGTTCTGATTGGTCCCAGAAACGGATGGGTTGGGCCAGAGCCGGTCTACAAGATGACGTTATCAACTTTGATAATCTGATTGGTTAGATTTCTTAGAATATCCAATCGCTGATTAATTTGTTTTGTACAACACCCCTCATTTTAAAGTCGTACAAACGACTTCTACGGTAGCCGTTTCAGACTCTCTGTGGCGAACAACAGAGCAGAGGAAGAATGTAGTGTGAGGCGTCAGGCTACCACAGCTCTGCTGTCTGTTATTTTACTGATCTTTCATTGCCTCTTGTTTTTTTTTTTTTCTTGTTTTTTTTTACTGCAAAGTATGTTGCCATTTTAAATGCACTTACAGTGCCTTCGGGAAGTATTAATACCTCTTCACTTATTCCACATTTTTGTTGTTACAGCCTGAATTAAAAATGGATTAAAAAATTATAGTGATCTCACCCATTTACACAAAATAAAGTAAAAACATGTTTTTAGAAATCTTTGCAAATGTATTGAAAATGAAATACAGAAATATCTAATTTACGTAAGTATTCACACCCCTGAGTCAATACATGTTAGAATCACCTTTGGCAGTGATTACAGCTATGAGCCTTTCTGGGTATGTCTCTAAGATATTTGCACTCCTGGAATGTACAATATTTGCCCATTATTCTATTCAAAATTCTTCAAGCTCTGTCAAATTTGTTGTTGATCATTGCTAGACAGCCATTTTAAAGTATTGGCATAGATATTCAAGCAGAGTTATGTCAAAACTGTAACTCAGCCACTCAGGAAACATTCACTGTCTTCTTGGTAAGCAACTCTAGAGTAGATTTGGCCTCGTTTTAGGTTATTGTCCTGCTGAAAGGTGAATTCATCTCCCAGTGTCTGGTGGAAAGCAGACTGAAACAAGTTTCCTCTTTGATTTTGCCTGTGCTTAGCTCCATTCCGTTTCTTTTTATCCTGAAAAACTCTACAGTCCTTAACGATTACAAGCATACCCATAACATGATGCAGCCACCACTATCCTTGAAAATATGGAGAGTGGTACTAAGTAATGTGTTGTATTGGATTTGCACCAAACATAACACTTTGTATTCAGTATAAAAAGTAAATAGTTTGACACATTTTTTGCAGTATTATTTTAGTGCCTTGTTGCAAACAGAATGCATGTATTTAATATCAGCTTCTTTCTTTTTTACCCATCTACCAATAGCTGCCCTTCTTTGCGAGGCAATGGAAAACCTCCCTGGTCTTTGTGGTTGAATTTGTGTTTGAAATTCACTGCTTGACTGAGGGACCTTACAGATAATTGCATGTGTGGGGTACAGAGATGAGGTAGTTATTCAAAATCATGTTAAACACAATTATTGTCCATGTAACTTATTATGTGACTTGTTAAGCACAATTTTACGCCTGAACTTATTTAGGCTTGCCATAACAAAGGGTATGAATACTTATTGACTCAAGATATTTCAGCAATTCACTTTTAATACATTTTGTAAAAATGTTGCTGTAACACAACAACATTTGGAAAAAGTCAAGGGTTATGAATACTTTTCTGAAGGTACTGTAGAATACATTTTGATTTGACTGCAGGCCACAGAGCAGCAACAACAACCTTGCAGAGTTCAGCTGCGGTTCAGTGTTTCAAATGTGAACCTAAACAACGGTCATGGACGTTGCAATACGGTCACAGGCCTGACAGGATTTGTAAATGGTCATAACTGTAACCCCAGTGACTGGTTTAGTCACATTGCCATAACAGTAACCACATAACAACAGCTACCATGAGCCTTGTTTATTGACTTGCCTGGTCAAAGAATGGTGTCTCTCTGTCTCTCCTTCCCCCTCTCTCTCCCTTTCTCTCCTTTCCTCTCCCTCCCTTTCTCTCCTTTCCTCTCCCTCTCCCTCCTTCCGCCTCTTCAGGCCACTGTGCTGGAGGAGATGCCTCCCTTCCCAGAGAGGGAGTCGTCCATCTTGGCCAAGCTGAAGAAGAAGAAGGGTCCGGGTGCTGTGTCGGTAGAGCTGGAGGACGGCAAGGAGAGAGGAGAGCTCAATGGTGGAGGGGACAGGGGGGGCGACGCTGCCATCGCAGCCTCTAACGCTGTGAGCATCCAATTCAATGTACTGTATCTGCATCCCAAATGGCACCTATTACCAACAAAATAAGTGCATTAACCCCCCAAGAGTCGATAAACAAATGTTTTTGCATGGGCTGTGTCTCAATCCACTGTATCCGTCAATGGCGGCCTTCTGCAGTGGAAGGTGGCCAAACTACAGCAGTGTTTGTCAGACCATGAGACATCCAGAAAATCGGTCTTCTCACGAAAACGTCAGTAGCGTCCGAACCACTCTATGGAAAGATGAGAATCAAGAACAGGATGGTGTTCTCCGTTTTGCTTTAAAGTCTGTTTTGCCGATCTGCAACATCTGTCTGTAGTGCCCGAACAGTTTGGGACTACACACTAATATGAGACTCTCATGAACACGTACATGTTGGTTGTTTTGCTCTAGGATGCCCACAAGCCTCACAAGACTCGGCTGAAGGTAGCCCGTTAACAGTTTAAAAAATGAATGGAAGTAAATATGGAAGTAGTTTAGTGCCAAAAGAAATTGGTTAAATAATTTCCTGATCTTTCATATACACTATATATACAAAAGTATGTTATTCTGAAGTCTAGGCGCAACAATGGCTCAGCCGCGAAGTGGTAGGCCACACAAGCTCACAGAACGGGACCGCTGAGTGCTGAAGCGCGTAACGCGTAAAAATCATCTGTCCTCGGTTGCAACACTCACTACCAAGTTCCAAACTGCCTCTGGAAGCAAGGTCAGCACAAGAACTGTTAGTCGGGAGCTTCATGAAATGGGTTTCCATGGCCGAGCAGCCGCACACAAACCTAAGATCACCATGCGCAATGCCAAGCGTTGGCTGGAGTGGTGTAAATATCGGCTCCATTGGGCTCTGGAGCAGTGGAAACTGTAAAGTGCCAACTTTAAAGTTTGGTGGAGGAGGAATTATGGTCTGGGGCTGTTTTGCATGGTTCGGGCTAGGCCCCTTAGTTCCAGTGAAGATAATTCTTAACGCTACAGCATACAATGACATTCTAGACGATTCTGTGCTTGAACTTGACTAGCCTGCACAGAGCCCTGACCTCAACCCCATCGAACACGATTAGCCAGGCCTAATCGCCCCAACATCAGTGCCTGACCTCACTAAGTCCTCGCAGCAATGCTCCAACATCTAGTGGAAAGCCTTCCCAGAAGAGTGGAGGCTGTTTATAGCAGCAAAGGGGGGACCAACTCCATATTAATGCCCATGATTTTGGAATGAGATATTCGACAAGCTGGTGTCCACATACTTTTGGCCATGTAGTGTATCTCTCAGATATAGGACAGACACTTTAAAACAAACTTCCTTTTGATTAATTTTTTTCAATGTATGAATCTGTTATTCAATGTGTTTCTAGGTTCTAATAGCAGTAAGGCCAAATTTTTATTTTTATTTTTTATGTATACCTAAAGGGGTCCTAAAATTAAAAATCAAATAGCTAAATGGTCCTTAGTATGACCATATTAATAGATAGCTTAGTAGACCCTCCCGCCCTTGTCATCTTTGTTGTTCTACGAAGGGGAAATTCGTTTGTAGCAATTACAAGACACAGCACAATGACATAAATCACTTGTATTCGAAAACTGGCAGCAGTTGAAAGAGATGGTGAACGCTTTGGAAAAAACCACAATCACTGTCTGTGTAATGGATTTAGTTTAATATTGAGCAATATATTCTCAAAGCACTGCTATTATTATACAATTGTTGTCTCTCTCTCTCCCTCTGTTCTCTCTCTCTCTGTTCTCTATCTCTCTCTATCTCTCTCCCTTCCTCTCTCTCCCTTCCTCTGTTCTCTGTCCATCTTTTTCTGTCTTCCAGTCCACCCCCTCCCCTTCAGCGGATCTGCTTGGCCTTCGTTCGTCCGCTCCCGTTAGTGGGGCCGCTCCCAGTGCAGGCAGCCTATTGGTTGATGTGTTTTCAGAGGCGGGGCCTGCTGCCTCCTCTGCCGGCGTGAACGACGACGGCTTCCTGAGGTGAATGTTCACCCTGTGACTAGAAGACTCCCATAGACACAGATCTGGGATAACCTAAATTACCCCCCGCTCTCCAAGCTAACCCTTAGGGGGAGAAATTCAAAACCGACCTAAGATCAGTGTCTAGTAGCAACTTGATGTTGTTTGTGGTGTGCTTGTTATGTGTCTTAGTTGTCCAGATGCACTGTGGTAGAATATGAAGCTAGCTCTTGAAAATGAGCGTTGTTGTTTTATTCTTATTACGCTTGCTGTCTGTGATATGTGCTAGTCCTCTGTCTTTCTATCAGTCAGTCTTCTTGTTTCCTCTGCGTCTTCTATGTGTAATCTTATCTGTTCTCTTTTTATCTTGCTGTGTATGTGACTGTCTTTCTCTTTTCTTACCTTCTCTCCTTCCCCTTCTCTATTTCCCTTTCTCTGTGTTTTTGCGTGCTTGTGTGTCTCTTGTCCTCGATTGTGATTGGACATTGGCAGCGCTCTTCACGCTCCCGAGGCCTCTGACTCCCCATTGGTGGAGGGTCCTGGTGACTCGGAGTAAGGGGCCAGTAATAAGATGGCTGACTGTCATGTTGCACCCAAACACACATGAACACTGTTGTTCTTATCTAAACTAAAGCCATTTAGGAAGGCTGCATGGACATCTCAACCTTAGACTAGTCACATGGACACACGCACCCTCTATTGCATGTGGGTTGTTGGATTATGGAATTGTAGCCTACCTATGCTGTATATTTCTTCATATATACATGTACCACTCTTTTTCTTAACCAGCAAAATACTTCTCATTATTTTTGTTAATGCTGTCAGTTTTGGTGAATTGTATCTTAAGTGCTCATACTAACCCACCTCTGCTTTTTCTCTTGTTCTCCTTCCTCCATTTTATTTGTCATGCCTCACTGCTTTGGGTCTCCCTCAATACACTCATCCTCTCTCTCTCCCTCCCCCTCTCTCTCTCCCTTTTTCTATCTGTAATTCATTTGGTCCCCTTCAAACACATTTTACATTCTCTCACACCCCCCCGCCTTTTCTGTTGGTGCTGTCATCCACCTCTCCTTATCCATCCTTGCTTCATCCCTCCTTCCTTCTCTCAGCTCTGCTCCCCCTTCTGCGGCCTCTGAGGATCCTGCCCCTCCTCTGCCCGAGTCAGACGAGCTTCTCAACAAGTAAGAGCTTTCTCTCGCTCCTCCTCCCCTCTCCCTATCCATTTCTCTCTCTCCCAATCTCTCTCTTTCCGGCGGGGCTAGCTTGTTTTTGGTGCTATCACGAGCAAAGGTATCAAACAACCTACTGGATTGACACAAAACATAAACTGTGTTTATGTCAATGACATCTGTTATGTTAGGTCATTCACGTGTGGTAAGATACATCTACAGTGGGGAGAACAAGTATTTGATACACTGCCGATTTTGCAGGTTTTCCTACTTACAAAGCATGTAGAGGTCTGTAATTTTTTATCATAGGTACACTTCAACTGTGAGAGACGGAATCTAAAACAAAAATCCAGAAAATCACATTGTATGATTTTTAAGTAATTAATTTGCATTTTATTGCATGACATAAGTATTTGATCACCTACCAACCAGTAAGAATTCCGGCTCTCACAGACCTGTTAGTTTTTCTTTAAGAAGCCCTCCTGTTCTCCACTCATTACCTGTATTAACTGCACCTGTTTGAACTCGTTACCTGTATAAAAGACACCTGTCCACACACTCAATCAAACAGACTCCAACCTCTCCACAATGGCCAAGACCAGAGAGCTGTGTAAGGACATCAGGGATAAAATTGTAGACCTGCACAAGGCTGGGATGGGCTTCAGGACAATAGGCAAGCAGCTTGGTGAGAAGGCAACAACTGTTGGCGCAATTATTAGAAAATTGAAGAAGTTCAAGATGACGGTCAATCACCCTCGGTCTGGGGCTCCATGCAAGATCTCACCTCATGGGGCATCAATGATCATGAGGAAGGTGAGGGAACAGCCCAGAACTACACAGCAGGACCTGGTCAATGACCTGAAGAGAGCTGGGACCACAGTCTCAAAGAAAACCATTAGTAACACACTACGCCGTCATGGATTAAAATCCTGCAGCACACGCAAGGTCCCCCTGCTCAAGCCAGCGCATGTCCAGGCTCGTCTGAAGTTTGCCAATGACCATCTGGATGATCCAGAGGAGGAATGGGAGAAGGTCATGTGGTCTGATGAGACAAAAATAGAGATTTTTGGTCTAAACTCCACTCGCCTTGTTTGGAGGAAGAAGAAGGATGAGTACAACCCCAAGAACACCATTCCAACCGTGAAGCATGGAGGTGGAAACATCATTCTTTGGGGATGCTTTTCTGCAAAGGGGACAGGACGACTGCACCGTATTGAGGGGAGGATGGATGGGGCCATGTATCGTGAGATCTTGGCCAACAACCTCCATCCCTCAGTAAGAGCATTGAAGATGGGTCGTGGCTGGGTCTTCCAGCATGACAACGACCCGAAATACACAGCCAGGGCAACTAAGGAGTGGCTCCGTAAGAAGCATCTCAAGGTCCTGGAGTGGCCTAGCCAGTCTACAGACCTGAACCCATTAGAAAATCTTTGGAGGGAGCTGAAAGTCCGTATTGCCCAGCGACAGCCCCGAAACCTGAAGGATCTGGAGAAGGTCTGTATGGAGGAGTGGGCCAAAATCCCTGCTGCATTGTGTGCAAACCTGGTCAAGACCTACAGGAAACGTATGATCTCTGTAATTGCAAACAAAGGTTTCTGTACCAAATATTAAGTTCTGCTTTTCTGATGTATCAAATACTTATGTCATGCAATAAAATGCAAATTAATTACTTAAAAATCATACAATGTGATTTTCTGGATTTTTGTTTTAGATTCCGTCTCTCACAGTTGAAGTGTACCTATGATAAAAATTACAGACCTCTACATGCTTTGTAAGTAGGAAAACCTGCAAAATCGTCAGTGTATCAAATACTTGTTCTCCCCACTGTATATGGTTGCTTGCAGAGTGAATTGATATTGGGATAGGATGGGATGACTGAAGAGTTACAGTAACTTATAGGTCATGTATGTACCACCGCATGATTGACATGTTATAAACAGTTAATGATAAATGATGATAAATCCTAACACTTTAATTCTCCCTCCCGCACTCCCTTTCTCCCTCTCTCTCTCCTGTCAGATTTGTGTGTAAGAACAACGGTGTGTTGTTTGAGAACCAGCTGCTTCAGATCGGCATCAAGTCTGAGTACCGCCAGAACCTGGGTGAGTTTGGGCTACTAGACAATGCTTGAATCCTAAGTCACATTTGTCACATTGATGTGAGTTCTGGGAGATTGCATTATGTGTGGGTCTCAAGTTAGGGTTCTTCCCTTGAAGTATTAACCCTTTTCATGCAGGTAAGTCCCATGTGAAATACATTAGCCTATATGCTGTAACCTTATTGAACTGATGTCTGTACTGTTCTATAGCTTTGGTAAGTACGTCTGAGCGTGCACAGAATGTAATAGATGGCGTCATTTTGTATTTGTGTTCACATCCTAGCTTTGTCATGTCCATTTTAGTATACAGAATGTTTTATTCAGTGGTTAGGTACGCTTCAGTTTCTATAATGCATTAGATGTTATGTGAGTGAGCATGATGCATAACTATATATATATATACACACACAGCTGTGGAAAAAATTAAGAGACCACCGCAAATCTTTCTTAAATCAGCATCTCTACATGTATGACAGCCATTCCATTCCAGTGTCTGTTGAATTCCAACACAGGCACACCTCATTCTACTGAATTAGGTACTGATTAGGTGATCACCTGACCCAAATCTTATTTAACGAGGAAAAGTATCCTCTTGCAATAGGACCAGCTGGATGGCAAAAACAGTGCTAATAGTACCTCAAAAGTAATATTAATCAAAAAATAACTATTGACCATGCCAGAAGAGTTGAAAAGGAAAGTTTTGACTGAGGAAAAGAAGGGTTCAATTCTGGCTTTACTGGCAGAGGGATACAGTGAGCGTCAGGTTGCTTCCATCCTTAAAATTTCAAAGACGGCGGTTCATAAGAACAAGGTCAAGCAGCAGACATTGGGGATAACAAAGCTACTGACCGGGATGACCGACCAACTCATTCGAATGTCACTCAACAACCGTAGGATGACATCAAGTGACCTACAAAAATAATGGCAAACGGCAGCTGGGGTGAAGTGCACAGCGAGGACGGTTCGAAACAGGCTCCTAGGGGCAGGGCTGAAGTTGAGCAAAGCTAGAAAAAAGCCCTTCATCATTGAGAAGCAAAGAAGAGCCAGGCTGAGGTTTGCAAAAGACCATAAGGATTGGACCGTAGAGGACTGGAGTAAGGTCATCTTCTCTGATGAGTCCAATTTTCAGCTTTGCCCAACACCTGGTTGTCTAATGGTTAGACGGAGACCTGGAGAGGCCTACAAGCCACAGTGTCTCACACCCACTGTGAAATTTGGTGGAGGATCGGTGATGATCTGGGGGTGCTTCAGCAAGGCTGGAATCGGGCAGATTTGTCTTTGTGAAGGACGCATGAATCAAGCCACGTACAAGGTTGTCCTGGAAGAAAACTTGCTTCCTTTTGCTCTGACATTGTTCCCAACGATTGGTTTTTCCAGCAGGACAATGCGCCATGCCACACAGCCAGGTCAATCAAGGTGTGGATGGAGGACCACCAGATCAAGACCCTGTCGTGGCCAGCCCAATCTCCAGACCTGAACCCCACTGAAAACTTCTGAAATGTGATCAAGTGGAAAATGGATGGTCACAAGCCATCAAACAAAGCCGAGCTGCTTGAATTTTTGCGCCAGGAGTGGCATAAAGTCACCCAACATCAATGTGAAAGACTGGTGGAGAGCATGTCAAGACGCATGAAAGCTGTGATTGAAAATCAGGGTTATTCCACCAAATATTGATTTCGGAACTCTTCCTAAGTTAAAACATTAGTATTGTGTTGTTTAAACCGACCTACATCCATCCTGCCCTGCCTTTCGAAAGTATTTGAAAGCCTAGTTAACAGATCACCGACCATTTCGAATCCCACCGTACCTTCTCCGTTATGCAATCTGGTTTCCGAGCTGGTCATGGGTGCACCTCAGCCACGCTCAAGGTCCTAAACAATATAATAACCGCGATCGATAAAAGACAGTACTGTGCAGCCGTCTTCATCGACCTGGCCAAGGCTTTTGACTGTCAATCACCGCATTCTTATTGGCAGACTAAATAGCCTTGGTTTCTCAAATGACTGCCTCGCCTGGTTCACAAACTACTTCTCAGATAGAGTTCAATGTGTCAAATCGGAGGGCCTGTTGTCTGGACCTCTGGCAGTCTCTATGGGGGTGCCACAGGGTTCAATTCTCGGGCCGACTCCATTCTCTGTGTGTGTGTGTGTGTGTGTGTGTGTGTGTATATATATATATATATATATTACTGCTCAAAAAAATAAAGGGAACACTTAAACAACACAATGTAACTCCAAGTCAATCAAACTGTCCACTTAGGAAGCAACACTGATTGACAATACACTTCACATGCTGTTGTGCAAATGGAATAGACAACAGGTGAAAATTATAGGCAATTAGCAAGACACCCCCAATAAAGAAGTGGTTCTGCAGGTGGTGACCACAGACCACTTCTCAGTTCCTATGCTTCCTGGCTGATGTTTTGGTCACTTTTGAATGCTGGCGGTGCTTTCACTCTAGTGGTAGCATGAGACGGAGTCTACAACCCACACAAGTGGCTCAGGTAGTACAGCTCATCCAGGATGGCACATCAATGCGAGCTGTGGCAAGAAGGTTTGCTGTGTCTGTCAGCGTAGTGTCCAGAGCATGGAGGCGCTACCAGGAGACAGGTCAGTACATCAGGAGACGTGGAGGAGGCCGTAGGAGGGCAACAACCCAGCAGCAGGACCGCTACCTCCGCCTTTGTGCAAGGAGGAGCAGGAGGAGCACTGCCAGAGCCCTGCAAAATGACCTCCAGCAGGCCACAAATGTGCATGTGTCTGCTCAAACGGTAAGAAACAGACTCCATGATGGTGGTATGAGGGCCCGACGTCCACAGGTGGGGGTTGTGCTTACAGCCCAACACCGTGCAGGACGTTTGGCATTCGCCAGAGAACACCAAGATTGGCAAATTCGCCACTGGCGCCCTGTGCTCTTCACAGATGAAAGCAGGTTCACACTGAGCACGTGACAGACGTGACAGAGTCTGGAGACGCCGTGGAGAACGTTCTGCTGCCTGCAACATCCTCCAGCATGACCGATTTGGCGGTGGGTCAGTCATGGTGTGGGGTGGCATTTCTTTGGGGGGCCGCACAGCCCTCCATGTGCTCGCCAGAGGTAGCCTGACTGCCATTAGGTACAGAGATGAAATCCTCAGACCCCTTGTGAGACCATATGCTGGTGCGGTTGGCCCTGGGTTCCTCCTAATGCAAGACAATGCTAGACCTCATGTGGCTGGAGTGTGTCAGCAGTTCCTAAAAGAGGAAGGCATTGATGCTATGGACTGGCCCGCCCGTTCCCCAGACCTGAATCCAATTGAGCACATCTGAGACATCATGTCTTGCTCCATCCACCAACGCCACGTTGCACCACAGACTGTCCAGGAGTTGGCGGATGCTTTAGTCCAGGCCTGGGAGGAGATCCCTCAGGAGACCATCCGCTACCTCATCAGGAGCATGCCCAGGCGTTGTAGGGAGGTCATACAGGCACGTGGAGGCCACACACACTACTGAGCCTCATTTTGACTCGTTTTAAGGACATTACATCAAAGTTGGATCAGCCTGTAGTGTGGTTTTCCACTTTAATTTTGAGGGTGACTCCAAATCCAGACCTCCATGGGTTGAAAAAATTTGATTTCCATTGATAATTTGTGTGTGATTTTGTTGTCAGCACATTCAACTATGTAAAGAAAAAAGTATTTAATAAGATAATTTCATTCATTCAGATCTAGGATGTGTTGTTTAAGTGTTCCCTTTATTTTTTTGAGCAGTGTATATATAAAAAATAAAAATAAATTGTCATTTAGCAGACGCTCTTATCCAGAGCAACTTACAGGAGCAATTAGAGTTAAGTGCCTTGCTCAAGGACACATCGACATATTTTTCACCTAGTCGGCTCAGGGATTAGAACCAGCGACCTTTAGATTACTGGCACAACGCTCTTAACCACTAAGCTACCTGCCGCCCTATTTATATATCAATGATGTCGCTCTTGCTGCTGGTGACTCTCAGATCCACCTCTATGCAGACGACACCATTTTGTATACATCTGGCCCTTCATTGGACACTGTGTTAACAAACCTCCAAACGAGCTTCCATGCCATACAACACTCCTTCCGTAGCCTTCAACTGCTCTTAAACACAAGTAAAACTAAATGCATGCTCTTCAATCGAACGCTGCTGGCACCCGCCCACCCAACTAGAATCACTACTCTCGACGGGTCTGACCTAGAGTATGTGGACAACTACAAATACCTAGGTGTCTGGTTAGACTGTAAACTCTCCTTCCAGACTCACATTAAGCATCTCCAATCCAAAGTTACATCTAGAATCGGCTTCCTATTTCGCAACAAAGCCTCCTTCACTCATGCTGCTAAACATGCCCTCGTAAAACTGACTATCCTACCGATCCTTGACTTCGGCGATGTCATTTACAAAATAGCTTCCAACACTCTACTCAGCAAATTGGATGTAGTCTATCACAGTGCCATAACAGTACATAATGCATTATAACATGTATGTGTTCTTTTGGAAATGTCACCTAAATGTGTCCACTTGACATAATATCTTCTAACGTGTGTGTGTGTTTTTGTTTGTTTTTCTAGGGAGGATGTATCTGTTCTATGGCAATAAGACATCGGTGCAGTTTGTCAGCTTTAGCACCACAGTCAGCTGCCCAGGGGAGCTGCAGTCTCATATCCTTCAATGCATTCACTTACTGTTCACGCACGCACGCCCACACACATACAGGCACACACACACACCCCTATCTTGCACACTATGTGTTAGTGTTTTCACGATAGCAGAATTTTGACTTCGATACTTATACCAGGTTTAGTATCACAATACGCGATACCATCACGATACTCGATATCAAAACGATGCCAAAATGATACCACAGCAAAAAAAGAAGGCATATTAGCCAAAGTCACAAAATGGCAGTTGATCCAGACAGATAAACTCTGCTACTGCTCTGTTCAGTCTTTGGGCATCTTTTAAGGTCAATATTAATTTTTTTATGTCCATTTTTCTGAGAATGGAAACAATAGGCTTTAGAACACCAGCTAACTGTAACTGTAAATCACCATATTGGCATTTTGTTGCATCACTGGCAGGAATTCCTGAATTTACTGAGACTATGACCTCTGCGTGCATTAATAAGCATAATTTGCTGGTGTCAAACCATATATGAAAACTTGATACACATTTTTTAAGCTGAGAAACAGCCCTTTCAAATGTTATGACATACAATAGCACCACATTAATCAAATGGTAAGTCAAGGAAAAACACTGACGAAAATCAGTTTTTTCTCCAAACAACTGCCATATACACAACTTCCTCATGAAGATGGAGAAAAACGTATCTAAGTCTTCCTTATTTTGTAAGCTTTGAAAATCAGAATAGTAATTCATACCATTTACTATGAATGAGTTATAGCTGTTTTAGTGAACAGTGATATTTTTCTAGAATTCTATGGATGTTCTTATCTTATTTTTCCTATGTTGTTGCATTACAACCTGTAATTTAAATTGATTTTTATTTGGATTTCATGTAATGGACATACACAAAATAGTCTTGTTTCAAGAAATTATTATAAAAAATAAATAACGGAAAAGTGGAGCGTGCATATGTATTCACCCCCTTTGCTATGAAGCCCCTAAATAAGATCTGGTGCAACCAATTACCTTCAGAAGTCACATAATTAGTTAAATAAAGTCCACCTGTGTGCAATCTAAGTGTCACATGATATGTACACCTGTTCTGAAAGGCCCCAGAGTCTGCAACACCACTAAGCAAGGGACACCACCAAGCAAGCAGCACCATGAAGACCAAGGAGCTCTCCAAACAGGTCAGGGACAAAGTTGTGGAGAAGTACAGAACAGGGTTGGGTTATAAAAAAATATCAGAAACTTTGAACCTCCCACAGAGCACCATTAAATCCATTATAAAAAAATGGAAAGAATATGGCACCACAACAAACCTGGCAAGAGAGGGCCGTCCACCAGAACTCACGGACCAGGCAAGGAGGGCATTAATCAGAGAGGCAACAAAGCGACCAAAGATAACCCTGAATGAGCTGCAAAGCTCCACAGCGGAGATTGGAGTATCTGTCCATAGGACCACTTTAAGCCGTACACTCCACAGAGTTGGGCTTTACGGAAGAGTGGCCAGAAAAAAGCATTGCTTAAAGAAAAAAATAAGCAAACACGTTTGGTGTTTGCCAAAAGGCATGTGGGAGACTCCCCAAACATATGGAAGAAGGTACTCTGGTCAGATGAGACTAAAATTGAGCATTTTTGCCATCAAGGAAAATGCTACGTCTGGCACAAACCCAACACCTCTCATCACCCCGAGAACACCATCCCCACAGTGAAGCATGGTGATGGCAGCATCATGTTGTGGGGATGTTTTTCATCGGCAGGGACTGGGAAACTGGTCAGAATTGAAGGAATGATGGATGGCGCTAAATACAGGAAAATTCTTGAGGGAAACCTGTTTCAGTCTTCCAGAGATATGATACTGGGACGGAGGTTCACCTTCCAGCAGGACAATGACCCTAAGCATACTGCTAAAGCAACACTCGAGTGGTTTAAGGGGAAACATTTAAATGTCTTGGAATGGCCTAGTCAAAGCCCAGACCTCAATCCAATTGAGAATCTGTGGTATGACTTAAAGATTGCTGTACACCAGCGGAACCCATCCAACTTGAAGGAGCTGGAGCAGTTTTGCCTTGAAGAATGGGCAAAAATCCCAGTGGCTAGATGTGCCAAGCTTATAGAGACATATCCCAAGAGACTTGCAGCTGTAATTGCTGCAAAAGGTGGCTCTACAAAGTATTGACTTTGGGGGGTGAATAGTTATGCACGCTCAAGTTTTCTGTTTTTTTGTCTTATTTCTGGTTTGATTCCCAATAAAAAATATTTTGCATCTTCAAAGTGGTAGGCATGTTGTGTAAATGAAATGATACAAACCCCCCCCCCCAAAAAAACAATTTTAATTCCAGGTTGTAAGGCAACAAAATAGGAAACATTCCAAGGGGGGTGAATAATTTCGCAAGCCACTGTAATGACAGTAATTGGCTCTTATAACTTCCATTTCTTCTTACATACATTGCATAAGGCCTATAGCCTAATACACGAAGAGTCAGAATAGGAACAAATTAAAAGCATGCAAGAAAGGTGCAATGACCAGTGACTTTAATAGTACCCATGTCCGCAATTAATCACACTGACTGGAGTGCCACAACCTAGCTAACGTTACCAGCCTGAGATTTCAAGAGTAAGTATCTAGTTAGCTAGCTAGCTAGCTATCATCATAAGGGTTAGGCATCAGGCTTAGGCTACATTAATTCTTGCAATCAACAGCCAGCAGGCTTAGCTACTAATTTTAGGAATTATATCACAGATAAACAGACACCTAATGAGAACTGGCTATTTAGTTAATTAGCTAGCTAGCTAATAATTATAGCTATGGGGGTTGGGGATCATACCTAGCTAGCTACATCTTTACTGGTAAAAAACAATCCTGCAGCAGCCCTATCTGGCTGGCTGGCTACCTAGCTAGCTACTTATTGAATGACACTAGCCAGTTTGTTTTAGCTGAAAATACTAATATTGATAAATGTTCTTCAAATTGTCAATATTAACATTTTATTTTGTACAGCTATCAAAGAAAACATTAAAAGACAAGAGAAGAGCTAAATCCGTTTCTTACCTTAATGTGAGCAGTGGTGGGAAAAGTACCCAATTGTCATACTCAAGTGAATGTCACACAAAATACTACTTGAGTAAAAATCAAAGAATTTGATTTTAAATATACTTAAGTATCAAAAGTAAATGTAATTGCTAAAGTATACTTAAGTATCATAAGTAAAGTATAAATGATTTTACATTTCTTATATTAAGCAAACGGCATGACTTTCTTGTTGTTTTTCATTTACGAATAGCCAGGGGCACACTCCAACACTCAGACATAATTTACAAATGAAGCATTTGTTTTTAGTGAGTCCGCCAGATCAGAGACTTTTGAGAATGGTTTTTTCCTGCTAATGGAACATTTGCGCTTAAAGCCTACTGCTGTGTGCGCATTGCTGTGCTTATAATGTGAAGAAATAGCCTAATAGTTTATGAACATTTTAAGCTAAACGTTCTCATCTGTTGCGTCAGGCTCATTGCTTAAAAAAGTATTTTTGATGCTCGTGGTTGTATTAATTTGGGCTCTATCGCATCCCACAACTGTCCCAGACTATGTATGGAATATTTATTTCTCGCACAGAATAGAATTTGTTAGGCTTACTCATCTTGTTGGCTGACGAAAGGTAAATGTTCTTCCAATATCTTCAATATGCCCCTCGGAATTGGATAAGGAGGCATGCAGTTGTGTCCCTGATGTGTCGGTCTTCACTTGTAGCCTGTGAGAAAGATTCGATCACGTGACAGAGAGCCATGTGAGTGAGAGGTGCTTCAGCACGCAGCCAGGAGAAGGGAATTATAATTATTAAATTCGGCCAGTTGTGATACATTTATCATTTGTACATTTGTATCACAACTAAAGTTACATAAATAACTCTAAATTAAGCATATAGGAGTACCTGTTTCTTTGTTCACCGCTCAACACAGAATAGCTGCATGTGCGCAGTCCCTCAAATCCTTTGGAGAAAATATATTTTCTATTTTATTCAGCTATGTTCAATTGTATTCTTCATACTATAAAATAATGCCACGGAATTCTAAGCAAATCTTGTCTGCCAATTAAATAGTGTAGCCCACAGCCATATGGCATAGCCAGATCAGGACCTAACATAAGGACAACCCAGAGTATGCTGTTATGTTCTTCTGAAATAGACTACATTTTCTTCATATAATGTTTCTTTAGACCTGTCAAAAATAAATAATGTCTTTGTTGTGATTGTGTAGGCTATATTAAATGGATTTATTATACTGTTTTAAATGTAGATGTTCCAAAGGTCTGCATCAGTGACTTGTAGGCTATGCGTGGAAGCCAGGAGATGCTAAATGTTTATGTTAATTAACGGTCAATTACCATGAGACCTGCAGTTATTTGCTTGACCAATCACCAGCTGACAAAATGTCATGACCGCCACAGCCATAGGGCTACCCATACCTCTAATAAACGTTGTCCAAGATCCTAAAAATAGAGATGTTTCTATGTTAAATGCAGATGTTTAGTATTAGGTGATCTCTTCGATTAGTTTTACTAAGTGTTTTCATTCCCCTTTAATGAATCAATTACACAATCATACAATACATTTGACTTTGTTTTTACCAATCCAACTACATATCAACATAATGGTAATCATTTTTTTGAATGATAAATCTCTGTTGATCTCTGTTGGGTAAATGAAGATGTAGCCTAGGCCTATCCACAATACAGGTGAATGCATATTCAATATGTGCGTGTGCATGCATTGAGTTGTTGAGCTTGTTTTGGTTGATTTCATGGGGCTACAGATGATAAACAATCTGTTTCCTTTACATTTGGGACTTATTTTATTGTACTGATCAACAACATTTGCGTAGAAGTAGCGCACATTTCTATAAAAGAAGCTGTCTCTTTAATCAAAGTAACAAATTCTAGTACTGAACCGTTTTTCATGTACTAGTATCAACGTTTTGGTATACCATGCAACACTACTATGCGTGTCCCTTGGGTTGTAGGCTATACTTGCATGTATTTAACACGCATAGCTACATTCAATATACAGTCCCCCCTGTGTGGTCTCTTGTCCCGGCTCTGTTCCTCTCCTTGACTGGCTTTCCCACAGCTCAACGTGCAGACCAAAACAGTGGAACCCCTAGTGGAGGGAGGAGCACAGGTGCAGCAGGTCATCAACATCGAGTGTCTGACCGACTTCATTGACGCGCCGCTGCTCAACATCAAGTTCAGGTACACGCGCCAGTACGCACACAGAATATTACACAGAACATACAATACAAACACCTCGCAATCACGCACGCAAGATCAGTAGTATCCCAAACATACACACACACACACACATTTTGTTTTGTCATCTTCAGTATATAAAGGTGTGCGTGTTCCTCTCAGGTATGGGGGAGCCCTGCAGAACATCTCTCTCAAGCTGCCTGTCACCATCAACAAGTTCTTCCAACCCACAGAGATGGCTGCCGCAGACTTCTTCCAGCGCTGGAAACAACTTAGCCAGTGAGTGAGAGTGGGTGTAGGGGTGGGTGTGAGGGTGTGTGTAGGGTGCGAGCATGTAAGAGTCTGTATTTATGACTGTTTTCTTCTCTTTTCAGGCCCCAGCAAGAAGCACAAAAGATCTTCAAGGCCAGCCATGGCATGGACACAGAAGTGCTCAAGGCCAAGGTACACACACACACACACACACACACACACACACACTGTAGGCATATTAATTTCATTCCCTTGCCTTCTGAATGTCTTCCACATCCTACTCCCCCCTCCCTCTCTTGTCTCTAGTTGCTGGGCCTGGGGACAGCCCTGTTGGAGAATGTGGATCCTAACCCAGAGAACTATGTGTGTGCCGGAGTCATCCAGACCAAGGCCCAACAGGTCGGCTGCCTGCTGAGACTGGAACCCAATGCGCAGGCCCAGGTACACACACACAAATGTACATGCATATATACACACACACACACACACACACACACACACGTACACGCATACGCATATATACACACACACAAATGTACATGCATATACACACACACACACGTACACGCATATGCATATATATACACACACACACACACAAATGTACATGCACACACACACACACATACACGCATACGCATATATATACACACACACAAATATACATGCATATACACACACGTACACGCATACGCATATATACACACACAAATGTACATGCATACACACACACACACACACACACACACACACAAACACACACGCATATATACACATACACAAATGTACATGCATAAATGTACATGTGGTCCTCTGTAGCTCAGCTGGTAGAGCACGGCGCTTGTAACGCCGAGGTAGTGGGTTCGATCCCCGGGACCACCCATACACAACAAAAATGTATGCACACATGACTGTAAGTCGCTTTGGATAAAAGCGTCTGCTAAATGGCATATTTCAATTTCAATTTCATATACACACACACGTACACGCATACGCATATATACACACACAAATGTACATGCATATACACACACACACACGTATACGCATATATACACACACACACACACAAATGTACATGCATATACACACACGCACACGTATACGCATATATACACACACACACACACAAATGTACATGCATATACACACACACACAAATGTACATGCATATACACACACAAATGTACATGCATATGTACACACACACACACACAAATGTACATGCATATATATACACACATGCATAAATACACACACACACACACGCACAAATGTACATGTATATACAAACACACACACACATGTACATGTATATACACACACACACACACAAATGTACATGCATATACACAGACACACACAAATGTACATGCATATACACAGACACACACAAATGTACATGCATACACACACACACACCACACACACACACCACACAAATGTACATGCATATATACACACACACACACACACACACACAAATTACATGCATACACACACACAAATTACATGCATATACACACACACACACACACACACACACACAAATGTACATGCATATACACACACACACACACAACAACACACACACCAAATTACATGCATATACACACCACACAACACCACACACACACAAATTACATGCATATCACACACACACACACACACACAAATTACATGCATATACACACACCACACACCACAAATTACATGCATACACACACACAAATTACATGCATATACACCACACACACACACAAATTACATGCATATACACACACACACACACACAAATTACATGCATATACACACACACACACACACACACACACACACAAATGTACATGCATATACACACACACACACACACACAAATGTACATGCATATACACACCCCACACACACAATACATATTACACAACACACACACAAATCGTTCCTCATGTGACCTCAGCACACACACGTCACGCCGCAAACAACTGTACATGCATAACACACACCCACATTTCAATTTACATCATATCACACCCTCCATCACACACAAATGTACACGCATATACACACACAGAGTCCGTCTGTCCTTCTCTGTGCTGCTCTCATTGCATCACTCACGGCTGTCTGTGTCTTTCTGTGTGCTGCTGCAAATCAAGCCTGGCGAGCAGGTAACACATCTGTCCCTGTTCTCTCTCTCTTTCTTTCTCCTCATCCCCCTCTTCTCTCTTTCACACCCTTTTTTTCCATTTTCTCATTCACTTTTCCCTCCACATTGATTCTTCCACACTTTCTTACTGACACCCCAAATTGAACACTTGAATCTCCACATTCTTTCTCCTCTCTCTCTCTCTCTCTCTCTCTCTCTCTCGCTCTCGCTCTCTCTCGCTCTCTCTGTGCAGTGTTAGACTCCAGGTTAATAATGTGTCATCAGTGTAAATCCATTCTACCCTCGTCTCGTGTTAAACTTTTAGATGATCCAAAATATACAGTGCCTTAAGAAAGTATTCATACCCCTTGACTTATTCAACATTTTATTGTTACAGCATGAATTCAAAATTGATTAAATATATATTTTTTACCCATCTACACACAATACCCCATAATGACGAAGGGAATATATATTTTTAGAATTACAGAAATATCTAATTTAAATAAGTATTCACACCCCTGAGTCTATACTTTATAGAAGAACTTTTGGCGTTGATTTTAGCTTTGAGTCGTCTTGGGTATGTCTGTATCAGTTTTGCACATCAGGACTTTCACATTCTTGTTTTGAAGCCATTCAAGCGTTGCTTTTGCTGTATGCTTGGGGTCATTGTCCTGTTGGAACGTAAATCTTTGCCCCAATCTATGATCTTTTGCACTCTTGAAGCAGGTTCTCATCAAGGATTTGCCTATATTTGGCTCCATTCATTGTTCCATCTATCCTTACCAGTCTCCCAGTCCATGCCGCTGAAATGCATCCGCATAGCATAATGCTGCCACCACCATGCTTCAACGGTAGGGATGGTGTTAAGATGGGCGAGGAGCTGTGCCTGGTTTTCTCCAGACAAAACGCTTTCCATTCAGGCCAAGAGATACATTTTTGTCTCGTCAGAATCATCTTTTGCCTTATGCTCTGAGTCTTTCACGTGCCTTTTTGCAAACTCCAGGCGTGCTGTCATGTGCCTTATTCTCAGGAGTGGCTTCCGTCTGGCCACTCTCCCATAAAGCCCAGATTGGTGAAGTGCTGTAGAGACTGTTGTCCTTCTGTCAGGTTCTCCCATCTCAGCCAAGGAACTCTGTAGTTCTGTCAGATTGGTCATTGGGTTCTTGGTCACCTCCCTGACCAAGGTCCTTCTTGTACAGTTGCTCAGTTTGGTCGGATGGACAGCTCTAGGCAGAGTCTGGGGAGTTCCATATTTTTTCAATTTCCCAATGATGGAGACCACTGCTCTTGGAAACTTTAAACACTCTAGAAATTGTTTTATACCCTTCCCCAGATATATGCCTCATCACAATTCTATCTTGGAGCTCTACAGACAGTTCCTTGGACTGCACGGTATAGATTCCGCTCTGACATGCACTGTCAACTGTGGGACCTTGTATTGAGTGTTTCTTTCTAAATCATGTCCAGACAACTGAGTTGGCCACAGATGGACTCCAATCGAGTTGTAGTGACATCTCAAGGATTTTCAAAGGAAATTGGATGCCCCTGAGCTCAATTTGGAGTGTCATATCAAAGGGGTGTGAATACTTACACTACCAGTCAAAGGTTTGGACACACCTACTCATTCAAGGGTTTCTTTATTTGTACTATTTTCTACATTGTAGAATAATAGTGAAGACATCAAAACTATGAAATAACACATATGGAATCATGTAGTAACCAAAAAAGTGTTAAACAAATCAAAATATATTTTATATTTGAGATTCTTCAAATAGCCACCCTTTGCCTTGATGACAGCTTTGCACACTCTTGGCATTCTCTCAACCAGGTTCATGAGAGAGTCACCTGGAATGCATTTCAATTAACAGGTGTGCCTTCTTAAAGGTTATTATGTGGAATTTATTTCCTCCTTAATGCGTTTGAGCCAATCAGTTGTGTTGTGACAAGGTATGGGGGGTATACAGAAGATCCATATTATGGCAAGAACAGCTCAAATAAGCAAAGAGAAACGACAGTCCATCATTACTTTAAGACATGAAGGTCAGTCAATACGGAACATTTGAAAGTTTATTCTAGTGCAGTCGCAAAAACCATCAAGCGCTATGATGAAACTGGCTCTAATGAGGACTGCCACAGGAAAGGAAGACCCAGAGTTACCTCTGCTGCAGAGGATAAGTTCATTAGAGTTACCAGCCTCAGAAATTGCAGTCCAAATAAATGCTTCACATAGTTCAAGTAACAGACACATCTCAACATCAACTCTTCAGAGGAGACTGTGTGAATCCGGCCTTCATGGTCGAATTGCTGCAAAGAAACCACTACTAAAGGACACCAATAAGAAGAAGAGACTTGCTTGGGTCAAGAAACACGAGCAATGGACATTAGACCGGTGGAAATGTGTCCTTTGGTCTGGAGTCCAAATTTGAGATTTCTGGTTCCAACCGCTGTGTCTTTGTGAGACGCGGTGTGTGTGAACGGATAATCGCAGCATGTGTATTTCCCATCGTAAAGCATGGAGGAGGAGGTGTTATGGTGTGGGGGTGCTTTGATGGTGATACTGTCTGTGATTGATTTAGAATTCAAGGCACACTTAACCAGCATGGCTACCACAGCATTCTGCAGCGATACACCATCCCATCTGGTTTGGGCTTAGTGGGACTATCATTTGTTTTTCAACAGGACAATGACCCAACACACCTCCAGGCTGTGAAAGGGCTATTTTACCAAGAAGGAGAGTGATGGAGTGCTGCGTCAGATGACCTGGCATCCACAATCCCCCAACCTCAACCCAATTGAGATGGTTTGGGATGAGTCGGACCGCAGAGGGAAGGAAAAGCAGCCAACAAGTGCTCAGCATATGTGGGAGCTCCTTCAAGACTGTTGGAAAAGCAATCCAGGGGAAGCTGGTTGAGAGAATGCCAAGAGTGTTCTAAGCTGTCATCAAGGCAAAGGGTGGCTATTTGAAGAATCTCAAATATAAAATATATTTTGATTTGTTTAACACTTTTTTGGTTACTACGATTCCATATGTGTTATTCTACAATGTAGAAAATAGTAAAAATAAAGAAAAACCCTATAATGAGTAGGTGTGTCCAGACTGTTGACTGGTACTGTATGTGAATGAGATTTCTGTATATCATTTTAAATCAATTTGCTAAAATTTCTAAAAACCTTGTTTTCACTTCGTCATTATGGGGTATTGTGTGTAGATTGGGGAGAATGTAATCCATTTTGAATTGAGGCTGTAACACAACAAAATGTGGAGTAAGTCAAGGGGTATGAATGCTTTCTGAAGGCACTGTATATATATTATGTGTGTTTGAACTTTACTGACCACCCTGTATGTTAATTCATGTTTAAGGGTGTGTGTGTCGTCTGTGTGTAGTCTTGAGCACACGTGTGTGTGCGCATGTTAGTGTGTGTGTGTTTACCCATGTTAAACCTGTGTCCCCTCTCTCTGTCAGATGTACCGGCTGACTCTGCGCAGCAGCAAGGACACCGTCTCCCAGCGCGTCTGTGACCTCCTGGCAGAACAGTTCTAAAACCCTGAGTCTAGAACCCACCCAACGCGCTCCAGGCCGCCATCATCATCACGCTGTAGACACCCAACACACCGAGACCAGCATTTCAACTCACCCCACCCATTTCATCCCTCCCTCCCACCCCACCCATTTCATCCCTCCCTCCCACCCCACCCATTTCATCCCCACCCATCCCACCCATTTCAGTCCCACCCATCCATCCCCCCGAACAAAGAATCAACGAGAAGAAGGAAACATACCTACATAAGGGAAGAAGGAAAAATACCTACATAAGGGAAAAAAAAGCAGCCGTTGCCACTTACACGACTGCCCTATTATTGTCATGTATTATTATTGTCAAGATTATGATTCCGATTCTTATTATTATTACTGTTTATCATCGGCGCTACAATTCTTGTTTTGTTCTGTGTTTACCTGTGAATGTAAGTGTATGACTGTGTGTGTGTGTGTGTGTGTGTTGGGTGTGTGTTCTAGAATCATGCTGGTGTGTGTGTCCTGTTCTTCTCCGTCCTGTCTGTTTAAGCCCTTGAGTGCTCCTGTACTTGTGATGACAGCTGGTGTGTGTGTGTCCGTGCGTGTGTGATTCATGGGGGAGGGTGGGAGATTCTGTGCGTCGATTCCGCGACATTTCAACCGTAGACTATTCCTGGGAGTTGCATGGGAGGACCAGTTCTACATACACACACACATATACATGTATAATACACAGCCAGATACTCTCACATGTAGGCACATACATGCATATATTTGTACATGCTTAAGTGTCTGTGTAGGGAGGGAGGGGTAAAACGAAATCACACTAAAGAAATGGGACGCTTCTGTGTAAGAGTCCAAAAACTACACACTCTAAACCCCCACCTTCACCCCAACCCCATCTCTTCTCCACCCTCTGCTGTCCCAGATCCCCACCTGTTATACATAGATCCCAAGGGCCTCTATCAGTATAATCGCTGAGATATAGTAGTCCATAAAATAATTGGAAATGGCCAGTGCACTTTAGGTGGTTCCAAGAGACCTCAGTCCATCAATACCCCTCAAACGCATACACACACCACCCCACTCCCACTTCCCCCATCTTTCTGGCGTGTAACCATACTTTATATATGAACTCAAATGATTCTGTACCTGTTCATGGAATATATATAAAACAAATAATGTAATTAATTACCCCTTTTTATCTTTTTTTTTTATTGTCTCATATTTCCTTTTCATTCCTTTTATTAGTAGTGGAGTTATTGAAGTGTTTGTATGTTTCTTTAATGGTGTAATGCTGTGTTGCTTCTGTTGTGTGTGTGTGTGTGTGAAGGTAGTGTGAGAGAGTAGGGCCAGCAGTGTGTACCCTGCAAATAGGGTAGAGGGGTCAGCTAGAAGGAGAGCGAGATGGAGAGAGTAGCAGGGTAGCTGGTCTTGTTTACAGTGTTAATCAGACAGAGGCGAGGTTGACACTTGACTTAAACCTATCATAAAGCCTACTGAAAGCCTACTTACCACCATCGTAAGCATGACATAACAGATAAGGAATTATAAGACGTTGTGAAAACTGATGTAAGTTTATTTCAGATTAGCAATGTTTTTGGACACTTGAGGCAGGGCTCATTGGTTGAGAGCTGACATGGGATGTTTTATGACAGCTTATGACATGTTTATGTCGTGCGTAAGTAAGCATTGAGCAGGCCCCATTGATGGGGAGTTCAGGTGGTAGTTGGGAGGAGTTAGAGGGCAGTGGGCCAGTCCGTGTTCACATGAAGAGTGAAGCGGCAGAGCAGAGGCCTAGTCTTCATTATTTTGATTTGTTATATTTTTGTGCTGAAAAGAGGGATGGGATTGGAGAGTAGAGTGCTGCTTGACACCGTGATTGACTGAACAAAGATGAGTACCTCAGAACTTGATCTCTAAACACGCACAGGCTTGTGCACGCACACACACGTCACAAATACTTACCGTATGGTATTAATTGGGAGAAGATTGCAATTTGCAGAAGATTTATTATAATCTTTGACAACACAACCAACCACAAAGACACTGGACAGCACTTATCTGTAAACTCACATTTCAGACACGCGCGCACCCACATGTCCATTCTTAGAGATGAGAGAGGAGAGAACTCAAAGACCAACTGTCAATCACAACTACCGGGATCGAGTCATCAGGGGTGAGCATCGCGCGCGTGTGTGTGTGTCGGTGTACCACGTGATACAAATATCCTAAATTATGTTTGAGATATGGTCATATTAGTTTCAACAGGAGTCACTTGTACGTCTAACCCATGCAGCATTGGTGGGACAGTCTGATCATTGTAGTGGAAACTAGAATAATTGTGTGTGTGTGTGCGCGTCTATGCAGTATCCGCTAGCTAATGCAGCCCCGTGTATCGGTGTTAAACCTGTCAGATACCTGTGTTAGATTTAAGATTTACTCTGTACTGAATAATGTGAAAGTAAAACTATGCCATATACGCTACCACTGGCTCTCTCTTTCTTAGTGGGAAAGTGTGTGTCTCTGTGTGTGATGATGATGTTCATTGTTCGTCAAGAGGAAGTTATTTCCAAAGCTCACCACAGTTCCACGTCCACAACAAGAAACTGATGTTATGTGTTAGTGCTGGGCTGGAACAAAAGCCTGTACACCCAGCAGCTCTCCAGAACTGTAGTTGGATGTCAGTCCTATCAATAAGAACTCATCACATTGATTAAGTAGTAGATGTAATGTGATTTTGCTCATTGAATAAATATCCTGCTAAAGCAGGCAGTGTGGCATGTTACCAGTGTTGGGGAGTAGTGAACTACATGTAGTTCAACTAGTAATTTAGTTATATTTTCAAGTAGCTTGGTGGTAGTTGAACTAAATTCTAATCTAGGTAGTGTTTGAGCTTTTTTGCCATGTAGCGGTGTAGCTTACTACTGGAACTAGACACTACTGTTCTTGCACAAATAAAATAAAATGTGGGTGAAGTAGGTAATAAGTTCCTTTTATAGGCATCAGGTTTGCCAAACTCTCACTTGAAACTGTTTGTGTTTAATACGTTAAATTCCACATTATGTTAACAAAGTGATCTGTTCTTGCGATTTGTAGTCTGACATATCAGATTTACATATGATGCTTTTTCATGAAGTAGTTTGGATGTAGTGAACTACTTCTTCAAAGTAACTTTAGTCAAGTAAACTATATTTTTCTTGAGGGTAGCATTAGTATAGCTTAACTTCCAGTGTGAAGTAATTGGTAGCTTGGTAAACTATATTTTCAGAGTAGCTTCCCAAACACTGCATGTTACCAACCTGTACCCAGTGGTGGGGAAAAAGTACCCAATTGTCATACTTGACTAAAAGTAAAGATACCTTAATAGAAAATGACTTAAGTAAAAGTGAAAGTCACCCAGTAAAATACTGCTTGAGTAAAAGTCTAATAGTATTTGGTTTTAAATATACTTAAGTATCAAAAGTAAATGTAATTGCTAAAATATACTTAAGTATCAAAAGTAAAAGTGTACATCTTTTGAAATTCCTTATATAAAGCAAACCAGGCAGCACCATTTTCTTTTCTTTTTAAATTTACCGATAGCCAGGGGCACGCTCCAACACTCAGACATAATTTACAAACAAAGCATGTGTTTAGTGAGTCCGCCAGATCAGAGGCAGTAGGGATGACCAGGGATGTTCTCTTGATAAATGTGTGAATTAGACAATTTTTCTGTCCTGCTAACCATTCAAAATGTATCGAGTACTTTTGAATGTCAGGGAAAATGTATGGAGTAAAAAGTACATAATCTTCTTTAGGAATGTAGTGACCAATTCAGAATTGGGCTGCCTGTGTAAACGCAGCTCAAGTGTGCAAAGATAACTCTGTAGCTCAACTGGTAGAGCACGGCGCTTGTAACGCCAAGGTAGTGGGTTCGATCCCCGGGACCACCCATACACAAAAATGTATGCACGCATGACTGTAAGTCGCTTTGGATAAAAGCGTCTGCTAAATGGCATATTATTATTATTATTATTATTATTATAACAGATTCCATCCTCACTGTCATCTCGACATAATAGAGCCTTTTTCCTGGACCCAGATTAATCCTAGTCCTTGACTAAAAAGCATGATCAATGGAGATGTGTTTGGGAAACCGACCCTCAATCCACAGATAAATTACATTTATGTCTTCTGGTGTGAGATGATGTGATTTGTCCTGATTAATCAGAAAGGAACTCCTGATTTGGTATTACATCCTCCTCTATGAACAGGTCAGAGGGGGAGGGAAAGTGACCCACACCCAAAGCATTATCCACCTGTTCCCGATGTCCTTTGTTGTGCTGATCACATCTATTACAAGCTTCCACCTGAAGAAAGCTGCGCCAGCATGCGTTTTTATCCCTCAATAATCAAAACGACAACAGACAAGTTTCTAGAGTCATATTTCTATTTTCCTAATTCAACACCAGGTTTGAATGGCCCTCAAGCACAGGTTTAGGATCAGCACATCTGCCCCCAGTCATAAACCTGAACTGTTAACATGGGTAAACGCAGAACTGGAATGAGATCAGATTAGATTCAGTCTTTCTTATTCTTAATTTGACCCGAATGGGAATATAGGGCTTCAGGGAGAGGAGTAACTAGTCATGATGCACCAATGGGACGAACTAGGCCGTCTCCTAGGCTACAGTGTATGTGCAAACGTGTGCCCCGTACAAAGCAAAGATCAGCCTTGATGCAGAAATAAAACATTAACTAAATATAAATTATCCATGTACTTCTCATGTTAACCCATTTATCTTGAGTTGTGCAATGTTATGTGAATTTTCTCCCCTCTTCCAGCTGTGGGTCACTACATATAGGCTGTGATTGAATGATTACATTATTTGTATTTGTATTTATTAGGATCCCCATTAGCTGCTGCCAAGGCAGCAGATACTCTTCCTGGGGTCCAGCAACATTAAGGCAGTTATATACAATTTAAAATATTACATGACATTACATTTCATAACACTTTTCACAACACATTGTGTGCCCTCAGGCCACTACTCTATCACATACACTACCGGTCAAAAGTTTTAGAACACCTACTCATTCAAGGGTTTTTCTTTATTTTTTACATTGTAGAATAATAGTGAAGACATCAAAACTATGAAATAACACATGGAATCATGTAGTAACCAAAAAAGTGTTAAACAAATCAAAATATATTTTAGATTTTAGATTCTTCAAATAGCCACCCTTTGCCTTGATGACAGCTTTGCACACCCAGGTGTGACAAAACTAGGGCCTGTAGGACCTGCCTTATTGACAGTGTTAAGAAGGCAGAGCAGCGCTTTATTATGGACAGACTTCTCCCCATCTTAGCTACTGTTGCATCAACATGTTTTGACCAACATGCTCAATTTCCACATTATAAGATTTATTTGAGATTTAGGGTTTAGTAAATGATCTGTCCCAAATACAATGCTTTTAGTTTTAGAAATATTTAGGACTAACTTATTTCTTGCCACCCATTCTGAAACTGACTGCACCTCTGTTAAGTGTTGCAGTGATTCCACTCACTGTAGTAACTGACGTGTATAGTGTTGTCATCCGCATACATAGACATACAGTGCATTCGGAAAGTATTCAGACCCCTTGACTTTTTACACAAAAGTTACAGCCTTATTCTAAAATGGATATTTAAAAAAAATCCCTAATCAATCTACACACAATACCCCATAATGACAAAGCAAAAACAGATTGTTTGAATATTTATAAAAAATTGAAAACTCAAATATTACATTTACATAAGTATTCAGACCCTTTACTCAGTACTTTGTTGAAGCACCTTTCGCAGCGATTACAGCCTCGAGTGTTCTTGGCACACCTGTATTTGGGGAGTTTCTCCCATTCTTCTCTGCAGATCCTCTCAAGCTCTGTCAGGTTGGATGGGGAGCGTCGCTGCACAGCTATTTTCAGGTCTCTCCAGAGATGTTTGATCGGGTTCAAGTCCGGGCTCTGGCTGGGCCATTCAAGGACATTCAGAGACTTGTCCCGAAGCCACTCCTGCGTTGTCTTGGCTGTGTGCCGTCGCCCCAGTCTGAGGTCCTGAGCACTCTGGAGCAGGTTTTCTTCAAGGATCTCTCTGTACTTTGCTCCGTTCATCTTTCCCTCGATCCTGACTAGTCTCCCAGTCCCTGCCGCTGAAAAACATCCCCACAGCATGCTGCCACCACCATGCTTCATCGTAGGGATGGTGCCAGGTTTCCTCCAGACGTGACGCTTGGCATTCAGGCCAAAGAGTTCAATCTTAGTTTCATCAGACCAGAGAATCTTGTTTCTCATGGTCTGAGAGTCTTTAGGTGCCTTTTGGCAAACTCCTAGCGGGCTGTCATGTGCCTTTTACTGAGGAGTGGCTTCAGTCTGGCCACTCTACCCTGAAGGCCTGATTGGTGGAGTGCTGCAGAGAATGTTGTCCTTCTGGAAGGTTCTCCGATCTCCACAGAGGAACTCTGGAGCTCTGTCAGAGTGACCATCGGGTTCTTGGTCACCTCCCTGACCAAGGCCCTTCTCCCCCGATTGCTCAGTTTGGCCAGGTGGCCAGCTCTAGGAAGAGTCTTGGTGGTTCCAAACTTCTTCCATTTAAGAATGATGGAGGCCACTGTGTTCTTGGGGACCTTCAGTGCAGCAGAAATGTTTTGGTACCCTTCCCCAGAGCTGTTCCTTGACACAATTCTGTCTCTGAGCTCTACAGACAATTCCATGGCTTGGATTTTGCTCTGACATGCACTGTCAACTGTGGGACCTTATATAGACAGGTGTGTGCCTTTCCAAATCATGTCCAACCAATTGAATTTACCACAGGTGGACTCCAGTCAAGTTGAAGAAACATCTCAAGGATGATTAATGGAAATGAAAGGAAAAGGATGCACCTGAGCTCAATTTCGAGTCTCATATCAAAGGGTCTGGCACACACCTGTCTATATAAGGTCCCACAGTTGACAGTGCATGTCAGAGCAAAAACCAAGCCATGAGGCTGAAGGAATTGCTCTGGGGAAGGGTACCAAAAAATGTCTGCAGCATTGAAGGTCCCCAAGAACACAGTGGCCTCCATCACTCTTAAATGGAAGAAGTTTGGAACCACCAAGACTCTTCCTAGAGCTGGCCGCCCAGCCAAACTGAGCAATCGGGGGAGAAGGGCCTTGGTCAGGGAGGTGACCAAGAACCCGATGGTCACTCTGACAGAGCTCTAGAGTTTCTCTGTGGAGATGGGAGAACCTTCCAGAAGGACAACCATCTCTGCAGCACTCCACCAATCAGGCCTTTATGGTAGAGTGATCAAGCACTGATGTTGGGCGATTGGGCCTGGCTCGCAGTAGGTGTTCCATTTCATTCCAAAGATGTTTGCTGGGGTTGAGGTCAGGGCTCTCTGCAGGCCAGTCAAGAGTTTCCACACTGACTTTGACAAACCACTTCTGTATGGACCTTGCTTTTTGCACGGGGGCATTGTCATGCTGAAACAGGAAAGGGCCTTCCCCAAACTGTTGCCACAAAGTTGGAAGCATAGAATCGTCTAGAATGTCATTGCATGCTGTAGCGTTAAGATTTTCCTTCACTGGAACTAAGGGGCCTAGCCCAAACCATGAAAAACAGCCCCAGACCATTATTCCTCCTCCACCTAGCTTTACAGTTGACACTATGCATTCGGGCAGGTAGCGTTCTCCTGGCATCCGCCCGTTCTGTGAACTTGAGCTTGTGTGGCCTATCACTTCGCGGCTGAGCCTTTGTTGCTCCTAGACGTTTCCACTTCACAATAACATCACTTACAGTTGACCGTGGCAGCTCTAGCAGTGTAGAAATTTGACGAACTGACTTGTTGGAAAGGTGGCATCCTATGACGGTGCCACGTTGAAAGTCACTGAGCTCTTCAGTAAGGCCATTCCACTGCCAATGTTTGTTTATGAAGATTGCATGGCTGTGTGCTCGATTTTATACACCTGTCAGCAACGGGTGTGGCTGAAATAGCCGAATCCATTAATTTTAAGGGGTGTCCACATACTTTTGTATATATAGTGTATTTTCCAGATACTGACTGTTAGCACTTGGTGGTCTATAGCAACTTCCCACCAGAATGGGCTTTAGGTGAGGCAGGTGAACCTTTAGCCATATTACTACAACAGTATTTAACATGAGCTCCTCTCTAAGCTTTACAGGAATGTGTCAATGTATATAGGCCACAACAACGCCCCCATTGGCATTTCTGTATTTTCTGTAGATGTTATATATAATATATATACCAATGCAGACAACCCTTACAAAAAAAGATTGCAGTTAGAGTGCAGTATAACTGCAGTGTGCTGCAAATACTGCGTCCATTTATTGCAGTAGTTTTGCAGTGTAACTGCCGTTACAGTGCAGTTACAGTGCAGTATAGCTGCAGTTCAACTGCAGTACACTGCAGTTATTCTGCAATGAATGTGTCCAAAACACCACAATCGACTGCAGTACTGCACTTTTACTGCAGTTTCAAAACTAAAATATTTTTTTTGTAACGGAATGTTTTAGATAACGTATAGTGTCAAGAGAAGAGATTATAGGGTTTTGCACAAATAAATGCTTTTCGCAACGGGGTGTTGCAGCTGAATGTTTTTTTTAAAACGGCTCTGCAACAATAGCGTCAGAAAAGGTACGATTCATCACAATAAAATGCCAAGGTCTTCAGGCGAATTGATGATGATGAACAAATGGAGTGCGTGCGCGCGTCAGAGTCCGGCATGGGCGCTGATTGGTTGAAAATGACATCACATACAATTGTACTATTCTTAGCTTGTAGAAACAGCATTACCTCATCCTTTTCCCCTCGCGCAGGTATTGACATACAACAACAAATAATGTTACAGTCGCAGACAGGACGAGGAAGAGGAAGAGGGTAGAAGTAGAGAGAGAGAGCTCTATACTTTACTGATTATTAATTAATCATAACATATCCTTTTGGATTCTTCATCCATTTGCTTTGAAACCATTCGGTTGATTATATCGAGTTATTTGGTGTGCAAGTTGATTTGTGCGATATTTCCAGTATCTTCGTTTGGAGTGAAAATCGTCACTGTAAGTACAATGTAATATTTCTTGCTTGCATCATTTATGTCTGGTTTTATATTCTCTTGTGATCATCTAATGTATGTGAACTTGCTAAATCAATGACGTAATGCAAAGAGAACATCATTCTGCAGCAGCAATAGACCGAAGTAATGTTTTCTTAATTAACATTCATGGCAATAATAATGCAAAAATATTCCATGCAACTGTTAAATGTTAAAATGATTGTCAAAGTTCCATGCAGTATTTTTTCGATTCCTATGTATTGTAGCCTAATACACCATTGTAATCACCGGATATTGAAATGAACACAGTTTACTCTCATGTTTCGGTACCAGACACAAAGGACAGAGATGGTGTTCTACAGGGAGAGAGAGAACGGGACACGCGAGCGGCCACCGCTGTCTCTCATCCTACCGCATCTTTACCTAGGTGCAGAGACTGATGTTACGCAGGTAATAATGTTTTCATTCAGTAGGACAGTCTCTAGAATTGATAGCCTAGCTCTCGTCATTGGCCAAAGCGTTGTATTTTGACAATGCACCGAAAATGCAGCTCTTCCAGAAGACTAGAACTTATTAATATTGCCTGTTCTCTGTCTCTCGTTTCCCGGTACTCTCCTACTCGGCTGCAGGATTGCCTCGGCGCCCGCGGGATCTCCTACGTGCTAAGCGTGAGCCGCTGCAGCCCGCAGCCTACTTTCCTTCCCCGTTCCCAGTACCTTCGCATCCCCATCGATGACTCTCTCCGAGACGACCTGCTGCCCCATATCCCGGAGGCACTGCGTTTTATTGGTGAGAATAATGATGAGATCGGGTTAGTTACGTGTCAAATGGATGGCACCCTATTCCCCATATAGTGCCACTGCACTATTTTCGACAAGACAAGAGAGTTAGTGCACTCTAAGGGGAATATAGGCTTCATTGGAGATTTGACCAGGGCAAATCCTGAAGGTTAGGTAATAGGACATTTCTGCATGTCATCGTTATGCTATAGTCTGCATCATCATGGATGCATAAACACTGGCGTCTGTCTGTCTGGAAGAAACACAGATGACTCAGTTCAAGTGATGAGCAGTTATTGATCAGGGTTTCATGCAGGCCAGTTATGCTCCTATGGTTTCAGAAATATTGAATGCTGTCACAGCCCGTTCAGTACCACAGACAATTGATTCAAGTCTACTGTTGCAGGAAGCCCATTCATGACACTTGGTAGAAGCTGTGTGTCCTTTGCACAGTTTGCAGTCTGGCTCAAGTGATGTCATGCGATACAGTATGGATGATTTCAAATAAACAATTGACTTATCTATATCTTCTCTCTGTCTCAGATGGGGCTATGTCATCAGGTGGATCTGTGTTAGTTCATTGTGCTGCAGGAATCTCTCGCTCCCCTGCCCTGGCTGTGGCCTACATTATGTACAACCTGGGGATGGACCTTGACCATGCCTACAGGTGTGTTTGTCTGTGCTGTGTGTGTGTGTGTATGTATTAATGCATTATAATGATTGTGTGTGTGTGTGTGTGTGTGTGTGTGTGTGGGCATATAAAGCATCCACATCTAATCTTGTCTGTTCCTCACTTTCAGGTTTGTGAAAGAGCGCAGGCCTTCAATCTCCCCAAACTTCAATTTTCTGGGGCAGCTACAACACTTCCAGGGAACCCTGGCTCAGAAGGCCTCTAATGGCAACCCCACTATCCAGCCAATCAGATCACTGGACACATGCCTGCAGTCAAGCAATGAAAACATTAGCCGCGGTTCCTCTGTCCCCCTGTCAGCCAATCAGATCATGAATATTCAGGACAATGGCTATGTTGCTAAGGACTTTTTAGAGGTTGCTAAAGTGCATAATATGTACAATGAGAATTCCACTTGTAAGACAGAGAACATAGAGCAAAGGTGCTCGTATTCAGGTGAAACTCAGAGTCTATCAGAGAAGCCACAGCAAGACCAGAGGAGCGTGCCGTCACAACGGACGCTGTCTCTCTCCAGCAAACTCAGAACGCTCACTCTCAACCTGAACCATAACCACAACCAGAACCAGAGGGAGGCCCAGAGCCCGTGTGGAGCAATGACTCCAAGCCCCAACGAATCAGCGACACCAACACCAAAGCCCAACACACTACAAATCCCAACAGGTATTGTGTCTCTCTATGAGAAGCGCAAGAGCCTCACCCTCTCCCTGTCTCCCGTTGGTGCAATTCCCCCGACTCCCCACCAGAATGAGCCAGAAAGCACTAACAGGCACAGCATTAGCCATAAGCCAATATGCTCCAGCACTTCCAACACCATCCACAAGAGGGAGTTAGAAGGCACCAGTGGTTCAAAAAGGCACGGTAGAACCCCTTCGACGGTGGCCCTTTCCTCCTCACAGACAGATGTACAACAGAGAGAGAGGAGCACATCCTGCGTCAAAGCAGCAGGTCAGCCCAATCGCTGCTCCTCCCGAACCCAGGGGAAGGGTGCGAGAGAGGGAAGAGGCCAGGGTAAAAGAGAGCCCAGCCGCTGTCAGAGCGTGGAGAAGGGGAGGTCTAACTCGACTCCAAAGACAGGGAAGGACCACAGCAAGGGAAGAGCAGAGAGGGAGACACTAACTGGGAGCCTGAGCAGCAGTTCTGTTTTGAACCAGCACAGTATCGTAGTTGACCAGCAGGTGTCACCAGCAGCTAAGCTGTCTGCATCTGCAGTGGCGGCTGAGGAAGGTGTAGATGCTGAACAGGGCCTCCTGTCTCCTCTCAACCTGACTGTCAACAAGCTGCTGGGCTGGGGAGAGAAGATGCTGATGGGGGTGCTGCTCAGCCCCCGGTTCAAAGTGAGACAGGCTGTTCTGCCCTATAGGTGCTGATGCGGTATGTGACCACTGGCGAGGACAGAGAGAGGACTGATAAATGCCAGGAGATTGATTTGTGTGCGTGTGTGTGTGTGTGCGTGTGAGGAACTGAAGAACAGAGAACTGAACTGCATGTATAATATTTGTCTGCCCATACCATGTTCACAGAGCTCTGAGTGAATGCTTTGTCCTATAAATTCAAATTTATTGTTGAATTCCTTCAAAAGTACTATATATATTACATATAGGAGCAGTTTATGCCTCCAACACAATTCACATGGATTAAGGCTTGATTGTGTTGATTTATATTTATTGATTGACGTGAATCAAGTGATCACTTTATTGTTGTTATTTATAAAATGAATATTTTGAGGATGGTATTTTGGCACTGTTGTTTGTAATGGGATCACAGTGTTCATTAAAGATGACATATTTTACTCCTGTTCTCTCCTGGCTTTTCTATTCTGACTCATCTCCCATGTATTTCACCATAAATTTACAATCATTTAGGCCTATGAGGAAAAAATCTGATTCACAATTTAGACTGATATGGTTATTCACTTATTTTATAAAATATTACAAGAATGCAGTCTTGAAAATACAATTTGGATTATTTTCACTTTTAGAGGACAGTCTGCCCTTGAACATCAACAAATCAAATTGTTTGGGTTAAAAGGAAAGGTTGAGGGTGAATGTGGGTGTGGTAAAAATGAGCAACATGCCTATGTAAATGAGTCACATCCGGTTGAGGGGATGGGCAAATCAGGGAGGGAAAGGAAGACAAGAATGCTTTACCTGGCAAGAACTATTAATATAAAATACTGTATGCTAGGAGTTTTCCCTCCAATATCTCCTCATATTCTCAACAGGTAGGCTAAAGTCGTTTGAGGGTAATCATACAATACTCCCAAATGGATAGGCTGAAGTACTAAACGCGAAGAAATGAATGACTAGACCTACATACAACTGGGCTCAATGGCCAAATAAGGTAGTACACGTCATGTAGTACACATAATGTGTAAATACTATAGTTCACTCGTTCAAAATCTGGTTAAACCATATTGTTTCAGTTTCATGAATAAACGTGCAGTGTTGATTAAAAGAAACATTGTAGAATGCATCTCATTCTAAAAGAGCCTTTGCTGATTCATGAAAAGAGGGAGAGGGGAAGCATACATATCATTGGGAGGTTGAAGCGTGAGAATGTATACAATGAGGAAACGGTGTCGTTAAAACACGCCCATTTTTACATGCGCATGAGATTTCGAGAAAACCTTGGTTGAGAAAAAGAGTTGCCTTGGAGCGATGAAAAAATAAGTCAATGAAGACGAGGAAAAAATGAAGACATCGCCAAGAAAAACCCAGTAGACATCACAAAAGTTGTTATATAATGCGTCCGCAGAGATATGTAGATGGATCAATCTAGAGATAATCAAAGTTAGACAAGCGCGTTTAAGTTTGACGGGGTAGTTGATAATCAAGGTCATTTTTTTTTTCTTCTGGAGTCACAAAGTTGGCATCGATAGCCTAATTTACTTAAGGCGGGTGCGGAAGGCTTTTCACCCGACAAAAATTATGAGAGATAGGCCGATAAACCGTTAGATTTTAACAATAATACTTTATTTCTATTTTACCGGGTTATGTAGCGACCTATGATACGAAACTCTATTGGGGTTAGAGCAGTGATACGAAACTATTGGGGTTAGAGCCTACTTTTGTGGATAGTTTACAACACTGGGCCAGACTAAAACCGTAAGCTTTTCAATGTTATAAAAAATTATCAGAAAACGAACTATACATTTTTATATTTGAGATATTGATAACCTATCGTAGGTAATTCAAGTTAAATATATTGGCGTAATACCGAGGTAAAAACCCAACTGCTACCTTCTAGGATTTTTCTTTGAGCTACCTTGATAAAAGTAGTTTGCTCAATCGTTGGAGAAGTGGACTTTCATTTTTTCCCCTCATCTACCCTGCGGATTACTAAAGTGCACTTCATCAATAGATCCTATCAGCTAATCAGTTTTATCATTTCGTTTTTCAAAAGATAGACAACCGTTGATAGTATTTTACCGAACTAAACATGTCTGCTGCTGAGGAGGAGAGATTCAAACTGGTCGTCGTGGGCGGGGGCGGTGTGGGGAAAAGCGCCTTGACCATACAATTCATTCAGGTGAGAGAATCCCCCAATTGTTTGAACATTGTCAACTGTGTGTTGTTTGTCTTGTATTTGTCACATCTTCTGATATGATGAGTATGTTATAGTGGTAATTGAATATGTGCATATTAACCCATATAGGCTAAATAGTGTAGGCTATTCTGTCTGTCTGTCTGTGTAGGTTATTTGGTTAAAAACCTTGCTTTCCTCATAACCACCAAAGCAATAATCACCACTTTTACCAGACAACAAACACAGTCTTCACCCATGCTCTCCCATCTCTTTCGCAGTCATACTTTGTATCGGATTATGACCCCACCATCGAGGACTCCTACACCAAAATATGCACAGTGGATGGGAAAGAGACACGATTAGACAGTAAGTCATACTGTAGGTTTACTGACGTTCTTTACTCCAAACATAGAGGGAAAGCATAAACTACTTGAACCAGTGAGTGAGCAAGGCCAACTCCGTCTGTATGATTCACCCACATCTGCTCTGTTAGGACTTGCAGTTGGCAGATCTTAATGCTCTACCCCAAGGTGTAGTCTTTTCACTATACCATAACAAACGTGTTTCTGTCCATCTGTGTTCATATTCAAGGGATATAACAATATGTAAGTGTACTATGGCCTGTTGGCCTATGTCGAGTTGGTTCACCCTGGGCATTTACATCTAAAAGCACCCATGAGGACCAACGTGAAGTTCATAGGAGCATGTCAAATTGCATGTCAAATTAAAGCTAAGTCTATATAGAAGAAAACAAATTAAGACATATATACATTTTCAACCATTTTCCATCCTAAAAATGAGGAATAATCAAAGGCTTTGATTTCTGGTCGAACAGATGGAAAGGGGGTCTTAGACAATGTCTACCAGATGTTTGTTTTTTTAAGGTATTATAAATACAGCAAAACACAATAATGTTGAAGTAAAGACCCCTGCCAACTAATATCAACACTTATATTTAGTTCCAGATAAATTATTTGCCTTCTGTAAGTTTAAGAAACATTGCCTTGTCTTGTAATAAACAATAATATAATAATAATAATAATATGCCATTTAGCAGACACTTTTATCCAAAGCGACTTACAGTCATGCGTGCATAAAACATTTTTTGTGTATGGGTGGTCCCGGGGATCGAACCCACTACCTTGGCGTTACAAGCGCCGTGCTCTACCAGCTGAGCTACAGAGGACCACATGTCTTTAAGATATTTTCTAAGGAGGATAATGAAAGTTCACAGAAGTAACAAGCAAAGGTGGACATACTAATTAGTTATAGGGTTTTTACTGACATCAAGTTTGTTTATGAATTATTAAGTGATTAAAATGTGTAATTCTGTTACCAAATCTGTAATGGAATTACTGAACAATCAGTAACGGAATTACTGCGATTGAATTGGCAAAAATGGGAAGTCATAGTAGTCACAAACCATTTAAATTTTGACATTTGAGTCATTTAGCAGATGCTCTTATCCAGAGCGACTTACAGTAGTGAGTGGATACATTTTTGTACTTTTTCCCCATACTGGTCCCCCGTGGGAATCAAACCCACAACCCTGGCATTGCAAGCGCCATGCTCTACCAACTGAGCCACATGGGACATTTGGGTCCACAGTTGGGTCACCTGCTAATGTCCTCCCTTCCACTGGCATACTGTTATGTTCAGCTCATAACTGTTTTCTTTCTCTTTCTGTTGTATGGTGGTCAAAGCAAGACTGTGAAAACAGTCTGGACAACCCCTCACTCTCCCTCTCTCTCTCTTCTTTCTCTCTCCAGTTAATGTCACCTCTCCCAACTCTTACTGACACCTACTACCCTCTTTCCATTTACTGTAACAAGCATCCTCAACCACTGAGCACCAACCGACACCGGACCTCCTTGGATGTTGAAAAGTAATAGAAATTTGGTCAGTCCGCCCTGGCCGGACCAAATCTGAACAAATAATAGACGTCTATGTTTCACAAGTTTGGACAGTACAGTAAAGAAAAGGCAGTACAGCAGAGCACACTAGAGTACAGTATATTGTACTGTACTGAACATATCTACTGTACTGAACTGTACTCTACTGTCCAATCGACAGTACTGTACTCTACTGTGCTCTTCAATCGAACGCTGCTGGCTCCCGGCCACCCGACTAGAATCACTACTCTCGACGGGTCTGACCTAGAGTATGTGGACAACTACAAATACCTAAGTGTCTGGTTAGACTGTAAACTCTCCTTCCAGACTCACATTAAGAATATCCAATCCAAAGTTAAATCCAGAATCGGCTTCCTATTTCGCAACAAAGCCTCCTTCAAACATGCCCTCGTAAAACTGACTATCCTACCGATCCTTGACTTCGGCGATGTCATTTACAAAATAGCCTCCAACACTCTACTCAGCAAATTGGATGTAGTCTATCACAGTGCCATCCGTTTTGTCTCCAAAGCCCCATACACTACCCACCACTGTGACCTGTACGCTCTTGTTGGCTGGTCCTCATTACATGTTCGTCATCAAACCCACTGGCTCCAGGCCATCTATAAATCACTGCTAGGCAAATCCCCGCCTTATCTTAGCTCATTGGTCACCATAGCAACACCCACCCGTAGTATGCGCTCCAGCAGGTATATCTCACTGGTCTTCCCCAAAGCCAACACCTCCTTTGGCCGCCATTCCTTCCAGTTCTCTGCTGCCAATGACTGGAACGAATTGCAAAAATCTCTGAAGCTGGAGACTCTTATTTCCCTCACTAACTTTAAGCATCAGTTGTCAGAGCACCTTACCGATCACTGCACCTGTACACAGCCCATCTGAAATTACCCCTAATTTGCACCCCAGTATCTCTATTTGCACATAATCTCTTGCACATCTATCATTCCAGTGTTAATACTAATTGTAATTATTTAGCACTATAGCCTATTTATTGCCTTACCTCCATAACTTGCTACATTTGAACACACTGTATATATATTTTTTCTGTTGTATTTTTTTGACTTTATGTTTTGTTTTACCCCATATGTAACTCTGTGGTGTTGTTTTTATTGCACTGCTTTGCTTTATCTTGGCCAGGTCGCAGTTGTAAATGAGGACTTGTTCTCAACTGGCTTACCTGGTTAAATAAAGGTGAAATAAAAATAAACTGTAATGTCCAAACCTGAGAAACATAGACGTCTATGATTGGTTCAGATTTGGTCTGGTCCGGATCAACCAAATCTGGTCTTGTTTGGAGGCAGAGCTCATTAGAATAATAGCCAGTGTGTACGATAATACCCAAATATGAAAACGAAGGATATTGCATATTTCTACCTTTTTGTGTACTGTGATCGGTCCAGAGGGTTTCCGATCGATGCGGTAGCGAGGGGTGGTGTAAACAGAGGAAAAGTTGGCTTTTTAAGTTGCAAAAATCGAAATGATATATTTAATGTTCACCGAATGGCACTCGGCCGGTTCAAGAAAGAGGAAACAAAATCCATGCCCGGTTTAGAGCACTTCACTTACAAACCAAAGAGCCTTTTGATAATCACCTAATTAAATAGTCTATTTTGTGGCCAACTAACTTGGCTTTGGCGCGCGGCTACAGGAATCAGTCACGCAAGCGCTTCCTCTTTTAAGCCGTTCTATGTCTCTCAGTGTCCTCTTCTGTTGTTTTTATCCTGTCTTCGTTCTATATTTCTCCTTATTTCTTTGTCTGTTCCTTTGCATCTGCACAGTTCTTTCAGTAAATGTGTTTTTGTGAAATGTTCTGTGTAAATTGTGCATAGAGTTGTATGGTTTGAATTTTGAAATCAATGGTTTGTGTTTGGCATACATTTTAAATAGAAAATCTGAGTCAAAGCGTAATTTAGTTTCCGTGGAAATGCCCCCCTACTGGCACAAAGGGAGGGTGTTGCGCTTGTCAGGGAGCCTTCCCTGCACCACTCCTGAATGTTTTTTACTATGTTGCATCTACAGTGCATTTGGAAAGACCCCTTGACTTTTTCCACATTCTGTTACGTTAGTCTTATTCTAAAATGTATTAAATTATGTGGTTTCCTCATCAATCTACAGACAATACCCCATAATGACAAAGCAAAAACAGGTTTTAGAGATTTTTTCAAATGTATTAAAAATAAAAAACAGATGCCTTATTTACATAAGTATTCAGACCCTTTGCTATGAGACTCGAAATTGAGCTCAGGTGCATCCTGTTTCCATTGATCATCCTTGATGTTTCTTCAACTTGATTGGAGTCCACCTGTGTTAAATTCAATTGATTGGACGTGATTTGGTAAGGCGCACACCTGTCTATATAAGGTCCCACAGTTGACAGTGCATGTCAGAGCAAAAAACCAAGCCATGAGGTCGAAAGAATTGTCTGTAGAGCTCCGAGACAGGATTGTGTCGAGGCACAGATCTGGGGAATGGTACCAAAAAATGTCTGCAGCATTGACGGTCCCCAAGAACCCAGTGGCCTCCATCATTCTTAAATGGAAGAAGTTTGGAACCACCAAGACTCTTCCTAGAGCTGGCTGCCAGGCCAAACTGAGCAATTGGGGGAGAAGGGCCTTGGTCAGGGAGGTGACCAAGAACCCAATGGTCACTCTGACAGAGCTCCAGAGTTCCTCTGTGGAGATGAGAGACCCTTCCAGAAGGACAACCATCTCTGCAGCACTCCACCAATCAGGCCTTTATGGTAGAGTGGCCAGATGGAAGCCACTCCTCAGTAAAAGGCACATGACAACCCGCTTGGAGTTTGTCAAAAGGCACCTGAATGCCAAGCGTCATGTCTGGAGGAAACCTGGCACCATCCCTACGGTGAAGCATGGTTGTGGCAGCATCATGCTGTGAGGATGTTTTTCAGCGGCAGGGACTGGGAGAATAGTCCGAATCGAGGAAAAGATGAACGGAGCAAAGTACAGAGAGATCCCAGACTGGGGCGAAGGTTCAACTTCCAACAGGACAACGAAAAACCTGTTTTTGCTTTGTCATTATGGGGTATTGTGTGTAGATTGAGGGAAAAAAACAATTAAATACATTTTTGAATAAGGCTGTAATGTAACAAAATGTGGAAAAAGTCAAGGGGTCTGAATACTTTCCGAATGCACTGTATGTCACTGTATCCATATATTTCTCTCTGTGGACATGCATCTGAATCTTTGTGTGTGTCAGTCTTGGACACAGCAGGTCAAGAGGAGTTTGGGGCAATGAGGGAGCAGTACATGCGCTCAGGAGAAGGCTTCTTGCTTGTGTTCGCTCTGAATGACACTGGCAGGTAAGAATCATGTGTGCATCTGTCTGTCTGTTTGGGTGGATGCATGTACACAGTCTATCTCGAGTCACAGGCAAACTGTAGATTCAAACCAGTGTTCCCAACTACACAACATACTCTGAAGTCCTCAGAGCTCAAGCATTTGTCAGGGCTACAGTACTCAAGGTTTCAGGAAGGAAACGTCACTGTTTACGATTAGGAATGCACATTTCGGTCAATTTTGCTGCCGACTAACTGACCCTCATTAACCGTTCAACGAACTGTAAAAAAAATAATTAAAAAAATCCAGCCAGTAAAATGATGTGACCCAACAGAAAATACTATCAGAGATCTGTATATAATGTTGAGATGCTTATGTTTTTGCTCTAACAATGGGAGTCATCCCAAGGCGGGAAGGCAGGCGACAAGCTTAGGCCCAAAATAAGCCCATAGAAATGCATTGGCCAGTATTTTGGACAGATTTTGGCGCGTCGCCTCTTCCTCTCTGATATTATGCATGCACACAAGGACCAGACATTTTTCATTAAGCGCTTATGGCGAATGGGAGACGTGCTTTACGAGTTGAGATTGAGAAATAAAATAGCTCCTTTTTAACACAAGGTTGCATTTAGAATTGTTATTTGTTGCGCAATGACTGGGCTTACAAAAGCAGGTTTCACTCCAGTGCCTACAGGCTTTTTGAGGAGCTACTCTCGTGCTGTCTGGTAGGCTATTCCTCTCCTTAAACTAGGCTCTCTGTACGCTGTGCATGTGTGATAAATAAAATGTATGACGACTAATGAAAATACATATGCTGCAATTTAATGTAAAAAAATTATACTAAGTAACCTATAGACCAGAGTTCCCCAACTGGCGTCCCAAATTTGGCCTGTGGGTGGTTTTATTTGCCCCCCCCCCCCCCAAGTTTTCGGAGCGAAAATTAAATAAAGACATTTGAATTTTCATTGTTGGACATAAAAGACTGTAAAAATACCAGGAAATCAGCTCTAAGTTATTTTAATTTTGGAAATCTGTTCCCAAGTATTCCCACGCGTAATATAGAGATGTGATCGTAAACAAATAATAATAATTAATAATAGATTGGATTTATATAGCACTTTTCTACCAGCTGAGGTACTCAAAGTGCTTTATATAGTAGGGGGGAAACTCACCTCAACCACCTCAGTGATGCACGCGACCATTTTTGTGCCAGAACTCTCTCTACACATCAGGTGGAGAGGTGAGGAGTGATATATGCCAATAAGGAATGAGGGGGAGGATTAGGTGGCCATGATGGAATGTGGCGAGGTAGAACATTTTGCCATGACACCGGGGTGAACACCCCTACTCTTTGAATAACCGCAGAGTCAGGACACCCGTTTAACGTCCCATCCGAAAGACGGCACCCTACGCAGGGCAATGTTCCCAAATGTAATCAAGGTTTGAAATGATATATTTGATTATATACAAGAAATACATACTTGTATATACAAGAAACAACAAAAAAGTAGTTTGATTTATGCCAATGAATATGACTCTTCTTTGCTTTAGGGGGCATATACACTTGCAAAGAGCCTCTTCTGACAGTCCTCCACAAAGCTGCTTTTTTAACAGTAGATTGAACTAATGGATTGCACCTTTTAAGGACATAAAGCAATTATGATCAGTTCCTAATGTGTTCTCGTTTCGGTCACTTTCCTTCCCTTTTTTTTCAGTTACAATGAGATCCACAAGTTCCACACTCAGATACTGAGAGTGAAGGACCGGGATGACTTCCCCATGGTGCTGGTGGGGAACAAGGCTGACCTGGACCAGTCGAGAGTGGTACTGACCTTCACTGTCGTTGTCATGTTAAAGGAGATCTTCTGCTAGCTATAATAATGCCAATTTATATCCTACTGGTTCAAAATCTCAGGCCTCGAAAAGACGTTTGAGTTGCCAACAGGAGGCGAGTGGCTACAAGTGTTTCTTTGGCTAGATCTAATACTACCACCTTATTCTTACTCAGTTTACCGGAATAAGGAAATGAAACTGCTGCTGGCCTGTCGGGTGCTTTTAACCTGAGTGTATGTACCTCTCTCTGTCCTGTCTGTAGATCTCCAGAGAGGAGGCCCAGGGCTTTGCTAGAGAGAACAGGATCCATTACATGGAGGCCTCTGCTAAAAACCGCTACAACGTAGACGAAGCCTTCCTGGAGGTGGTGCGAGCTATAAGGTAACGTCATAACGTTAACAGCTAGCTGCAAGGTAGGCTGTTTTTAAATATAGAATTATATTGCAGAAAGCTGTAAGGTACTTTATAATAAGTCATCATGTTTATAGCTAGATGATTAGAAGAGTTGGTGACCAGAGGCAGAGTTGAGGGACAGACATTGTGGTGTCCATTACAGCCTACTCCTGAGTCGGAAGTATCCAATGCTTTTTCCCTCACTCTCTCCCACTCCCTCCCTCTCTCTCTTTCTCTCTCTCTCTCTTTCTCTCTCTCTCTCATTCTCTTTTTTAAAAAACACAGAAAGTTTCAGGAGACTGAGAGTCCCCCTCTACCTGCCAACCACACTGGAAAACGGAAGAGCGGTGGCTGCCCCTGCACCCTCCTTTAACCGCTCCCTCCCCTGGCATAGCACTGTTGTCACAGAGACCAAAACCCCCTCACCTCACCACTGATGCAAGTCTTGTCTGACTTACCTGGAGGGAAATGGGAAGATTGGGCAAGGGAGGGGAAAGATATACACTTGGAAATGCAAAAAAACTGTATGGTGAGGTTTGGGGAATGGGAGGGAAATGGGAAGATTGGGCAAGGGAGGGGAAAGATATACACATGGAAATGCAAAAAAACTGTATGGTGGGGAATGGGGTAGGGATGTGTGTGGTAGAGGTTGCTTACGTCAATGGTGGGCAAAGTGGTGGAGTGTAACATTTCTTTAATGGTTTCATTCACACTTAGAAATTAGCATCTTTAAACTTTTTTTATATACTTTTTTTGTATTTGCGGTTTTGTTATTTCATTATTGAGCTAGGATGTATAGGGAGAGGCCTTGCGCTAGATGAGGCCACAGACTGAAGAAAGAAAGAAAGAAAGAAAGAGAGAGAGGAGGAGGGATGGTAAGGAGGGAGATATCACAGAGACTGTGTTTTGGTTAGCTTCCTACGTTGGGTCAACCTAAATGGAAGTCACTGGTTTGACATTGCTGGAAGGATCGGATAATTTAGAAACTAGAGGGCGCTGTAATTCATACCTACAACAGGAAAGGAAGGGAGCCCAGTTAAACGGAATAGACAATTCGATTTTTGAAAGACCGCATGGAAAAGAGTGAGAGATGAAGAAGAAGAAGCAGAATGAGAGTGAAAGGATATATTTGAAACACTGGTACTTTTTCACAGTGTAGTGTACATGACCACAGAATATATCATATTTTTTGCACAACTTCAACTTATGGACTGGTAGGCAAAAGTAGTTTGACACTAAAGTGCTATTGTTTATTTTAAAATGACGGGGTGGACGTTTAGGCGTGTCCAGGTACTTTTGTCTATGCATACAGGTGTAGGCCTGCTTTTTAAGTCATTTTTATTGTAATGCTGTTTGCAAATGTTTTTTAGTGTCACACCGCTACGAACCATCAAGGAGTTCGTTTTTGAGTTGTATTAAATGAATGAGTCAAAGCTAATGAAGATCTGTTGAAAAGCTGCAGACAAGGCATCATTCCTATCGACCAAAATAATTGTGGGTCCAACAATGAGAACAAATGCAGTGTACTTATAATATTGGTGTAAAGTTCAATAGAGTACAGGCTTAACTGAATTAACAACAGAGAGAATGCAAAATGGAATTCTATTAAATAGTTTGGGGTATGGCCTCGTCTCCGGGGATTGCTCCTCAGAGCCAGATGCTGGTGACGGGTAGCTCTTTACTGGGCAGCTGGCATCGGAAACCAAACCCCCTGCCGGTTATTATAGCTGGTGGTGGTGGGGAGGTGGATGGTTGTTGACAACTGTTGATGTAAAACAGAAAGTTTGAGAACATGGGTAAGTTGACATATAAATACGTCCCAAGATTTACGCCCATTGGTTTAGAGAGAGGATGATGATAATTGCAAGAGCGAGCCCATAGGTTGAACAGCAAGCATGAGGTATGTGCATTATTGTGCTTATAGGGTAAATAGGGGAATGACATTCCGCACGTGGCTAATAGGGAAGACGAGAAGACGCTATGCTGATGATAATAAGTTTGTATTAATTCCCACTGTTATGCTTACTTGAAGTTAACCGAGCATTCAGACTTCCTGATTGAACTTCCGTAAACTACATTTGTCTGGTATGAAATAACTTGTTTGTTTAGAGAGGATATGTAGCACTGGTCCTGCAAACCTTCCTATCGATGTAATTAACATCTGACTAACAGTAAGCCTACTTATCCCCTGGGCGATATTTCAAACAAAGCAAGATAGCCATATAACTTTCTGAAAGATTCTGAATCTGCACCATATTTGTGAGTTGAATCGGACTCGAAACCTTGACCCTAATAATAGTTGTAATGTTTTGATAAATAATTGATGATTGGTTCTCAAAGCTGGCTATCTTATTTTATTTGTGAAATATAACCCTGTTGATGATGTAGGATCCACATTTGTCCCCCAATTGTTCTTCACCTAATTCTAAAATAATGCATCGACTCAGTGTTATTACTGCAGTGTAATAAGCCACGAAAAATAATTGTACTTAAGTCTGTTATATGTAATTATTTTTAACAGCAAAAAGCCGTTTGTCTTATACCAATGAATCTCAAAATATATCTAACTTGCACCCTGTAATCTGCCAGTATCCGCCAAGTGTATTTTGTACTGAAATAAACCAAATACTTTTTGTACACGTTACACTTTTTATACATTATTACTAAAATCTTGAGTTTTTGCACAGAATGTGTCCGAATGGAATAGGGCAGCTGGTTTGTCTGGACACACCCAACATTTTTTTCTACTTCACTATTTCTCTTCAACAGCATTGGTGAACGCTTGGTGACAGGAAAGATGTAGCGAGAGGAAAGCAGTTTGGCCGAAGTCAAGTAAAATAAAAAATGTACTGATGAATGCAATGAGAGAAAAAAACAAGCATGTAAATGTACAGATTAATAAAAAGGACTGTTTGAATTGGGATTGTGAAAATTCAATGTACTCAAGCATGCGCTTATCTGATGTTCATGCTCTAAAGTATTGTGTATGGTGGCCTGTGTGGTCCAGTGGTTACAGCCGGCATGGTTTCGAATCCGGCCCTTTGATTCGCCATCCCCTATCTTCCCCGTCTTCCCAACACTGTTCTATCGCTTCAATGAAAGCAAATATATATAAATGTATATATACAATCAAAAAAATACCTTTAAAAAATATTCTGTATAGAGGTCTACCTGGGGTTGGGGGAGCGCCACAAGATGGCAGCACAATACCAAATCAACTGCCATAAGGGTTATCTCGTTTATCATCATACCAATGAATGGATGATAAGGCTTCTGTTTCAGTGACAGAGCCCAGGGGTCACACATTCCTCACCTTAGCCCCCTCCCTGTGGCTACAGCATAGTATTGAATGTCGTTACAGTAGTAAACATAACGCATTTGTAACGTTTTAATTTAAAGAAAATTATAGTTTTATCATGGCAGTCACTTGGCTAAGTAAATTTGATAGCAACTGTTTGCCTATGGAAATTCAGTTTTTTTGCACGTGGGATATGTGTACCCAAGATCCTGGTGGATCTCTTTTCCTCCTTCCCTTTCACACACAGACACACACACAATTTCAGGAAACTCCCCCTTTCTGCCCTCACACCCCCATGAGCACAAGGTATGTTGTAAAACCGGTATCTCGTCTGACATTATAGGCAGGGTGTTTGTCTAACAGGTACTTTTGAGTAGATATTTTACCCTTTTTAGCACAAAAAAAACGTTATAATATCAACAATTGAATTAGCATATAATAGCTCATAGTAATGGTTTAAGTTATGCAAAACCTGGGTGAGCGAGTTGTAAATAGAGGATAAAATATTCCGTTTTTCACAAGTTTCGAGGCGAAAACACACCGAGGACACAGGGTAAGGATAATAGTTGATCGTTTTAATGAATTAGGCTAAAATATCAAATATTTTCCACCAAAATCATTGGGCAGGCATCACTGTTCATTAATTATCGTTAATTGTGCTTTCTCTTTTCCCAATACAACTGAATAAATATTTTGTTTAGATAGAAAAATAAAATTGTATTTCTTTATTTTCCTTATTATTTATAAGACAGTAGGCATACCTACGATAAGTAGGCCTACGATACGCTACAATGTAGGTGTATGTTCCTATGTGATTCGATTTTGTTACATGTCGAAACATTCTAAAAGTAGCTTTTGTTTCGTTTTAACCCCCGCCTCTAGATGGCGACATAGTCAAACATAATGGCTGATTTTCAGGATCACTTTTTTCTGTTTGTTTATGTGCGCGCGTGTGTGTGTGTATGTGGGTTCCCTTTTTACATGAAGAAATCACTGAATAATGTGTTGAGTATGACATATTTATTTAGAGCAATAATGAATAAATACATTTTGTTGCAGTTGTCTCTCCTGCTTGAGAAATGACAGGCTTGGCAGAGATATGTATTGGCATGCTGTCGCTGCTCCCCCTGGCTTGGGCCAGAGTTGTCTACAACCACAATGAAGGTAAACATACAACTGTTCAGTAGAGGTGTGTGGGTAAAATCACTGGGGAAGCCAAGCCAGAAAAAAATGCCATATTACAACCTATGTGTTGTGATACTTGTGTTGTTTGCTCTATAACCTGTTAGTTCATATCCATTATTCCAGCACCATTTCAACATCATCAAATCACCTATGCTTAGTCTAATACAGTGACAACTAAAATATACCAAAAACAATTTAGACCATTCACAGTTGAGCTCAACGCTGATTCGCTATTTTTTAAAATTTTTTTTAATTCAAGGGAGGCCAAGGGCTTCCCTTGCATGCTACGGGCGGCAACAATGTCATACTCTTTTTGACCAGACAGCATCAGAACGATGGGCATCACATACAGAGACAAAGGAGCGCTGTCTCGGATGCTTTCTCACTTGCGAATTGAAGGAAAATTATGAAACACAGATAGACTAAAGCTAAATTATTTAATGTTATTTATTTATTTTGTCCCCCAAAAATTTTTTGGGGGAAGCCTCGTTTCCTTTGGCATCCATGAATACATGCCACTGCGTCTGTTTGTACTTAACACTCTCAAGTGTGCGCACTGGCACTGAGAGGGAGAGAATGTGTCTGTCCAAATGTGCATTCACTTCAACCTGTTTTGGAGGCAAGTTTACCCCCTCCTCTTTCACCCTATTTATTGTAGGGTCATATTAGGCCAGTGGTTCCCAAACTGTGAGGCATTAAGGAACTCAGTTGGGCTTTCAACTTACTCTTGAAAGTTGTAATAGTAGAATGCACAATGTGCAATTTCGTGATTGGATAGTGAATCAGCAGTTTTCCTCTTGTCATGTCAGACATGGCAGACCTTTAGAGAGCTATTTATAACTTTTCAGAGATGTTTTTTAGCACATTGATTTTGTTGTAATGTTTGAGACACTCCGTTATCACATAAACACATATAAGACATGGCAAAATGTGTAGAATCGCATGAAATTAGCTTTAAAACTGCAAAAGGTTTTCTCCACCACATGGCAAAATGTGTAGAATTGCAGAAAATGTGCTTTAAAATGTCCAAAAATTCACCACCCAATGGCAAAAGTTATGGAATTGCAGGAAATAAGTGTGAAACCTGCAAAATGCTCTCCTCCAACAAGAGGGTTGTGACCAGTTTGTGTCATGGACAGTGTAGGGGTGTTCCCCAATGATGGAAGGGGGGCCCGAGTGAAAAGGTTTGGGAACCACTGTGTTAGGCAATTGTTATTTTGCTTCACTGTTTCTATCTCTATCAGATTGTGAGGTTATCCATTCAATACTGACTTTTCTCTTTTGTCTGTCGAGTTCAGGCTTGTGATCAGTGATTGCTAGTGTGTGTGTGAGAAAGAGGCTCTGTCTATCTCTGACTCCAATGCAATTATATCACCCTCAATCTCATGCCCATGAATATCTTCTTTCTCTGTCTGTCTTATTCCCTCTCTGTCTCTCGCACACTGTCTGTCTCTCTGTTTCTCTCTCTTTCTGGGTCCAGTGTTCCTGGGACAACAGTCTGCGTCCTCATACCTGTCTCGCTCGCTGCTCTGGAACAAGTGGGACCTGGAGCTGGTGACGCCAGGTAACCTAGAGAGGGAGTGCGTGGAGGAGATTTGCACCTACGAGGAGGCCAGGGAGGTGTTTGAGGACACAACCCAAACGGTGAGGGAAGAGGGCAGTGAATGTGGTGGTACCTTTCATGAAAGTCTGTTGGAAATGATGTATTATTTACGCACATTAAGAATACTTTAACCTTGTTCAATTAATTGACTAATTGGATACTAGGAATTTACTTGGAATTCATTTTCTATTTTCCCCAGAATGTTTTTTGGAGCACATATACCACCAGTCACAGTAAGGCCTTTTTTAGGGGGGCTTTTAGTAAAACTATACTAAGGCAATGTTGACATTCACATTCTCACTACTGTCCTCATGTTTCTCTATGGATGATGCTAGCATTGATGATTACAATCGCACAGGCTGTCATCTTAATATAATGTACATTGCAAATGTATTCATTGTGTTGGTTCTTTAGACACAGCGCCCAGTGTGGATGTGTCGGGTCTAGTGGCAGGGATCTTGGCTATTCTAGTGTCTGCTGTCATAGCCACGGTGCTGGGCTGCTATTGTTACAAGAACAAGGCTGGTAGGACGGCAGGCAGGTAAGATTGAGTGTGTGTGTTGTGTCTATGTATGTTAGTGTGTCGATCTTAGAGTGTAAGGATGTACAGTATAGCCTACCTAACCTAAGGCATCTATTGCCTGGTTGCTCTACCTGTCAGCAAATTTCAAATGATAAAGTAGGCCTATGTATTCCCTGGTAGCCCTACATAGTAGCAACATATGATAAAGTACATTGTCTTTTATTATTTTATTATTACAGTAGCCTACATACGGTAGTAGCAACATGATAAAATAGGCCTATGTAATCCCGGGTAGCCCTACATAGCAGCAACATTATTTTAGAAATAATCAATGGACCCTGAGTCTTCCCATATTTTGTCTTGTGTGTGTGTGTGTGGCCAACATTACTTGTGTGTAGCCTAACCTAGTATTACTTGTCATCTGTTTCAGTGCTCCAGTGAGGATGGATGTGGATGGCCAGCCTCCTCCAGAGACAGTGCCTCTCACTGGGATCATCGCCCCAGGACTGCCCTCCTACGGTGAAGCCCTGACCCGCAGTGGGCAGCATGACGCGCCCCCGCCACCTTACTCTGGGTAGGCCTGTGTGTGGGTATCACAGGAGGTTGGTGGCACCTTTATTGGGGAGGACGGGCTCGTGGTAATGGCTGGAGCGCTATTGGTGGAATGGTATCAAACACGTGGTTTCTATGTGTTTGATACCATTCCATTTACTCTATTCCAGACATTATTATGAGCCATCCTCCCCTCAGCAGCCTCCACTGGTGTGTATGTATGTTCCACCATAGTTTAAGAATGTGTACTGTGCGTGAATGTATTCCACCTTTGTGTAGTATGCATGTCTGTCCACTGTGTGTGTGTGTGTGTGTGTGTGTGCGCGCGCATCTTTCATTCATGTCCCAACCTATTTCTCTCATTATTTTTCTTTCACTCTCATTTTTCCACAGGGGAGCGCAATCAGAACCTCCTGACCCAGCTAACAATGCTGAGATTACTGCGAATACTGAGGACACTGAGTGAAAAGGAGGGAAGGACATTTTAAAAAGGGGCATTCATGAAGTGTGGGTGTATGTTACAAGCTTCAATTGGAGTTCTGGACTGTTATAAGTGAGCACAGCTGTAAACATTTCCATTTCAATTCATGTGAGTTGTTGAAATAGGCATGGTATACAGTATCTCACAAAAGTGAGTACACCCCTCACATTTTGGTAAATATTTGACTATATCTTTTCATGTGACAACACTGAAGAAATGACACTTTGCTACAATGTAAAGTAGTGAGTGTACAGCTTGTACACTGCTCAAAAAATTAAAGGGAACACTTAAACAACACAATGTAACTCCAAGTCAATCACACTTCTGTGAAATCAAACTGTCCACTTAGGAAGCAACACTGATTGACAATAAATGTCACATGCTGTTGTGCAAATGGAATAGACAACAAGTGGAAATTATAGGCAATTAGCAAGACACCCCCAATAAAGAAGTGGTTCTGCAGGTGGTGACCACAGACCACTTCTCAGTTCCTATGCTTCCTGGCTGATGTTTTGGTCACTTTTGAATGCTGGTGGTGCTTTCACTCTAGTGGTAGCATGAGACGGAGTCTACAACCCACACAAGTGGCTCAGGTAGTGCAGCTCATCCAGGATGGCACATCAATGCGAGCTGTGGCAAGAAGGTTTGCTGTGTCTGTCAGCGTAGTGTCCAGAGCATGGAGGCGCTACCAGGAGACAGGCCAGTACATCAGGAGACGTGGAGGAGGCCGTAGGAGGGCAACAACCCAGCAGCAGGACCGCTACCTCCGCCTTTGTGCAAGGAGGAGCAGGAGGAGCACTGCCAGAGCCCTGGAAAATGACCTCCAGCAGGCCACAAATGTGCATGTGTCTGCTCAAACGGTCAGAAACACTCCATGAGGGTGGTATGAGGGCCCGACGTCCAAAGGTGGGGGTTGTGCTTACAGCCCAACACTGTGCGGGACGTTTGGCATTTGCCAGAGAACATCAATATTGGCAAATTCGCCACTGGCGCCCTGTGCTCTTCACAGATGAAAGCAGGTTCACACTGAGCACATGTGACAGAGTCTGGAGACGCCATGGAGAACGTTCTGCTGCCTGCAACATCCTCCAGCATGACCGGTTTGGCGGTGGGTCAGTCATGGTGTGGGGTGGCATTTCTTTGGGGGGCCGCACAGCCCTCCATGTGCTCGCCAGAGGTAGCCTGACTGCCATTAGGTACCGAGATGAGATCCTCAGACCCCTTGTGAGACCATATGCTGGTGCGGTTGGCCCTGGGTTCCTCCTAATGCAAGAAAATGCTAGACCTCATGTGGCTGGAGTGTGTCAGCAGTTCCTGCAAGAGGAAGGCATTGATGCTATGGACTGGCCCGCCCGTTCCCCAGACCTGAATCCAATTGAGCACATCTGGGACATCATGTCTCGCTCCATCCACCAACGCCACATTGCACCACAGACTGTCCAGGAGTTGGCAGATGCTTTAGTCCAGGTCTGGGAGGAGATCCCTCAGGAGACCATCCGCCACCTCATCAGGAGCATGCCCAGGCGTTGTAGGGAGGTCATACAGGCACGTGGAGGCCACACACACTACTGTGCCTCATTTTGACTTAATGTTTTAAGGACATTACATCAAAGTTGGATCAGCCTGTAGTGTGGTTTTCCACTTTAATTTTGAGGGTGACTCCAAATCCAGACCTCCACGGGTTGATAAATTTGATTTCCATTGATAATTTTTGTGTGATTTTGTTGTCAGCACATTCAACTATGTAAAGAAAAAAGTATTTAATAAGATTATTTCATTCATTCAGATCTAGGATGTGTTGTTTAAGTGTTGCCTTTATTTTTTTGAGCAGTGTATTTGCTGTCCCCTCAAAATAACACAACACACAGCCATTAATGTCTAAACCGCTGGCAACAAAAGTGAGTACACCCCTAAGTGTAAATGTCCAAATTGGGACCAAAGTGTCAATATTTTGTGTGGCCACCATCATTTTCCAGCACTGCCTTAACCCTCTTGGGCATGGAGTTCACCAGAGCTTCACAGGTTGCCACTGGAATCACGGAGCTGGTGGATGTTGGAGACCTTGCACTCCTCCACCTTCCTTTTGAGGATGCCCCACACATGCTCAATAGGGTTTAGGTCTGGAGACATGCTTGGCCAGTCCATCACCTTTACCCTCAGCTTCTTTAGCAAGGCAGTGGTCGTCTTGGAGGTGTGTTTGGGGTCGTTATCATGTTGGAATGCTGCCCTGCGGCCCAGTCTCCAAAGGGAGGGGATCATGCTCTGCTTCAGTATGTCACAGTACATGTTGGCATTCATAGTTCCCTCAATGAACTGTAGCTCCCCAGTGCCGGCAGCACTCATGCAGCCCCAGACCATGACACTCCCACCACCATGATTGACTGTAGGCAAGACACACTTGTCTTTGTACTCGTCACCTGGTTGCCGCCACACACGCTTGACACCAACTGAACCAAATAAGTTTATCTTGGTCTCATCATACCACAGGACATGGTTCCAGTAATCCATGTCCTTAGTCTGCTTGTCTTCAGCAAACTGTTTGCGGGCTTTCTTGTGCATCATCTTTAGAAGAGGCTTCCTTCTGGGACGACAGCCATGCAGACCAATTTGATGCAGTGTGCGGCGTATGGTCTGAGCACTGACAGGCTGAGGCTGACCCCCCATCCCTTCAACCTCTGCAGCAATGCTGGCAGCACTCATACGTCTATTTCCCAAAGACAACCTCTGGATATGACGCTGAGCACGTGCACTCAACTTCTTTGGTCGACCATGGCGAGGCCTGTTCTGAGTGGAACCTGTCCTGTTAAACCGCTGTAGCCCAGGCCATCTTTATGTAGAGCAACAATTCTTTTTTTCAGATCCTCAGAGAGTTCTTTGCCATGAGGTGCCATGTTGAACTTCCAGTGACCAGTATGAGGGAGTGTGAGAGCGATGATACCAAATTTAACATACCAGCTCACATGACACCGGGGAGGGAAAATTGTAGCAAAGTGTCATTTCTTCAGTGTTGTCACATGAAAACATATACTCAAATATTTACAAACATGTGAGGGGTGTACTCACTTTTGTGAGATACTGTATGTCCATATAATAGGAGAGCATTTCAATCCCTGTACTGATTGAAATTGGGATATAATTGACCCAGTTCTAGTTTTTATGACTTTTTTTTATTCGGGGGGAGTTCATAGGGGGGCAAGGCTGAAGGATGTTATAGATAGAGAAATTAAGGGAATGGGATGAAGACTTGTTAAGAGGTTTCCTGTGAGAAAGAGAAGCAATCCCTTGATTGCAAAATGCATAATATGGGGATGATTTGTGTATTTTGAAAGTTCCAGATATTGAACACTTGATTGCACTTCATTTTGGGACTATGTCAACAATGGACTAATGAAACAAGTAACAAAAGCTAGTTTTTGGGTGGAATGTTCCTTTATTATGTATAAACTAGCAACTGGTACTGTATTTAGGTCAACATGTTGGCTAATGTTTGTTTTATCTCGGTTGTTTGAATCGGTATTGGTACATGACAGACCGCTCTGAACATTCCTTATTCAAAACATTTTAATCCATTTTTTAACACCTGGCACTGGTCAATCAAACAGTCATCTAGACTCCATAGAGTTGCACGTTTTCAAAAACGTTTTAAAATATGCCTGGGTGTTAGAAGTGAAAGTCATCCAAAAGTAATCTGATTACGTTACTCATTTTGAGTAATCCAAAGGTTTACGTTACTGATTACTTTATTTTTCATATAACTATAATCAGTAACAGATTACATTTTTTAAGTAATCTGCCCAACCATGCATATATCTGCACTCTTTCAATCGAAATGTATCTTGCATTGCTCCCAAATGTACCCCTTTTCTCCCTGGTTGAGAATTGGCCTGTGCTACACTGTATTCTGTCTGAGAATGGTCTCTGTGTATATGACTAAAGGCTTTACATGGTCAATCTGCTTCTGAGGTGGCCGTATAGCATTTACTGCGATGCAGCCTCCGCAGACATCAGGGCTTTCATACTTCTTGTGCTTAGCTGAGTAGAGCTATTGTGAAGGAATTTGTCATGGAAGTGAGTTAGTATTTATACAGGACCTCCCGCCCCCACCTACCGTGAACCAATCATGTCAATGCAGAGCTATACAGAGCCCTCTGCTTTGTTACAACATTTGAGAGGCGCACGGCGATGTGGTACAGAGCTTGATTTGGCCTCTGCATTCCTCTGGTGGCTCCGCAATTGCGTCACACCCTCTATACGAAGCCTCCGACCACATTTCGGATAATAAATAAATTGTAATAATACATAAATTGGCTTTTTGCAAGAGTTGGAGTAGCAGACAGACTGCGTGTGTGCGCACTGGAGAGGGAGAGAAAGTGAGTGATTGGGGAGAGGGAGGGAGTGTGCTAACATGCGATCCAAACAGCCGCTCTCAAAAATGGCGTCTTCAGAAGAAAATGACGTGAAGCCCTCACATTAAGATTCTAGTACGGCCGCGAAACCTCTCTTCAATTCTCCCTGGTCTATTTATAATTGTTTTTACAAAAGAACGCGAGGACTACTACAATATGCGCGGTACGAATATTGTAGTCGTCACTAGTTACCACAGCCAGAGTCAGAAGGCCCGCCTACTTGACCAATCAGATGAGGGAGTGTGATGACGCGTATGTCGGTTTACGGTTCGTGGGAAAAGACCAATCAGATAAGGGAGTGTGATTACGCGTATGCTGACCGGTTTGCAGGGGCAGACGAGAGACATGCATTTATGCCGCGTTGAAATGGTAGTCGGAACTAGGAAACTGACATTTCCGAGTTGCTAAATGGTTGTAGTTATACACGTGTAAATGTAATGAAATTGTGCCGCGTTCACATGCTAGTCGGAACTAGAAAACTCTGAAATGTCCGACTCGTTTAACGCGGCACAATTTCATTACATTTACATTCACATCATTTAGCAGACGCTCTTATCCAGAGCGATTTACAAATTGGTGCATTTAACTTATGATAGTGGGACAACCACTTTTTTTTCTTCTTCTTTTTTTTTTAGGGGGGGGGGGGGGGTAGAAGGATTACTTTATACTATTCCAGGTATTCCTTAAAGAGGTAGGGTTTCAAGTGTCTCCGGAAGGTGGTCAGTGACTCCGTTGTCGTGGGGGAGCTTGTTCCACCATTGGGGTGCCAGAGCAGCAAATAGCTTTGACTGGGCTGAGCGGTACTTCCGTAGAGGTAGGGGAGCTAGC